TGGAGTAGCGTCGTATTTCCAAATCGGCTGAGTACATGCGGTACTAGGACAAGACCTCCGTAATTACCAAGATTCTCATACGTACTAGTATTTTTTCCTGGATGACTAAGCAAACACTTCTCTGGCCCACATCAGTGCCCAACATTCACGGCAGTCAATACTTTGTTCAACGTCAACTCATCATCTCTAAGGCTCGATCGAACCTGCCGAGCATGCTCACTTCAGTAGGTCAGCACGCAACTCACAGCTCTTCATGAGCAGACTCATTTATTATATTTTGCCAGTGTCTCTGCTCATAGAAGTTGCACTTTCTATAAGCCACCTCGTTCTTCATCTCGGTACCCAGCTACTTCAATGACAATCTACTAATCAATTACGACCGGTTCAGGCACAGCTTGATCCGTTCAACTGAGCTGCTGCCTGCGATGTGAATCCATGTCCATTGCATACCAAACCCCAGCATGCCTCGCCAACTTCCCTGGAAAATCAAGAGTGCGACAACCCCCCAAGCTTCATCGCATTCAAAACTTGCGGCCACGGCTACTTCGTCGGCTACCCACAGTCCTAATCCACGTCCACGCCCCACTCCAACCCCGAAAACAGAGGCAACACCAGGCTCTAGCAGTAAATCAAGGCTCAGTTTGGGTCGCACACCGAGTACATTCCCCCATTTCCTGCTTCTCTGGTGAATTTGGCTGGCGCTAATGTCCCCAGTTCGATCTCCGTCCACCTCGCCACCCCCAGAGCCACTCAAAGAAGAGTATGTCGTTCCCAACACGGACAAGGGCGTTAGTGCTGATGCCAGCAGATTCATGATAGAGGGCATTGACCATGATGACAAGTATCGTATGGTTGAAGACGAATTCCTCGCAGTGGCCGGCGACTTCACGCGGCACCTCCACACTGTCGAGTACCAGCGACTGAAGAACCAGGCAAAGTCGCAGAATGCCGAAACCATTCAGAATATATCACGCCCGGTCACGGGCGAGATGACGGACCTGGTGAAGAGGCGCCACGCTGCCCTTGACACCGCAGCCAAACAGCGGAAGGGCATTACAAGGGTGCTGGGCAAACGAGCGGCTGGTGACAACTTAACAAGTGAAGACGAATCAACTCGGCCGCGTCAGCCAACATCTTTGCAGGGCTTGATGGATAGTCCGCGCAAGCTCGCGGCGCCTTTGACTTTATCTGGTGCTGGCACACGAGTCAGTGCGGGCTTTCCAAGACTGACAGAGGCCAGCCCAACGAGGCGGTCGGGGCGTCCAGACACTTCTGCCAAGCGGGAGCCTACGCCGGACTTGGATAACAATCTCTACGACCAACCTCCCTGGCCATTGAAGGTTGAGCAGAGGGCGGGAAGGGCACTGATGCGACAAGGCACACCTACAGGAGCTACTGACAAAATAAAAGCCGAGTTTCAAACCCATAATATTGAACTTAGTGGCGTACTCAACCATCAAAGACCGGCGGGTCGCACAGGTGATGCCATTCTAAACACCAGTGACGAAGACGACGATCTGTTTTCCCGCCTACGGTCCCGTCGCACAGAGCAAAAACGACGACGCGAATCAAAGATCCGCGAAAATGCCATCAAGTCATCTGAGAGCCAAACTGCATCTCTCAACGAAATCCCCTTCATATAGCTACGGCTGAACGGTCGCGAGACATGCGCCACACATTCAACGTGACAGAACCAAAATGAAGTACCACCAGTATCGCGATATAAGAAGGCTATCCCTCAAAGGGCGTCTCGAACGGCCTCTCGGCCTGGGGTGTAATCCTCGCCAGATGCCGCCGCTCCCCACTCCTCCAGTCAACCAAGGCCGAGTGCTGCGTCACCCGGTTGTCCCAAACCACGACCGTGCCCTCCTCCCACTTGACTCGCGCCTGAAAGTCAGCGCCAAAGGCAAGGTGGTCGTAGAGGAATTTCAGAATAGCGTCGGACTCCTCCTTTTTGAGTCCCACAATATCGCGGGTGACTGGTGACATAAAAACTTGTCAATCGAACCAAGCTTCCCAAGAGGTCTTGCCCTTCCCAGACGCAGGACCGGAGGGGACTTACACTGCGGATTGACATAGAGGGCCTTCTCGCCCGTGGCAGGGTGGGTGCGCACGATGGGGTGCTCATTGACGACGGGTTCGCGGCGCTTGATGCCACCGCGGGCGAGCGACGCCTGGGCCTGCTCGACGGCGGAGTGGGTGGCCCGCAGGCCGTGCAGGCGCTGCCGGAAGGGCGCACTGAGCCGCCTGTAGGCCTCGGCGGCGTCCACAAACAGCGTGTCGCCCCCGGTCCCGGGCTTGTCCAGCACGTAGAGGAACGTCGTCCCCGGCGGCTGCTGCTCGTACGACACGTCCGAGTGCCACGCCACCGTGCTCGTCCGCCCCGCGAAGAACTTGTCCACGCTGTCGTCCCCCGCCCCGCGGTGCACGACGTGTATCTCTGGGTAGCCTGCCGGCGCGCCGGAGGTGGGGTGGATGTGATGGCTGGTTTTGGAGTCAGGCATGGGGGTGTGACGTATCACAGGGGCCGCCGACGCCGTGAGGAGGGTCGCTTACCGCCCAAAATATAACCCGAATTCCAGGGCTTTCTCAATCGGCAAATCGGCAAAATCTTGGTTGCGGAAGGCGACTACCTTGCGCTCGGCTACAAACCGGGCCAGTTCGTCCTTGCCGGCCGAGTTGAGTGCGCTAAGCTGGATACCCTTGATCTCGGTGCCAATGGTCGGCGTGAGGTGCGTCACGGTGACCCCTGAAGGGAGCAAGTTTGGGTACGAGGTGTCGGCGTCCTTACCGTGCTCATAGTGCTCAAACGGCTGTAGCGGTGGGTACTTTTCGTCACGGTTCCAGGTTGGGAGGTAGTGAGGGTACTGTCGAAGTTTGTCAGCAAAGGAGTCTGTCATGATGGTTGGACTGCTGGTGTCGCTCACTTTGGCTGCTTTGTGGCCTTTCAGCCCAGCCTCCGCCTCAGCATCGACCTTGTTGGCTGCCAGTTCCTTGTATGGGCTGCTGTGCGGCGCCTGAAGCCTTAGAGTTGCCAGGTCTGGGACCGTGGTTGTACTAGTCTGTACTTCTACCGCGGATGGGGCCATTTCGAGTGGCAGTTGGGTACTGGTTGTATCTGTATGAGACTGATTCTCAAAGTCACTTGCAGTGGACTTCCAAGCAACGCGAGACTGTCAGTGTCTCCCTTTTATAGATCCCTCATCTCCTGAACCATCCCCCTTAGCGAAGTGATGCGCGAGCAATGACATAGCAGCATGGATTGTATTGCGTACTTTTGGTGCGTTCCAATCATGGCATTCCTCTCGAAGCAATCGAATTGCTCAGATAAGACTTAGCTTCCCATCGTCATTGATAGTCTCGGGTTTAGTTACGGATATGACGGGTGTTGGACTAAGTATGGTAGAATCACTGAGAACCTCGGCCGGCTCCGGCAGGTGCTTGATGGGGTCAGTTTTGCGGAGGGTGGTGATGTTAGATCGGGAGCGGATCGCGCCATTGCGGGTGCTTCTGCCGTGTTCCGTCGATCCATTTGGAGGTGGCATGTGCTCGGCACGTCTATACGACCTGCCCAAGGAGAGAAGCACGTCATTCTCTAGGTTGATATCGAGTCTTGTTCATGGTCTGTAATCGGTGATACGTACTAGTAGCTAGCGCTGACTGCATTTACGGGTTGGACATGGGACCAGACGGGACACTGCAGGGCAACTTGGAAGTTGAGGATATCAGTCTGGATTTCATCATGTCTAATGATAGTCTTACTGACCCCTCTCTGTTTTCTAAGTCATAATGTTTGCCTCTACGATTAGCTTAGTAGCCTGGAAAAGGACGGTACCTGTTTGTCACTTATGGTCGACACCAGATGATTGATATATGTCCTTCGCTGCCAGCCTGTGATTCCAAACCTTTACATGTAGTATTAGATTCGGCACTTCCATGCTCTCTCAATGGTATTGGCTAATCGAAGACTAGATATAAATCTATAGCCTGTTGCCTGGATAGGTATTTAAAAGAGTGTTCATGGTGAGCCTCTCGGGGCTGATAGAAGAGCACTCAACACATTCACCTTGAAATCTCTTCGGATGACATGATTCGTAGTAATAGGACTTGTCGGTGTCTCCTGTAGGACTGCCAGAACCTTGTTGAAGCTCACCGTCCGAACTTAATTATAGACCGGTACCTCCACGTCTTAACTGTATTATGGATGGACGGAGGCAGGGGACCGTTTCAACTACCATTGCTCTCCTGGAAACGGGCAGAAACTATACCGAGAATCCGCTATTTTACCCACCGTTTAGGCACGTTAATTGCATATTGATGGTAATGTTAAACATGGGCATACACAATGAAGCCTGATAATATAAAAATGGGTTATGTCACGGTGCTGGCCGGAGAGGGCTCGCGCCCTATGATAGGGAGGGAACAAGAGTTATAGGAAGCGCACAAGTGTACCTAGCGGAATGGGAATCCTTGACTTCTAGCCTCGATGATTGGAAGATTGCCTTTCACAAGATACTAATCAGTGTGTAAACTGTCTTACGATACCCCGTCTGCATCACATGCGCCATGTGTAGCAGCATTGTTGGGTTACCTACCTACCTGTACCTAACACAAGCACACAGGCAACGTCTTTACGGTATTCCCAGGTCGAGCTAAATTATCGGTAATCACAACACAGGTAGGGGATACAGGGACAAAATGACGTCCTGACAGCACAGAATTTCATCTGATCGGGCAAGCGCGTGTCACGAGGACTACCTACAATAGCCAGAAGAAGCTGGTATTGAGGTTGTTTCACAATACCGCACTGGCAACAACAATCGTGAAGGGAGACGCTTGAATCCTCAAGGAAGTTTCCATCATTTCCCCTGCCCAACTTGGTTACCTTATCCTTCGGTTCTTTCCACTGTGCCATTGTCCCCTAAGGTAGCACCTTCCTTCCTTACCTTACATGGTTCTTACCCACCAAGTTCCAGTTCTCACAGATCTACTCCAGAGCTTTACAATTCACACTTCAAACTTACAGCCAAATCCCAAGGCGCCGAGATTATTACCCTGTACTGACTTGATCGTCGGGGAAAAGTAAGCGCACATGATGGGTGACACAAAGACAGACCTTCTCATCAGCAACGGCACTTGCTACTATGCGAAGGGAAAGCTGGCCGACAATTACTTCATTCCCTGCGGTAACGCCGCGTTTGGGCACATTCATTGCTGTTCGGCAGGAAACAAGTGCTTAGTCGACAACGCCTGCTACAGCGACGAGTATGGAACGACGTACCTGGCGGCGTGCACCAACGAAAGCTACAGTGATGATCGCTGCCCCGACAAAAAAGCGTATCGAGGTACGGCACCCTTGTGATGAATTCGAGCAGGTGATACCAGCATGGCCCAAGACACTAACTTGGCTGCTTCAGAATACCCATGGGCTGGCTTGGTCTACTGCAAACCCAACGAATGGTGAGTCGCTAAACCCATTACCTTCCTAGAATCTGAAATGTAAATTGGCTAACAATGACATGAAGGGTAGCGTGCAAGGAGAAGGCGAAACCCGCGACTATCACCAAAGGAGACGGGTGCGCATGCCCTCATTCAACTGCTGCCACCTCAGCCATCGCTTTTACCCAAGGGCCATTCATACCATCAATTGGCAGACTACCTGCCACAATTGGGGGAAGAATAGAGTGGGAGCCATCACATTTCCCGACAGGACCAACATCGTCGACATTGTTGACAGCACCGACAACTTCCTCCGTGGTCACGGCTACCGTACCACGGTACCACCCGCCCCTGCCGATTCTATTACCGCTACATCGACCCCAATTGCTGCCGATCATACAATCTCTTCGGGCCTAAGCGACGCCGCGAAGATTGGCATTGGGGTTGGCACGGGATTTGCTGTGCTCATGCTCCTTGGTGCTCTCTCGGCGATATGGATAATCCTGCGACGTAATCATACAAATAATGGCTCAAGCCTGGACGAGGCGCAGACATCACTTCCAATGCACAATAACAAGGAAATGGGTCCAGTTGAGATGCCGGCGATGCCGGCCTTGCCCCCAAAGTCACCGTTTATTCCGAGACCGCAGTTCATTGATCAGCGCCCCCAGGATCCTAGCGGGCCGTGGTTGATGTCTTGTCACGCACAACGGCGAGAAAACATACCACCCTCCAAAAGCCGGTACTCAGCGCCCTCGGAACTCATGGCGCCAATCGGCCCTGTGGAATTGCCTGCCTGATGGGGCTGGAAGAGCCCTGCTCTGTTTCCTTTCCCTTTCTTTATGATTTCCACTTTAGACGAGTTATGCATGGGACCTGGAGGTTAGAGGTGCAAGACATGATGTGCATGGTGGGCGCAAGCCACACTGTTTAGGGGCATCGAACTCGCTTTGCTCTTTTCTCTTTTCTGCCCAAATGTCTTCCCCATAGTGCCCATGCTTGATACTATCAAGTTGATAGCACTCAGAAGCACCCAACATAGGCTCTCAATCGCTACCATCTGCACGCACTATGAAGTTGAAGGTGGAAATGGAAGCTTAAACTTACAATGAGGAGAGTGAGGCTGAGTAGGAGTATCCTGGGCAGGGGTTGCACCATTTACCATACAATGTTGTCCAGTTTCAATTCAACTCCAAGTGTGAGCCATGTACGGAGTACTTAGTACAGCAGCGATCTTGAACAGGCAAAGAAAAAATCGAGTTGTCCATTCGCCAGAGTGAGCAGAGTTGGCAGATCGAAAGCTGGTTCGAGCCTTGGAGGTATGACACTAGTTACGCCTGGAAGGAGATTGTTGGATTGAGGCACCGACTATGACCAGAATATCCCTATTAGCTTCAATTGTGAGCGGGTATGTAAATCCCTCCTTTTGTGATGCGCTGATCTGCGCATCCTTGAGGATTTATGTAGTCATGGAACTTCACGAAGTTCAAGTCGACTCAACAAGGCCTCAAACAACCCTAACCCGAATGTTGTCCAGCCCACCAATTCCATCAAGTCGATCCAAGTTTCACCTCCACTGGAAAAAGTGATGCCGGAAACATACACAATCGACAGACGGGGAATACAGGCTCGTTGCGCATCACAAAACAGGAAGGGGCATTGCATACACTTTGACTGCAACTGCTTGCAGCATGCAACCGTTGCAACGATAAGCTATTCTTCCATTGCCTGACAAGCTGTGACTGGCAGAGAAGAAAAAACAACCAATTGAACCAATCCCCAACTGAGGCCAGCGAACGTCCTCGGCACCTTTAATAAGTCACTGCCGATTATCTACAATGGGCCGCCGCAGCACTAGAGGGATCAAAAAAAGCTATGTCGAGGAGCACCTTGCCCTTGATGACGATGATGAGCCCATCTCTGTTCCTGATGATCAATCCAAAGATGACGACTTCGATGCCCAGGCAGAGGGGGCTGTCCACGACGTAGACGAGGACCAGGACGAGGAAGAAGAGGTAGAACAGGCTGAGCCCACCAACGATGAAGACGGAAGATCAGACGATGATGGAGCGGGGAAAGCCAAAGATGAGCCAGCCCAGGCCAAGAAGCAGCGCAACGCTGGCGTCGGCATGGTCCAGAGCCGGAAGAACTTCCATGAGATACCCCATTACCCTTTGGAAACGCGCATCGTCACACGCGTCTACGCCGGCCCACTGAGACGGTACGCTCGATACAGCGCCCTGCGCGACGCCATGTACGGCCCAGAGTACCAGAGAATCAAGATTATCTGGGACTTGGAGATTCGATGGACACACTTCCCAGTGCTACCCCCAATGCTCCCACCCGAGGATCCGCAGGGCGTCATTCCGAGCCCCTGGCTACCGCGAGGCTTTGAGAGGCATCACAAGCAAAGGGGAGCTCTTTGGTACGATACATATCAGACCAATTCACCAAATTTCCAGGTTACTCGTGCGCTTTCGCCTAAGCAGGCACAAGTTTTCATTCCCCAGGCCGATGGCGATCTCACTACGCTCATTGGTCCCTGGGACAAGCAAAAAGAGTTCCGGCTCAGCCAGAGCGGGGGTCTGTCACTCTCCTCGTCAGGCCTTCCTATTGAAGATCCTGATTCAACCGATCAGACGTCAAATGGCTGGATGTTCGATGTTGGGGGCATTCCGCTCGCTGCGGCCTGGGCTCCAACGGCCAGACAAGATTTTCAAGTGCTCGCAATAGCAACAATCCCATTCTCAGACCAAGAATCAACCCAATCCGAAGACCCGAGCACAGAAGCAGCAGCGAAACGGACAGGATCCATCCAGCTCTGGGAATTCGTCGCTGACATGCCGGAAAATCGGTTGGCCTCACCCTCCCGACGGCCGCCCAGGTTTCTCGGCGCACATTGCTTTGACTGGGGGAGACCCAAACGCCTCCAGTTCTGCCCCGTCCCGCTGGATTCCTCTGGCACGTACGGTATCATGGCAGTTCTCTGTGGTGATGGGAAGGTTCGGGTCATCGATGCTAAGTATGCTGATGACGCCGACGTTCCCTTTTATGGTTCGTCCCCACCAGCTCTCTGTTCTCAGGATTCTCGTTCTGACTCGCCGCAGGATGGATCGAATCGCCCATGGTTACCCTCGGCCTGTTGGATGATTACAGCGTGGATGTGACGTGCCTAAGTTGGGTTAATACGAACAGGATTGCGTTAGGTCACTCGGACGGTTCTATCACGCTATGGTCGATCTTCCCTCAACGGCTTCTACATCGCGTTGGCGTACACACCACCTACGTTATCGACATCTGCTCTGCATACCCTTCGAATCCTTACCTGATTGCCTCGATTCCCGTCGGCGGGTGCGCGACGCTCACCGACTTGTCCCAGCCGAGCTCAGAATTCACATACTTCCCAGTTCCCGCCATTAGTTTCCAGCCAAACCTGTTATGCTGGAATGAGCCAATGCAGGGTTTCATGGCTCTTTACCCGTCGTCAACACCCAACACTACTATTGCCTTCCTCCACCATCGCTTCTTCTGCCAGGCACGAAGCATCTGTACAGGTCCGAATACTCTGACCTGCGTCTCGGCTGGGGCGACGCATCCTTTCATCCTTGTTGGTTGCGCTGACGGATCTGTGTTCTCGTGCAATGCGCTGCAAAAACTTTTCAAGCAAAAGGGCGAGCCACTGCGAAAGATCAGAATATTCGAACACGAGTACAGACCCATCGAGCCGGGAATCCCCGCGAACACGAATGGATCCGATGGACTTAGACTTAGAGGGGCTGTGAGGATCTTGCAGGGCTTCCTTCCAGAGGTCAATGACGATCCGCGGACGGAGAAGCGGAAGGAAATGGACAGGAAAAAGCGAGAGGAGAAAATCAAGAGGACCGGAAAGATGAAGGGGCGTTCCAAGTCAACGGGAGAAGGCGAAGACGAGGATGACGACCGTGAAGCCGAACTGGACGAGAGGCTCGCATCTCGGGTGGTCACTCATGAACCCCTGACGCGGGTGACGGTGATTGCATGGAACCCAAACGTGCAATTCAGCTGCTGGGCGGCATGCGCAATGGCTTCAGGGTTGATCAAAGTCATGGACCTTGGAGTGCGGTGAGGCATGCCAGCTGGGTACCAAGCCTGCCCGCACTCATCCCGTACGTGATATCTCCTGTTCAATCTTCGAATCTCGCCAGTGCCACATCTTGACATCAGGGAACTGGATCAGAATACCGCAACTATTCGAGAGTGATTGTTGTAACTCACAGAAGTCACAGATGATGAGTAGTGCTGTATCTTGCGCTCCAGGCCCGTCCGAATTGACTCGCAGCATTGCCCAACCCCGACCAACATCGTTGCAAACGCATCTATCGCCTTACCAGTGTCTATTCCTTGCGACCAGCCGACTCAACATGACCCTGACTTGTTGAGTATGCCGTGGTGAAAGTCAAACGCCCTAGCCATGCCGTACAAATGCACTGCCGCTGCAAGAAGCACACAAACATGGAATATCTGATGAGAGCTCCCCCAGATATCGAAAGTGCCCGGAAAGTGGCGCTCCGGCCACCGCGCCTACAGCTATGTCAGCAACAATCCTGTCAATCACCGAGTGCCGCAGAGCAGAGAAACTGACCACATACAAGAAGGCGCCGAAAATGTACAAGCCGCCTTGAAGAATGACCCAGCTGAGGCCCATCCTTCGGTCAAGCTCCCGATACCCGTAGAAGGAGAGGGAATGAAGAATGGGCACGATTCCGGACACGCCAAGCCCAACAAACATGAGGGCCCTGTAGGGGCGCCAGGCCGGCGTGCGAAACTGCTCGAACCAGGAGACGACGAGACAGCCAGTGCCCAGGAAAACAATCTGCATCCGACGGTCAAAATACACACGTATTTCGGGCACGATGGGAAGTGAAGGTGAACTTACGGCACTCAAATACACAGTCAACAAGAACGGATGACAGAAGAAGCCATAATACATGGCCGGCACATAGCTGCCGACAATCAGAAAGACAATGCCCGTGTAGTCGAGCTTGTTCCCCCATTTGGCAACCTCGGGAGAGTGATTTGAGAGCATGTGATATGTAGCACTCATGCCCAGGCACAGAAAGGCGCCGACGAAGAAACAGGCAAAGACGAGCACGTCCGAGTCCGAGGCCGATTCATAGCGCGGAGCAATGAGGGCGTGCAGAAGGACGCCGACCACCGCGAAGGCCACGGCGCCGAGCAGGTGGGTCCAGATATTGACCGTCTCGTTGTGCAGATAGCTGAGACTGGCTAGGGATGCGCGGACGCTGTTGCTTGTCTGCCTGTAGCCGCGGATTATGAAAGCATTGTCCCGCCTCCAGTGGGGAAGCTCATCCCAGAGAACCAAGAGAGCGGATTCAACCTTTTCCTCGACATGTTTGGCGGCTGCGACGAGCGTTTCGGCGGCTCCTGATGGCCGGCGCTGTCGCTGCTGATGAGTCCCTTGCTGCGGCGCCCGGTGCCGGAGGTGCGCCGCCTCGGTCTGGACAGCGCCACTCGGCATTTTCTTGTCACGTCGGTTTAAAGTATCAAGCTTTTCTTGGCGGCACGGCAGATAATCAAAGAATTGGGTTACTGTATTGTAAGTAGGGTGGAACAATTTTGCAAAGTGCCTCTCTTCCACTCCTGCTAACTTTGAATACTTGTCGTGCCCATCCGGATGTGCCTGCCTGGCCGCCCCCGACTGTTTCCGGTCCCGCTTGCTCGGGATTTTTCCAGTTTTTGTTGGGATTCCCACCGATCACAGTTCGAAGTTTCCACTCTTTGCCTTGGCCGAGAAAATCATCGAACAGATGGCTTTCAGCTGGCTGCCACTTGGTAGCATCATGAACCCCCATTCGACCACGGCTACGAATTCCACGACTTCAATTGTTCTTTGGCACTTTGCATTGTCTACCTGGCAATTGTGTATGCAACCCGTCGTTCGGCTCAACGAATGAGCTGTGTTGGGACTCGATAGCTTCTGACAGAAACGAAGCTGGGTTGCAGGCGCCGTCTAAGAACTGTGGTCAGTCGCTGTGGAGGTCTGGTAATCATGCACAGGCGGAAGCCATCTTCCAACGCCCGAATCTGATCAAGAACAACACCACAACACCCCGGCTCAACTCTGCCAAGGAGTGGTGAATGATGATGGACGGAGGCTGAATCCGCACTGATGCCCGACGATTCCCAGTGTTGCACGGCGTCCCTGACAGATTATCTGCAGACGCCCGAATCCGGATGCACCCTGCGGACAAATTGAATGGCTCAATGGCACCATCCTCGGCGAGACTGTTTCCTGTTCCTGGAAACAGAACGGGAGCTCGGACACCTGTCATTCTTCCGCCACGTCTCCAGAAACCCGGATCGAAGGCCAACTTTATTTCTATTCTTGGAGACTGCCAGGGCCCTTGATCCTCCGCTTCGTCGCTGCGAACCACTGGCGCTGCCCAATGGATACACTTTATAGAGTTACAGTAACCCAGGACACGAATGTGTGCTCAGGTAGTACTCGATCCAGCTTGCAAGAACTCACACCGGTCGCGAACCGAGATGTGGAAGAGATGTATCGGCATCAGTATACCGATAAGCCGGTGCGTCTCAGCACTCACCCACCATCGGACCCGAGGCCTTACTTATCCCCTGGATTTCACCGCATCAAGTGAGGCCTGTCTGCTCGATACTGCACCACATGGGCCGTTTGGTCTTGACTCAAACTAAGGTAGTTATATTGGTTACTCGACAGGCAGAAGAATCCATTCCTCTTCTTTGGGCTGGTAAACCAGGAAACAAAACATCGCCCGATTCCATGGGATAACGGGCGGGCGTCACTGACACGATGGCCATGTCCGTCCAAAAATAGCAAATGTGCTTGCAACTCTCGATACCAGGTCGATTTCGGTTTATCGCGGCAATGGAACGCCGACAGCCCAAACTGGCCGCATTAAGCTCTGGATATAGGCACAATTATGAGGGTGCAACCTTGTTATGTGTTCGCCGATTTCCTGTCAAGTCTGGGCACCTGCGAGAGACTGGTCGAGAAGCAGCGAGCTTGGGGAAAGCTACCGGTTAAATATGCCGAGCCATATCATAGTCTGGCTTCTACCCTCGCTCCTTCATCTATTTCATATTGCTCAGAGATTGTCGCCACCAAACAAACATTTCGTGATATCGACCATATCACTGCTCTTCGCATGGCCTGTGGAGCGGGGCGGATACGACATGCCATCGCAATCTTCTATAAATATACTTCTTCCAGGAAATGGCGAAGGGATTGAATGTTTGCACGCCCTGGCAAACCGTGATGGACGTTGGATATATCAACAGACAATACCTGTCACCATTCTGAGAACACGGGTCCACTGTTCGACGGTAGAGCCTGTCAAGATAACACCCCCTAGCCTCCAGTCGACTGGAAACATTGCAAGCCGCAACTATGGTCGGATCGGCGCTTGCTCTATCCCTTATCGGCTTCGGCGCCGTCCGGGCCCTACCAGCCAGAAAGGGGGTTGAGGAACGGCAGGGCAGCATCTCGATCGGAGATGGGACCGGAATCTTCATCCCGGGCGGCGACGGTGAGCTGCCCCCTTGCCTTATAGATACACCGCTCAACGAGCAACCCCCGTGCTTCTTATCGCCCATCACCGGCGGGTTCGAACCACCCATTCCCGGCCCGGGTGAAGAGAAGCGGGAATCCGGTGCCTCCACAGCCCCGACAAAGCGGCAGATTACGATTGGCGACGGAACTGGCATCTTCATCCCTGGCCAAGGCTCCCTCTCGCCCTGCTTGACGATCATTCCCATTTCACAGCAACCCCCATGTTTCTTGCCGCCCCTTCCCGGCGGCTTCATCCCGCCTACTCTCCATGTCCCTAAGGGGAAGCGGGTCACACTCCCGCCCGACTATGCCTCAAACACCAAAAAAGTCATCGAGACGCTGGAGAAGCAACTAGTGGCACTCCAAAACAAGCCACACAAGACGGATGAAGATGTTCAGGAAATCAAGGCCCTCAAGTCAGCGCTACTGTACCTTGCCGGCATCACCAACATCTCTGCTCCGCCTGGAACAGGAACCAGCTTCACCCCTGGCAAGCGCGACTTCAAGCTCCCCCCTGACGCCGAACGCAACAAGAAAAAGGTGATCGAGGAACTGGAGGCCCAACTCATCAAGCTGCAGAACAAGCCACACAAAACACGAGAAGACCTCGAGGACATCAAGGCCATCAAGGAGGCTCTCTTTTACCTGGCTGGTATTACCAGCATCTCGGCGCCTCCTGGGTCGGGATCCAGCTTCACCCCCGGCAAGCGGGATTTTAAGCTACCCCCTGACGCTGAACACAACAAGAAGAAAGTGATCGAGGAGCTCGAGGCCCAGCTGATCAAGCTGCAGAACAAGCCTCACAAGAGCCGGGATGACATAGAAGATATCAAGGCGATTAAGGAGGCTCTTCTATATTTGGCCGGCATCACCAGCATCTCGGCGCCTCCCGGCTCGGGATCCAGCTTTACGCCCGGCAAGCGCGACGTCGCCTTCAGCCTGGACTCGGTCGGCACGTACGCATCCGTGTGCCCTGGTCTCGAGGGCGCCGAGATCGCGCTGCAGACACTCATGCACAAGGACAAGCACACGGTTGAAGAGCGCATCATAATGCAGAAGTTGGCCGCCTTCCTCAAGGGGTGCGGCATCACCATCATCAAGTCCCCCGACGGCACCTTCACCATCATCAAGCCCTCGGACAAGCGCGACGTCTCGCAATCCGAACTGAACGTTGCCGGCCTCGAAGCAGCCTACGACGAGCTGCTCAAAGCTGCTGCCGAAGCGGGCCGGCCCTCCTTTGCCAACTGGCTCGTCCTGCAGCACATCGCCGATCTCCTCGACATTTACTTGACCGAGCCAGTCGACCGCTCGGCCAAGGGCATCGCCGCCGAGCTCTCGACCGTCACCGGAGCCGAGAAGGCCAAGCGCCAGAGTGACACCATCACGGTCGGCACCAGGACGTGCCAGGTAGCCGACATCATGGGCCTGCGGGCGGCGCTGGCCGCCCTCCTGACGGCGTACGGCGACCCGGCTACTTCGCCGGCCAACATCTTCCTCGTCGAGCAGGTCATTGTCTCGGCCCTGCAGCTCTGCGGCCAATCGGTCGCCGGCTGGACCACCCTGACACCGGGCTCCCCGATCCCCGGCGGGCCCATCGTGCCCCAACCCACCATCCCGGGCGGCCCGATGAAGCCCGACCCCACCATCCCCGGCGGCCCGATAACGCCCGATCCCTACATCCCGGGTAGCCCCATCAAGCCATCGCCTAGGGATGCAGCTTCGGAAGAGAGCGAATTGGTGCTTCTGGACACGCTGCGGGTACTGGAGTCGGCGTATGGTGGTTATGGAAATACTGCGGTCCCCGCACCCATGTGGTGGATCATGGTCAATCTTGTTACCGTTTTGCAAGGGATGGGGGTCACGGTGCCGGGCTGGCCGGTACTCGGCCAAGGGACCGTGGTTTTGACGCCATCGAACTAAGGTACGGCGGGGTGAGTAGTTGAATGGGGTGGATGGTGGAAGGTGGAAGGAGAAACAGGACAAAGGAAGAGGGAGGAGGTGATATCCTTGTTGGGGTGGGATGGCAGGTTGGAAACGGGTGATGATGGTTTGGGGCTGGCTGGCTGGCTACTTAAGGTAGCTGAGTAGGGACCTCTACTACGTTTTCTCCTCTTTTTCCTTCCTTTCCTTTCTTCTTTGCTCTACTTTCTCGATATGTATCGATATATGACGCGACTTGTGTCATGACCCCCCGTCAGCGTTTCAATAAAGGCTTGATTGACTTGACTTGCTATGGCTCAATGCTTGATCTTGTGTTTGCATCTGATCTTTGAAACCATCCTTGCTGTAACGGCGGCTCTGCGGACTTGGTCATTCAGTATCTTCTCTGTGATGCTCCGCGTGTGATCTTTGGGTTGGTGAACCTGAGCCAAATCACCAACCGGAAGGCTCGCAGGAAATGTCCTGATCTGATGTGCGGCTCTGAGGGCAATAGATGCTTAAACAATTATTCGGTACAGACCCGAGCATTGAAGACCGTAGCCTAGTTCTCAACGGTTTTCATGGGTTGTTCCCAACATTACAGGCCATGGCATTCAGTCAGGTTACCTATGTTTACGCTTCTGCTAGTCGATACATGGATTTTGCCTCCAGTTGTCCGAGAGGTTCCAGCAGTCATGGTGCCTTATTGCTGTGAGGCTGGCGTCTTTGCCAATCCGGCATGCGACTGGGATGAATGAATGTGGCTATAAGGAGTGCCCCCTTGTTCTTCCTTTCACTTGCCTCTTGTTTATGCCGACCAGCTGCTCTGCAACGCCGTGGGTGAGGGTGGTAAACAATGACTGGCTGCCCCTTACAAGCCGTGATGCTAGGTGAATCGTGAAGCGTCAGAACCTCCTGAGTCTCGACCGTCTTGCCTCTGCTCCCTCACGAAGCATGTTCCTAGAAGCATGTTCCTAGAAGCATGTTCCTAGAACAACGGGTTTGACGGTGCCCCTGTCATACACTCTCTGCTAGCCGAGAGTGACTGGCCCAGAGTCGATGCTTGACATGGCCTAACCAAGGGCCCAGCAAGGATGCCTTCTCATCCCCGTGCCGTGCCCCTCGAGTGAAAGGTGGATGACCGGGTCCGTCTCGGCGCCGGGCTCGTCGTCGTCGACTGACGGAGCGAGAGCTTCAAGGCGGGTAGTTTCTGCCCTCGAAGAAAATCCTCAACAGCAGCAGTCTTTCTCTCTCGCGTTTTCATCGCTTCAACTTGGACAGAATAAGCGGAGACCACTTCAGACGGTTTTCTTCGTCCCAAATCTACGTTCTTAACAAGACAAATACTCTGTTTCCTGCGGACGTTAACTGACGGTCAGTATGTGTTTTGTGATGCCTTTCTCCTGCTTTGGGAAGCAAACTTGGAGCGGAGCACTAACCTGAAATTCCCTCCAGATGTCTCATCACGGCGACCGGCTCCTTTCTCCCACAAAAGAGACGGCGCCCGACCCCCCGCCGCGCGTATGCACCCAGTACCAGATCCGGTACAGCTGTGGACACAGCCTGAACGCCGTGTTCGTCAAGTGCGCCGCCCACGCAAACAACGAGGAGGTCCGCTGCCGCACGGGGCAGTGGGAGTACAAAGAGCTGAGAATGGCACCGCACAGGTGCAGGGACTGCTCCAAGAGCGAAGACTGGACTGGTATCTCCTCGCTGAGATAAGTTAGGGGGAGGAGGAAGGAGGAGGAGGAGACTTGGGAGGAACAGAGTTGGGAGTTCAAAATCTTAGGAACTAAAGGGACCATCACCTCTTGCAACCTACACGTATCTTCATTCTTGATACCTTTCCTGTGACTTTTGTGACAGTGAGGACACAAAGTCCCAATCTTATCAAACCTGGGTGATCATTCCTTGAGATGTGCATGTAGAGTAAGGTATAATAGTAACGGCGTTGCTTTCTTTTAGCTTGCTCGCCATTGCAAAGCCGCAGAGACAACAGAATGCGATTTACCGTCCATCAAAGGATGAACAGACTTCAACAAGGCCTGTCCTAGGATATAGAGAAATTGCTCATGTGATTACAGAGGGCTTGTGTCAACTTGAACGCTTATACTTATCAATTGAAAAGCCATCTGACCTGCACTAGAAGCAGTCTCGACGGTCGACACTCTCAACGAAGTTCGACCGAGTCAATGGCAGCCCTAGTAGGGTTGGAAGTCAAACTAAAGCCATCCACTGTATTGCTGTGAGAATCTTGAGCACAGCGTGGAAACAGTCGAATATTAAGTGAGCCGAGTCTACCATCAAGGAAAAGGAAGTTTCCAAAAGGATCAAACCCGCTTGCTTGCAGAATGCTAATCATCAAGCTAGCTTAACTACCTGTAACCTGTTTCTAGTAGGTTCAAACAGCAAGTATGGCACAAAGGAAGACGTTGGCGTCAAGGAAATCACTGCTTCAAGCGCAGATTCCTTAATCCAGAGTGGAATCGGTGCCAAGCTGAAGTATTGATATCCTATGGATATGCGGCGTTGATTAGCTAAGGGGCGAGCTTTGTTGACAAGCCATGATAGAGTTCAGTTGTGTCAGTTTAGTTACTTCTCCTGGAAAGCCTCTTAGGGCAACTTTATCGACCTGGAATTCCTCTGTACTGAGCTAATATCCTTGTGGACATTTAGCAAGTCAAGACGACCTCTTCGGCTTAACTTCAACAGACTTCAGTTGAAGAGGAGGAGGGGGTACTCACTCACTGAACGTATCGCCACAGCAACGACCCGGGCATCCAATCATACTGCAGCCACAACCATGAACAACAGCCATGGCTCTGCCGTGGCTTCGCTGCATCCAAGACAGAACTCGCGAGTTCTGCCTAGCGTTCGGGAAGGTGACATTGACGCTTCTCACCATTGGATGGGGATCATGGGGAGCTCGATAGCGGGTCTGGATGCGAGTTGGTAAAGCGTCTGCATTAGCGCTCTTTTGGGCTGCCGACGAATCCCAGCCTTCTCTTGAGAGGCGGCCGCGCAGACAATGTCCCCGCCATGTACCGCATTATCTCGCGAATAAGGGAAATTAAACGTGGATACGCCCAGCCCGAAAAGCCAGACATCCACCAATGGGAGCACCAGGGTATCAGGGCAAGTGTGGCTAGATGTGGCTGTCCTGCATCTTTTGCTCGCTATTGCTGCGCTGAGCTGGGCTTGGCTCAGCCACTTTAATTTCCCTTATTCGCGAGATAATGCGGTATGTACGAAGGTTATGCCCGTCGTCTGTTTTGGAAACCCGTCCATTGACCCTCCATTGGTTGGGCCTGTCTGCCTTACAGGTGGGGGCTACCTCTGGTATTGTCTGTAGCTATAGGCGTACCGGCACTTTTGATCTGGCGGTGAGGGTCGAGATGGGCCACTCAGGAGCCAGATGTGTCTGCCAGTGGCTGCCGGCAAAGCCTTCAGACGGCGTCAAGTGCAGAGTCTCCCTTGAACTCACGGGCTCACGGAGCATTGCGCCGATTCCCACTCTGCACTCCTGCGGCTGACCTAGCACAGTAATTTTGAGTCGGACTGTCGAGCACACCATCTGCTTGATGAGAGCCTCCCGAGAGCCTGTGGGGTTGACCGCAACTGGCTGTGTCACGTCATGCCATGTCTTGACGCGAGTCTTAAGCAATGATCCTCTAGAGATGCGTGGAGTTGCAACTTTGGACCGGGCAATACCCCATGTAAATGCAGTGTGGTGTTACTCAAATAGCACTGTGTAGGTACTACTAGTAGTACTACTTTAACAGTAGCCAAGCGGCAATTCCTATCTCATGCAGCCAATCCTCTCAATCCTACCGTTAGATTGCCAAGGCAATTTGAAGGTATTGACTGCGAGTCAGCAATCTTGATACATGCTACCTTGTGGCAGGTTAGGTATGATTCCAAGCTCGAATCCCGACTCTCTCGAGCATCCGCTGCGCCCCGGAAATGTATCAGCGGCACGCTAGTCCGATCAGCTGCACGTCCGTGTGTTGTCGTCTCATTGTCGTCGTCATTCTTCGCTTCTAGCCCGGAGCCCAATCCCGTCCAGTCGGAGACGGGGGCCGTTGGCGCCGTTGGGCTTATGTCGACTCTTGATCACTCTTTGTTCTGTGAGTGGTTGGCAGAGTTGCAAGTCCGAGGCATCTTTCACACCGCAACTACCTACATTGCACAATCACAAAACCGGCATGGACCTATCGCCAACTAAAGAGCCTGGCAAGGCGGTCAACTGCAGCTCGGTAAATCCGTGTAGCTGATGCTTGATGGATACTTGGACGAATTGCTACTAGTAGTAGTGAAGAGGTAGCAAAAACAGGCTTGAGAGATGCTTTTACGTACTTGTACCTAGGACTTTGGTCGAGCAGGTAGTTGGTTGTTCTATTGGATGAGGGATTGAATATACTGTGGTTTAATAGTATGTACTTATATGGCTTGGAAGGAATAGGACAACTTCAAGACGACTTCGGGTTATTGTCAGTGTCCTAGGTAGCTGCTTAACCGGGCTAAGCGCTAACATTATCAGTACGTCTAGTTTTTCTCCCTACTCATGGGCAACCGGACTTCTACTGCATCCATCTTCCTGCTGAAAGAGAGATAGAGTGTGTGTCTGAGCACTCCTTGACGACGGGGTCTCGATCGCCCAAGCTCTCCAGATACCCCGGGCCCCAAGCGCATAATATAATTCTTCAAAGACCCTCAACTTCTCTGCCTTCTTTGGAATAATGCTTCAAGTCCTCTATACAAGTCTCTACAGTTGATTTTATCAGTCGTGTTCCTAACAGGTAACTAAAGGTACCCTCTGACGCGATGAAGCTAAACGTCGTCTTAAGAGAGGTAGAGCCACGATAGCTAGCAACTGGCAGATGCTGGTGCTGTGGAGGCGGGAGAACAATAAAAAGGCTTCAAGTCCTCTCGCCAAAGATTCGATGCTGTGCCAAAATTTGAAGCCTAGTTCATGGTCTTAGGTTCGTCGTGAGAAACTCGCCTCAGGCTCCTTGCTTGGAGTCATCCGAAGCAACGACGATTTCTAGCTACGTTCAAGCAGTAAGCTACCAGTCCACCAGAAGCAGGCCGACGGGCAGACAAACTCGAGGACGAAGCTCTAAACGAGATGGTTTGGCCAAAAAGGCAGTTATGTTTCAAGTTGCGGCTTGGAGGCTTCGCATCGTACGCGAAACGCTCAACGGCAAGCATATGCCGCCCCGGAATAATCGCAGCGAAACAATGTGTTAAGGGGCGTTGATAGTTCTGTACGGTCGTTGTTGGAGCTTAGCTTCATGTTGTCGTCGTCCATGTCATGATTTCAGTAGTCCGCCCACGAAAGTACCATAAGTTCACTGATGTCCCCCCTCCTGCTGTCTGTTAGTGCGGGCAAAATTTTGCACGTAAAAATCGTCCTCTCGACTACCCCTCTTAACAATCTGAGGCAGCTCTACAGCAGGGAACCTGGGGCAGTCGCTATCCGTATTGGGTCTGGTTTCAACGTTAGAAACTGTACTATGTCACGAGACCTGCTAGACTGTTAATGCCTACCAAGCTCTCAGAAGTGGCTGCTTCTGAAGCAACACCTGGACCTAACACGTTGGCTCGCCCGAATCGTGCATGTCTCGCATGCCTCGACAATCACAGAGGCCAGCCCGAATGTGCTGTACCTAGCGGAGGCGCCCTACATGTAGATATTTAGTCACCATAATTCAAGCCCGCCTTCCAGACCACCGGCCAGCCCGGTGTCTCTGGCGACTAGACAGCGCCGTATGTGTGCCCTGCCCTGCGGAAACTCAAAAGTCGAGCATTTCTTTCCGTTGGGGCCCTTCGATGGGGTGTTCCAATTCCCATGCCTTGCCGCTCTGAACTGACCTCAGCCTGTATGCATGTGCTGCCTTGATCATGCCGTCCACATGGGCTTATGGCTCGTGTAAATCCAAGTCCGGAAGGGGACTTGAATCCCACTGGCAGAAGCTAAAACTGCACGAGGTACATCAACAAGTCTCAATATGTAAAAGTCCAATAATCAACTTCGACTTTCACACTTGGCCCACCTTAGTAATGTCTACAGTAGTTCTTAGAACCCATCGTTGCAAAGCGCTAGACTGCCCTAGATAGTTAGTTGTGAGCAAGCGGGCCCTCTTCCCAGCAGACTGGATAGGCGACGCGGTAATTAGTTGAGCACATCACCCAAGGCTCGACCAGGTATGGAGTCACGGACTGACAGGCACCAAGGACGTAACCGAGACCGATCTCGACACGAAATCCTCCATCTTTGGATGAGGAAGGTCTGCCTTCGCCTCGGTATCTTTGCCGAGAAAGAAACGGGAACAAAGACAAGTCGACTGACCAAGCCACTTGGCAAACAAAAACATGGTTGCGAGGTATGGCGGGATGAGATTGACCACAGCCGCCTACCAGCTGACCAGTCATTGCACCTATATTTCATTGATGAGCGACAAAACTGTAGTGCAGCTCGGGTGATATGACCAAAACAAAAGAGAGCATGCCCGGTTGCGTTTGGGCAAATGGGAAGGAACATGGAAGGAATAAGGAAGGGGTTTGTTGTTAATGAAACGAGTAGGTCAGCACTTGCCGCTTGCGATCAGCAAGCTGTGGCCGCTGAGCATTGTAGGCTCCCTCGGCTCCCTCCAACGCTGAATCCAGAGTTTTGATGGATTTCTTTGAGCATACGCTAGTGTAAGTGTTTGATGTATGCTAGACGCAGATTGGGTTCCCAACCCGAGATGACGAGGATAGGCAGACGGCAGGTCCAGATGAATGGGTGAGGGGTTGGGTTGGTGGTGGCCATTCAGAGCGGGGCAGGATGATGGATTATTGAGGCACGGACCAATTACCGTCACTCACTTTGGCTAGGCCAAGCCCAGGCCAAGCCCAGGCCAAGCCAACGGGAAGGCAAAGAATAGGAGAGTGGATGCATCATCACATCTGACCTTTTCTCCTGCACGAGATGGAAGGGAAAAGAAGAAACATTCGCTGCCAACGGTTGTTGACGTTAATGCAAGTGCGAGAGTGGAGACTGGAGAGTGAAGGCCGACAGCTGCTCGTGCCCATAGCGTGCTTTCCATGCCCGTGTCCGTGCGTAAATTGGAAAGCTGCATCCCAACTCCCGTCAGTGGCATGCAGGCAAGCCTCATTTTTCTGGCGTATCAAGGTAGGCTTGCAGCCCTTCATTGGGAACCGCACTTGACACCCAATCGCAGGGTCCCTTCATCTCCGTGCTTGCAGTAGGAAGGACCTGCACCTTTTTGCGCATGCTACCCTACCGAGTAGAACTCCCGGTATGGGTTATGCGATGTTGCATAGTATCCTACCCAAGGAGCGCCCGTCGGTGTGAAATTCAATTTTATTGTCTTGGCCATCGGGCAAACAAGAGAAACTGCCGTAACGGACCGATGTGAGGAAATGATGAGGGTGAAACAAAATAAAATGGGTATCTCGTTACACCATCACCGCCGAAGTTCCTTTCTTCTCCAGTGCAACCCTAAACGCCCTCAAGTGAGGCTGCATGCTGCATCACTGCAGCTGCACAGTTTGAGTGGGAAGTGAATCTTGGCCTTCAGAAAAGTAAGGCGACGTGGCACCTTCGTTATCAGCCAATAACACGCTCAACCTCCCTCTCCACGGACAATCGCAGAACACAACCGCAGAACGGGGGGTGGGCGAGAGGTTGCCTCGGGCGCTGATTACACACCACGGACTGTACACACTACACAGCGTGGTAGTCAATTCCTTCTCTTGTGCGCCTAGCGGCAGAATTGAGCTGTGATGCGACAGGATGAGCGCTGAATGGGAATTGGAAACAGTTTATTCTGCCTTTTTATTTTCTTTACATTTTTCGGTGCCATATGGCTTACTGAGACTCTCTAACTGACCGAGGTAATAACTACTATTGCCTAGCACAGTACATAAGATGAATCGAGAATGGTGTGATGGGAACAGAGGCAGACAGATGGCAGCCCAGTAACAAGACGTCGATGCCTTGCGTGAAAGCTGGAGCCAGTAACGGAGTTTTCACATTCTCCGAGACAGCATTGATTCTCAATCAGCAGCATCGCAGATTCGTCACGTGGAGGGTGGGCTCTGTTCCTCGCTCTGCACGACACCTTATACATACAATGTATTATTCTGAATGGGTGTTTGAACGTCTTTTGATTGATCTTTTCTGCCCTGATCTATCACGATGCAGGCTCGAGATCCAGGCCACATAAAGAGCCATCCTCCACCCCCTCTCTCCCTCCTCTGCTGGAATGGCGCCGCAGCCATCCTCCATATCTCAGTAAGGAGAGAGGAGGCTGCCCATCCCCACAAGAGAAGTAAAACGTAAAGTGTCGTTTAGCGGCAGTGCTCGATGCGTCAGCACGCAAATGGGCTATTGACCCAGGGAATGTCTAAATTCCTCATGTCCCATCCCAGATTTTCACCTCTGATACAAGCGGAAAGCTTTAATGTTTGAAATCATGTCCATCAAAGCCCAACCAAGGAGCAGAACCGACAAACCGAATAGAGTGAAGACAATGGTATCATGCCGAAGTGATAGGAAATGCCATGCCTTTTGCCCTTCTTCACCCTTCCTTCTATGACAGGAGTTCGGGGGGTATTAGAAAAAGTTTGATCAAAGCGGGGAAGCGCTGATAACAACAGGGCAAAGAGAAAAAGCATGATCCACTCCCGAGGTCGTCCTGGATATTTAACGCCTGCTGTATCCCTATGCGCCGGTTGAACTATGCTCCAGTGCCTGAACTCCTTAGGGGCAGAATAAAAGAGAAGTAGATGAAGACATGAATAAAATAATCAAACCATCCTCGGCATTGGCTTTTCCTTTCGGGTCCACTGGGTTGATGGAGATTAAGCAAAAAAAGCCTCGACGCGGCGAATTATAATCCTTATTTCGGGTTGGCGCCCTTTGGAAGGCGCCAGGGTAAAAACGTTTCTTATCAGGTTGAGTTGGGTTGAGCTGTGAGAAAACCCAGCAATCCATGACGGAGTCACTCATCTTGGTCCTCAAAACCAATGGACCTGATGGTAGTATGTGGGGCGTTACCGTCCAGGAGCAGCGACATGGTAGCAACGTACTCTGGTAAGAGATGGAAGCTAGTAGCAACCCTGCATATGGGCAAACAGAGGGACCTGGTGGTGGAAAGGAATCGGGTGGTGGATCTGTGGCGGAGTCGGCGGCGACGGCTGCGCATACCTCAACATGTCCCAAACAGAGTGATGTAGCTGGAACTTTGGTGGCGCGCACACTGGCTGCACAGGAATCGGCATGGCCTGAACAGGTCCTGCGGTAGCGACAGGGCAAGGGTGGAAGTACTCCTGTGCCTGGAGCGGCACCACCTTGGGCTCCTCGGCTTCGTATATTGCCGGCTCCCCAATGGAAGCTGGTGGTGGTGGGGTTTTGGCCTCGGGAAGATCATCCAAAAAGTCGTCTTCCTCCAAGTCTTCGATGCTGGAGCAGCTCGAGGTTAGAGATCCTTCGTCGGAAGAGCATGTTGAGTCCCCGTCCGAAGAATCAGGTGAGAGCGGCAGCTCATAATCGTAGTCGTCGTCCATGGCCGGTTCCTCTTCGCAAACGTATGTTGATGTGTGTTCTGCAGGCTCAGGCAGTGTCGACAGCTGGGCCGTCGGCTGTTCTGTAAACCTGTGGCAGTCACGTATCCGGGCGCGCAGCTCGGCAAGCGTAATTCTCTGGTGTGGATCCCGGGTAAATATCCTCCCCAAAATGTCGTTCAGTTCGTCCGACACAGGGAGGATGGTTTTCAGGAAATCCTGGCTTCTCGTGTACGCCCGGTAAGTAGAATCTTCAAAGGATGCCTGCTTCCATGGGTTGCGTCCACAGGTGAGGTTCACCAGGATGACTCCTAAGCTCCAAACATCGTTTGGTGCACAGTAGTAAAATGGGCTCCTAGATGAGTGATCCAGGCATTCTAGAAGAGAGAGAAGGAAGATGAAAGAAGTCAGTTGGGAGTTCGGGGGAGGTCAAGAGAACTGGAAGAAATCGGAGGGCCCCCAGACGAGAGGACGGGATAGGGGCGCCGCGGCCGGGAAAGGGAAGGGGTGCTCGGATATCAAAACCTACCTGGAGACATGTAAAAGGTCGAACCGCAACCATAGTCTTCAGACCGGTCACTCGAGGTCGCCAGGCCAAAGTCTGCCAGCTTGACAGTTTCTCCATGGTCGGAGACAAGGATGTTCTCCGGCTTCAAGTCCCGATGGTAGATTCCCAGGCTGTGGCAATGCTCCACGGCATCCAGGATTTGCAGGAAGACCTTCTTGGCCAGCGCATCCTTACCCACATACTGCCCGCACTCGGTGATGTTGTAGAACAAGTCACCTTCAGGGCAGTATTCTAACACAACGTAAATGGCGTCGGGATAGTCGATAATCTTTAGTATTGAAACCACATTTGGGTGCGTGGAGGCGAGGTAGTGCAACCTGATCTCCCTGGTCTGAAAGGCGACCTGGCGGCGGTCCAGCGGAGTCCCATCCGGGTTGAACTTGCTGAGGCACTTGACGGCATACCGGACATGGGTCTTGGTATCGACGGCCGAGTAGACGACGCCGTAAGCGCCGGTCCCGACGATGCCCGTCAACTGCAAGGTTGTCGTGATGAAGCGGCCTAGCCTCTCCTCCGGGGCCACCGGAGCGAAGCGCGGCAAGCCGCACGGCTGTTGCACTGCTAAATGGTTGGGAAGGGCACACGGCTGGCCAAATGCTGGTGATGCTGGTGGTGTGGGGTACCCGTATGCTGAAACATGCTGCATGGTCCGGCAGTTCGCTCCTAGACTCTCTCTTCTCTTCTCCTTTGGCTTGGGTCGTAACCTCCAGGATGCGGCGAGAAAAGAGAGAAATGGAAAACGGCACTGTTTTTTTAGAGTAGAGGAAATGGGATCCTTGAAGCCCAAGAACGGCACTATCCTCTAGACCAAAATGGCGGAATCAAGAGAAAAGCAAAAAGTCCTTTGTTCCGACGGATGGCTCGGAAGATAGCTCCTGGGTTGATTTGAAAGTCCCGGGTCGCAACAAAGGTGACCGAGCTCGAGTGAACGAGTCAAGCCGTGGATAAGCCGTGGAGGAGGCGAGATGGATGGCGGCAAGTGGTTGGGCGTCAATGGGAGAAGGGGCGAAGACTCCACATGTGGCCCGGGCGTTGGTGAACAGAACGGTAGGTAGGTGATTCTCGACAGGAGGAGGGACACGACTCCCACAGCACTGGCAGCAAGGGAGCAGAAGGAAGTCGAAAGAGAAGAGAGGCGGGAGAGAAAGGGTAGTTTTTAATGAGCGTCTAGAAACAAAATGGAGGGGGGAGAAGACGGTTCGACTGTGGTTGCGTGGGTGCAGTGGACGAAGTACTGTACTGTAGGCTGCGTCCAGTAAGAAGAAGGGGGTGGTGGTGAAGGAGGAGGAGGAGGTGGTGGTGGTAGGCAATGTGTGGTGAGGCATCAAGCAGAAATGCGGGCTTGCAGTTCGTTGATATTTGTCGAAACGGCAACTGACTGGTCGAACTGGATTGCTCCGCCGCCCCAATTCTCTAGAACGCAGATGCCCAGCTGCCCAGGATTCCCTGCCCGCCCTCGGATTGTGTGGTGTCGCTGTCTGCTGTGGCTTCATTGGCCCCGACGATCCCATGTCAGACTGGGCCTGGCTCCTCCTCGTCTTGGATGCGTCTCTTGATTGCCCAGAGCCAGGCCTGCATGCCCTGGTGGGCACAGGCCAGCACACCCTCCCGCCCTGGGGACCCACTAGATCCATGAGACCCACGATATCAATGCGAGCACAATGCGCCAGCCTACCTATTCTTGATTTCTTGGGTGGGCGGCGCTACCTTCGTACAAATGCGCTAGCTCGGAAGGAGCGCATTGTGGGTCGACAACGAATGGTGTGGACGGGCCTCCCAGTGGCCCCGGGTGGCCAAGGACACTGGGGTGGGCTTGCCGCCTCTCGGGGCTTTGCGCTAATGCGCTGTGTGAGGGAAAATGTGACAGCGGGCAATTAAACGAAAAGAGGTGAGAAAGCTGGGCCGACACAATCCCGCTCACTCACGACGTCGCCTCTGTGTCACTGAGCCGCGTCGACTGATGTGAAGGCAACCCCAACCATCAACGACATTCGCTCCTCTTCAGTATTCACCCCCTCGCCCCACAGATAGAAAATATTGGAGCCAGTCAGAACACGCAGCTCTCTTCAAGGGGGGGTAGACGAAGGGGTGCGGAAATTGCTTGGTCGTAAAGAGGGGCGTGGGTCGGGATGACAAAGCGGAATCCCAGGCTGTGTCTGGGACTCTGGGCAAATCCGAAGCGTGGCCCCGTGACGTTGCAACGGCTTCGCATTTCGTTCAGCATCGGCTGGAGAAGGCGAAACTCGTCTCCTGACGACGCATCGCCATGCCGGTCGACAAGTGAGTCAAGTAGCGTGTTTAAACTGGTCGAGCGCCTGCTTGCCGCCTCCACTGTATCCAAGGCATCTATGTACCAGGTTTTGAAGGCCTCCCGTCTAGGTAAGGGGAAAGATCCGCCCTGCGATGATTGATGGTGGTGCTGCTGGTGGCGGTACCGTAGTGTGTTTGCTGGACATCGGCTCTCGGCAGCAATTTGCTCGTACAGGTGTGCATTGATTGGCTGTCGCACCTGACTCCGAAAGAGTGGTGATTTTCAGAAACGTCGAAACACTAGTAGGATCAGCAACCAGAGATGGTAGCGGACATGTAGAGAGGTAGACCCTGATCAAGACAAAACTGAAGGCGTCACAGTCTGTCGGATGCACTGCAACAGCCTAGGCAAGCGCTCAACGGTGAACTCTATGTGAGGGTGGATGTGCCGGCTATACTAGTTACCTACGATACTTTGGTATTGTACATACTGTATTCGATATGTGTAACAATGGAAAATACACTAGTTGCACAACACCATCGAGGGAGAGGCATCCACAGCCAAAATGCTAGGACTGCTAAAGATCGGAAAGTGGCTAGTCAATGGGAATTGCAAACCTAGTAGTGAAGGGGCCAGAAATCCGCTTTAGTTAACATAACCGGTGCAATACTCTGCATATCGCGACTTTGCTATTACGACGGCCTCAAATGCTATTACGACGGCCTACAACTGCATGTATCTCCGCCGCCACACGTGCAAGCCACACCAAAATTTTAAAGCCACCAACATCGAAGTACCGGAACTTGATCTGCACGCAAACCATTGAATTGGGTGAAACGCCCACGCCTGGTAATTCTCCTGCGTGCGAGCCCTGGGCTGAATCGCTTAGAAATGCAATCAATTTGAATCGCACGCAAAAAATACTGACAGACTAGACAGACCGCCCTGGCCCCGCTGACTTGTCTGCGCGCAGGGCAGGTGTACTCTCCCGAGTCTGCGCGTCAACGTCCTGCACTTCGATCTTGGCGAGTGCAAAGCTTGGCGCGGCCTGCACGTGTGGCGGCGGAGATACATGCAGTTGTAGGCCGTCGTAATAGCAATTGAGGCCGTCGTAATAGCAAAATCGGCATATCGTATTGTGGCACTAATGACCGTACCATTTATATTCGTATGTACCGTATGGAGTAGTTCGTTAAGGGATCTGCGTAAGCCATAGCCAGAAAGAGGTCAAAGCAAATCGATAGTCCAGCGTCGATTATACGGAGGAATTAGGTATGGCGCACTGGACCCCCCGGTTATTACACTATGTACTGTACAGTACAAGAATACCTTTCCTACACAAGAACGGAGTGTTGGGTGTGAACAAACATCGATTGTGTATGTACGTCCGTACAATTTCTTGTATTGTAAATTACACTACACTCGACCCAGGACCCCTGTTTCCACATTCGATACGGATACTGTACAAGGCAACGGAACTTGTTTGACACACTTTCCCTCAACGCATGATAGGGTGCTGTCTGACCTCTTGATCCCGTCTTTTGCTAAACTTGAAACCCGTGGAAGGATGTTACAACTTCTTCATGTACACTACGAATAAAATAAGAAGAAACCTAGGTTCATATGTACGCGTTTGCCGCCACCACTCGCATCTAGCATCATCGGCGGCTAGATCTTCGTCTCGGCAATGGGCCCCAGCCAGTAGTTTCTCTAACATATAGTGTATAATGTTATCATCGATCCGTGCCTATCTCAGATCTACCTGGGCTGGGCTACACTGTCGGTACTACACTACTGTCCTGGCCTGTACAGAACCTCTTGGACAACATGCGCACATCAGCTAAACGCTTCATAAAATGGATCGCTTACGCGTCATGATTGGCAGCCTTTGTGGCGGGTTGCCTGTCATCTCCCTAACCCGATCTTCGAGAAGGCTCTCTCGGCTCTGTACATAGTTCACTAGTGTACGGAGGTTGGGGCCAAAAGTTTTCGACAACTGGAGCTGGTGCCAAGCCTATCAACGTATGAGAAGCAAGAAGGGGATGAGAGACGCACTGTATTTTCTTTGGGAATAGCGCTCCCTCGCAGATCCCACGTGAGCGGGGACTGGAGCGGCCCTGTGATTGGCCCTGTAACTGGGTTTCATTTTAGTGGATTCAGTGGCTAGTTGTAGGTGGCCTGAGCTGATGTGTGCAAGCCATACTGTACTGGTGGCCTTGGCAGTCTTGGCAAGAGGAATTTGTCGAAAACTTTTGGCCCCAACCTCCGTAGTTTGTCTGTCATGTCTGTCATGTCCGTCATGGACACCAGCCCGAGAGTGCCGGCTGCGCGTGATTTTGAACCGTCAATCAAGGGCTTGGCGGAAAACGGCCGGGGTCCGGCACGCACCGACCTCACGCCACTGATCTCAAGTTGTCAGTATTGTACTGTACTGTACAGACATACACTACACTGGAAGTGTGCAGAACTACTACACTACACATAGCTATGATATGCTCAATAACAGACCTTCTTTGAGTGTTACAGGCGGCACCCGGCATTGTGGCTCGGATAAGATGAAAAGTTCTGATATGCGTCCGTCCGACGGTACCCGAGCGCTGTTCCAGGTTGAGCCGTTGGAACCGTTTCCCGCAGACATTTCCCTCTCAAACACCAGGCAAGCAAGGGTTCATTGCGGGATCGCCTTGTGATTCCTTGTCGCTTCGCGAAACGATCAGTACCTGGCCAAAACGAGCCATTCGAGACTGGTGGAAGTTGGATGCGCATAATACACTTGAAATGGCGAGTAATGAGCGACATCATCAATGATCAAATCCATCATCCCCTGAGGAGGGCATCTTCATCGTGTAGTGATTGCCATATTTGTGTCAGGCTCGCCATTGGGCAGTTGGGACAGGCGATCGCCAAAAACCATTGATCAATCAGATGTAGCAGGATGGTTACCAAACGTCAACTGGCCTCGTGGTGGAGTGTGACACGGACACGAGCCACGATGGAAGAGTCGGGAGGTGGAGCGCCGTCCGAGGCCCTGTCCAAGCATCAGTGTGGGTCTTCTGCTCTTGGCGATTGATGATGAGATCGATAGCGTATCGCTGGAATTGCCGATGATCTAATAAATCCTGGGCCCAATCATCTATTGCCGGTCTTGAGCCGGTCGGCAAGGCTTCCCTCCTCCATGGTACAGGAGCAAGTAGTGTCAATACTTATGAAACGTGCGTCATCTGGACTCCGCTCAATGGATGGACAACGAGAAGAGGATGATGAGAGAGAAGTGAGGGAATAGGAGTACTATACACCACTCACATTATGATGATCCCCTCATTTTACACCACAAGCCTAGGCTCACCATCAATCTACGCCTATCATGCTTCTCCCCACCGCATTATGTCATGACACGCAGCTGACTCTGGACTGCATGTTCGAGTGATAAGTTTGAATGAGAATGCTCCAGGCAGCCTACTGTAGTAGTGGGTGCTCGACTTTCTGTAGTATGTTCTACTATGTGGTGCTCAGAAGACCCCTTCTCATCCATGAACAGCCAGGCCATTGCTCCCATGAGTCACTGCAATGATTCGACGAGATCCGTAATGTATCCAGTCTCAACAGCTTCAAGCTGTTACCTAGTAGCCAGCTGGCCTCTATGATCGGCCTCAGCTGCCAGCCGCCATTGAAGCAGTCAACTTGTTTACCTAAGGTAGTTACCAAATCGACGGCCCCGGGAACTTGAAGGTGAGAGACAGGGAGTGTGAACGGCCAGCCACAGAGAAGTTCAAGTTTACACTTAGCAAGGAGAACGACGGATGACCAAGTGCAACTTAGCTATAGTCTACAGACGCCGGTGAGAATGTGGGGCCAGACGGCAAACCACGGCGGGTGGCCGCATTTGTTGGCCGCTCCGACGGCCGGCACGGCGTCACGGCGTCACGGCGGGGTTCCACCTGAACAAACTCCACAAATGCCCGCTCCATCCGATCCGTCGGGGCGCCAACGCAGTGTCACCTCACCCTTTTCCCGGGACACCATCTGTGACCCCTGCCGTCAGGCTGTGTACTAACATTCCTTCAAGCTAACTAACCGCTTTGCCTTCAATGTACGACCCTAAAGTGCAACATGTGGTCAGACGGCGAACCAAATGCACGCTACTGGCCATGCTAGCACAGAGAAGGATGTTCGACCGGAGATTGGGAACATGTGGAGGCGGCACAGTTGCGGCGAGGGATATCTATGGTTTACCGTTTATCGGACCGTGACATGTTCGAAGTACGGATACACTTTCAATCAGCACCGCACCTCGCCGCAATCTCTTGGTGTGTGTGTGTGCGTGCGTGCGGACACCGACGAATGTAAAAACCGAGCCCTCTTCTCTCAAGCGTCCTGGACCCCTTTTCTTCCTACATTAGAGATGCGACCGTGACACCTCCTCCCCTTTCCCATCCTACATGACGACTGTTAAATCGGTAATACTACACTACAGGTATCATTGCTTTACATTAATGATAGAGTAACATACACCATCTAGGAGTAATCCTGGGAGTAACTTTCATCCGAAAGTGCCTGGGGGTTGGTGGTCAGGGAAAGGTAGTACCGTATCACGGCATTTCACAACCCCTTTCACCGGCTTCAGAAGCAGACGTACAGTACGATACACAGGCGGTTTGCCTACCCGAGGTGTAAAACAGGCAACAGCAGTACGGAGTATTGTACAAGTAACCAGTCACTTGCAATGAGAACCTCGCACAGAAAGGGGCACAACCTGCAATACTCCACCATCACCCAGCCTTACAAAGCGGGAGGCGTAGCGTGCTGTCTTGAGATGAACAATGCAACGATGGCTGTCGATAATTCATACCTAAGAGGCAGGTCCTAACACATATTACTCCAACTGTATCTAACGATGCGTAAGCGTCACCAGCAAAAAGAAGCTGCCACAGGGTCACACTCACAGGTTTGATCATCTTCTTAGTTCGGGATAGGTAGCATCATCGGCCAGGTACGGTCCAGGGCCTACTGTATGTATTCAGACCACAGACATGCCCAGCGGGACAACAACCAACTAGCAGATATACACATCTAGGCGTCCCTTCTGAAATCTACCATGACAAAGTGACGCCGAGGCACAGTATCCATCGACAACTCGCTCACCGCTGACCGCTCACCGCTCCCGCATAGGGCCCAGGCGAGACGCAGACCCTCGCCACGAAACCGCATATCCCGCCTCCTCCCACATACCATCAACCGGCCAAGCACTCTTGTCAATTCTGACGGTGTAAGCTACAACATCCAGGCTTAGCGAGCATGCAAATGCGGATGCACGCGGTGAGTGAAGAAAGGATGCCTGAGCGCCTCAGCCGGAGTGAGACGTTTATCCGGGTTAAGCGTCAAGCAGCGTTCCAGGAGGTCAACAAAGTGGTTGAGCTCCCTGGTCTCGGCATCAGTCATGCCGCTTGACGCCGCAAGCAGACGGGTTCGAAGGTCCCGCGTCGGTGGCACCACCGCCATGTGCTTGATGTTGGTCTATCAGAAGTCAAGGTTCGTTAGTAACTTAGCCCCAATTATGGAAATATCAAAATGAATGGATATAGAGGAAAGAAAATCGGGTGGCTCTGATGCATAAGCGGCCGCTGTGCTTGCTTGCAGGTGGGCAGGCAGGCGGGCAGTAAACTGACAAACAGTTTCCCGAGCCTGCCTGCCTCGTTGTTTTGACTGGAATAGCAGCGGAATGAGAAATCGGCCTGCATGGTCGATCAAATGCAACAGATACACTGGCATTGGGGGCAACGAAACACAGGCGCTTCCGCAGATCTCAATAGCCCGGTGGTAAATGCAGCCCTCAATCAAGGCCCACCACATGGTTACCGAATGTTTGCTGATGACGAAGCGCCAGTTGCTGCGCCGCGGCAAATGTTTCTGGCCGCCCGGGCCCAAGAGATCCCGTTCTTGGCCCGATTGATTGACCAGACCTGGCGCAACCAAACGGACCGTAATAATAGGACAGGGCATTATTTCTGACACCAGGACGTGAAACATTCAGGGCAGATGTACCGTGAAAGTCTCATAGGAAAGAAAACATCGACTTACCTTTCCAAGATTGTCGCGTTCAACGCTGATGAACCTGCCTGTTTCGTCAAAATGCAAATGGGCACGTTCGCCTCGGCGGTACAGCTTGGCGCTTATCTTGCCTCGGATCTCCATGATGTTCTTGAGCATCTGGTTGTTGGTCTCGCCGGTGAAGAGGATTTTGCCCGTGTAAAGCTCGTACAGCGTGCAGCCAATGGACCACATGTCGATGGCATAGTCGAATGGCATGCCCAACATGATCTCGGGGGCTCGGTAGAATCTGCTGACCAGATAAGGCATGACCTCGGTAGAAGCTGTGGCAGCGTCAGAACGGTCAATAGCTGTGCCCAAGTCGCAAATTTTCAGCACGTTCCGGGCTTCGTTCACCTACGGCGCGGTTAACAGTCTGCTTTACATCAACGACAAAAACAAGAAAGAGCATACCAGAATATTGTCAGGCTTCAGATCGGCGTGGATGATGCTCTGTTTGCGCATGTGGCCAAGCGCCAAAAAGATCTGGTACGCGTACGCCCTGGTCGCATTCAGATTGATCCCCACGTTGTTTCCAAACTTCTTGAGGACCTCGCGGAGATTCATGCTAAGGTTCTCAAAGGCCATGCACAGGTGGCCCTTGTGCTCAAAGGATCGCTCAAACCTGACAATGTGTTTCTTGTCGTCGGGATCTGTATCGTTGAGTTTCTGCAGTATGGCAATTTCTGTGTAGCCTCCTTTCCGAAGTGCATCGTTATTCCGCATGATCTTGATGGCGACGACCTTCTTGGAGGTGATGTCAACAGCCCGAGTCACGTTTGCAAACATGCCTCGGCCCAGATTAGTCGAGATCTGGTAGCGCCCATCCAGAAGATCGCCGGCCCTGATTTTGTAATAGCCCTCCTCGTCATCTCCTTCCAGGATACCACCGCCGGCTGCAGTGGGACGCTCCTGATCTGCTTGAGCTTTGGTAGCCGCAGGGGCCGCATATTTCTGCTCGTCAAAGTCTTCGGCGAACATGTCGAAATCATCATCGTCCTCGGTTTGCTTCTTGGCAACCTGGTCCTCATCTGGAACGGTAGGGGCAGCCATTTCTTCCTTCGGAGCGTTCCGCGGTTCCCCATGCAAACCTACGTTACCATGACGCAACTCGTCGCGGCGCTCGTCTTCCTTCATATCAACCGTCGGGTCATAATCGGCGGCCGAAGGCCCGTCTTCGTCGATTGCCCTGGCGTCACCATGAGCGTTGATGAGTGCCTGGTCGTCAGCAAAGTTAAAGGCAGCAGGAGACAGAGCATCCTGGGTTCGCTTTGGGGAGAGCGCGGGCGTTGAGGAGCCGTCTGTGCGGTCAGCGCGTGATTTGCTGAGTGTGTGAAAGGGAGGTTTCTCACTTGATTGCGGCGTGTTGTCCTCGAGTCTTTGCGGAATCGGGGTGTTGTGACGAGTTGAAGCTGGTGTGGACGCAGGCTTATCGCTAGCCTGAGCCTGCAAGGCCTGGATGGAAGGGGTTGCGACGCCAATACCTCGCTTGAGAGCTGCTTCTCTTGCACGCCGACGACGCTCAATCTCGGCCTGAACAGCCGCCTCTTCGTCCATCGCCGTGTCTGGATCCCAGTCAACGTCCGGCTCGGGATCCTGTGCGGGCGCGCTGCGAGCAGGCATTAGCATGGGTCGGCAAACATGTGTAGGGAACATTACCTGGACTGAGAAACCGTCAGGCCATTAATGCCTCGGTCAACCGTAACACCTTGATCAGATTTAGCATCTTGTTTGGAATGACCGGGGGCTTCCACTGGAGCAGCCCGTTTGGAACTAGAGCCCTCCTGTGAACGTCTCTCAGTTTGGGCACTGTACTTGTCTTCGTCTGGCATCCGTCCCCGGTCTCGCCTCCCCTTGTCAGCTCTGCCGCGGGGCGACCGACTGCGGGTCCGCGGACGCTTCTCAGGATAGCCGTTGTAACCAGATTCGCGGTCGTAAGCACGATCATAGCCGCTGCGCTTGCGGTCGTCTGCACGAGGGCCGGAAGGGCGGGGATATGCCGGACGATCGTCGTAGCGAAGTGACCCACGCGAGGCGGGACGGTCTAAATCTCGGTTATAGCGACGGTCATCTCGAGCGCCACCTTCATAGTGAACGCGGAACTGTCGGGCATCGCGGGCGTCGCGGGCATCTCGATGGTCATCGTGTGGCCGCTTCCAGCCACGCGGCGATCGGCTTCGTCGGCTGGGTCCGTCAACCGGGCCCCTCGATGGCAAGTCATTCTCAGGGGTGTTGGACGGAAATCTGCCTCGATGTCTGCCGGTCCGGTCAACATCACCGTTTTGATCAGAGCGAGGCAGGGGAGTTGCCTCTACGATTTCCCCTTCATCCGAGCTGAGCGCAGAAGACGCCATTTGTACCGACCAACTAACAAAGCCGACTACCCAGTTGCACTCCTTTCTTCCCGTTTCTTGCAGTAGTCCAGTTGGTGTTGCAGGCAAATGCCTTCCAATCGAATTCTCAGGTCTGGTTTTGGAAAATCGATGGCAATTGTCAGCTATGCTCGACCGTGCAGCAAACGTGCAGAGCGGAATCCAACCAAGCTGAATTTGGCGATTAATCACCGCAATGGGGATGTGGCTGTAGATGCTCTTGCCGGTGTATCGTAATGGATTGTAATGGCTTCCGGTTTCCTGGTCTGATGACGAACCCACCGAGAGTCAAGGTCGCGTCCCGGAACCACAATCTTGGCAGCAAAGTGAGTTCAGGTGGCAATGCTTGAACCCGGAGTCCGCACCGACAAATTGACAAGGCAATAATAACGTTTATTTACATATCACTACCCATTGCCGGTAACTCCGAGATGCAGCCGGCTCACCGTCTTTAGATAACGGTGCGACCTGGATCTGGACCCTTTTTGTGCCCGATCAATCATAAAGAACCGAAACATCGCATCGAGTCAAGACACCATCACACAGCAGCCAACCGTCTTGAATCCATACTTTCAGCCCAGAGCAAGTCACAAAACAACCAGAACAAAATGGGCGGCCAAAGCAGAGATGGCAAGCATACATCCGTTCAAGAGATCCGCTAAAGAACCAGTCAAAAGCTAACCAATCTCCCCTCCGAGTCGAACAGGCGGCAAAGCCAAGCCCCTCAAGGTCCTCAGCCACCCTCCCTTTTACCACCACCACCACCAGACTGGATTCCGCAACCTATGTACATAGCAGACAACTGACCCAACATGTGCAAAACCGACAGGCCCCGAAGAAAGGCCCCAAGGAACTCGACGAGGACGACAAGGCCTTCCTCGAGAAGAAGCGCGCCGGTGTGCAATATCCCGCCCCTTATCTAACGCCATGATCCACCTTTCCCCGGAGGCTGACTGAAGTTGGGGTGCAGAGGAAAAGGCCAGGAAGGAATTAGCTGCCAAGGCAGGCAAGGGTCCTTTGGTGAGTCCATACTTTGCCTTAGTTACTTACCTCTTCATCTTCTTCGCAATCTGATACTAATTTGCTGCAGAACACGGGCGCCCAGGGCATCAAGAAGTCCGGCAAGAAATAAACCCTCCAGCATTGACTTAAACTGGTCAGGGTTGGCCTGGCGTTGGGATTTTCGTGACTCTCTTCGGCGTAGGGATATCACATCATGGCATTGCTAGGACACGATTGCCTTAGATCATGAGCTAACGAACCGCGGTTTCCTTTTTCTATTCATCTCCTGCATGGCGTCTGGCAGTACCTGTGAATCCACACTTTAGATACCCTTCCCGACACCATGTCAGTCACGCCTTTGCTTGGGTCGTCGAGGAATGCTTTCAGTAGTAGAAGATGATATTTGCTCCATGCAAGGTCGAGCCTTGACCTCGGAAGCTGAAAATTAAAACGGTGTCTACTGTTGCAACAGTCTCTATCCCGCCCATGTATCATAGCCCGTGGCCAATCCTTAGACACGGACGAACCAAGCATGCCACCGAACCGCCGTAAACGCCAGAGCAATGCCGTGCAAATCTTAACCCGCCTCGCTTTCCTCCCTATTTTCAAACCAGGTTGTCGAACCGGAGGTGAAAATGCCCTAGGTCCCCTATATCTTCAATCTCTATAAGAGCAGCAGCATGTTCATGAGAAACTGCAATATTCTCCTCGACATCTTCTAGTTTCCTCCCCAGATGTTGCTTCCGCTGCGCGTTGCAGCACCGGGCGTGGCACTTCGGCCCCCTCTGAAATAGTCGTATTGCGCCGGGGCCTGTGCCGGGCTTTGCGCCCGGCTCACCGCAAGGGGGACTTGGATCATGTCGTCATCCGTCTGCGGAAGTCCCCCGTAGCCGTACGGACCGCCTCCTAGCATACCCGGAGCGCGCGTATTTGTAATACCTAATCCACCAGGTCCGCGAGTCGAACCGGGGTCGTAATTCGGGTCCCTCGATCCATACGGACTGGGTCCCGGTAAACTCGGTGCCGACACTGGCATCCCGGCTGCGCCTGCAACGAGATTGGTGCCGCTGTCGTTACCATGACTGTACAGTTGACCTCGCGATATGGGCGGGACGCTGTCCATCGTCGATGAGTAGACATGTTGCCCAGGATACGCGCCAGCATGGTCTGTAGAAGCCATGTACCCTGTGGGATATGCTGGGCCAACGCTGGGCTCAGAATATGGGGCGAATGATCTCCTGTTGGAGCTGAAGCCCATTCCACCCATGGGAGTCCCGGGCCGCGAGCTTGGCTCAGAAAAGGGATCGCTTCCAAGCGTGCCTGGAGTGCCCGGACGGACCATGTCCGAGGGTCTGCCAAACAGCTCACCAGCACCATGGTCTGCCGCAAATTCGTCTCGGTTCTTGTAAAACTCGAAATCCAGTCGCGATTCAGGGACAACTTCAAACCCTGGGACCGCAGCCGAGAGCTTCCCAGCCTTGCCAGACACCATATTGTCGAGAACATACGTGTCGCTGTAACCGCTGACGGACATCGAATCTCCGGTTCCGGCATCGCGTCCATCTGACAGGCGTCCTTGATAGACGCTCGCAAGCACATGCTGCGCTTTTGCATGCACCATGGGCGTGATGAGGGGCTTGTAGAGAGCAGGGTGGCCGAAGCGAGCAGCAAGCCGATCGTTCCGCAGACTCTGCTCCTTCATGTTCACGGCTGCCTCAACATGAGTCTGGCTCGAATACCTTGTCGCAAAGTACTGTATCTTGTCATCGAACGTCTTTGCGCAAAATATCTTGAAGGCAATCAAGAGGAAGGGCAGGGGAACGACGGCATATGCTTGGATATGGGTTCCATCGCCCCGGACCCAGACCACCAAGAAGACAATTAGGTGAGAGAGGAAGGTGGCGAAAATGAAGCGGTTGAACAGCATCCGCCAAAACATGCCGCCGCTCTCTGTCTTGGTGACGAAGACGTACAGCAGAAGGTACTTCTTTAACCCCACGTCGAGGCAGAAGTAAAGAGCTGCTGCCGGGAGCACGAGCGGCTGGATCGTTCCGTAGCAAAGGGCGACGGTTGAGTAGAACAGAAAATAGTTGTAGTAGCTCGCATAATCGAAAGGCGGGGGCGCGGTCAGTTCGATCAACTCGCGAGGTGTAGGACTCGAGAACTTGCGCATGATGAAACTGTAGAAGAGCGTCCAAAGCTGAGCCAGGTCGACTGCTGCTCCAAGTTCCCTCTGAAGAAGCCAAGCGACCCAGAAGGGGGATATGTTGCAGAGCGAGACGAAGACTGTCACGAAAAAATTACCGTCAAGAATGGCTTTCCAGGCATCCGTGCCCAAGTTGGTCCGCTGGACGACGCCCGCCGTGAAGGTCCATATCGCGCTGAAAATGGAGAAGACGATGAGATTGTTGAAGACGAAGAAGGCGTAGAGTTTAGCCACGACGTGACGTTCACGCCCGGTCTTGGTCTGGTCGCCAGCTTTGATGGACATGCGCCGGAAAATGATGGGAAGGGCGAGGTAGACCAACGACGTGATTGCTGGGGAAGCGATACCCTGGATAATGGACCAGAGGGTATAATTGGCTGATAACGAGTCTTGAAACGCCTTCCAGACGAAACCCAGGTTGGCCAGATTCACGAGGAAAATGGCAATGAAGGCGTTTGGCGCGATCCACAAGATGGTCAGCACGGTCACCCAAAGATTGTTCCACAGCCGCCTTGTGCTCCTGACCGAGGAGCTGAGCGGCATGTTGTCCCAGATGATATCGTTCGGCCGGGGAGCGAGCCGAACCGTGGCGCCGTGGGGCTTCTTGTTCCGGCAGGCGTAGGCGATAGCATGTGCTTCGGCAATATCGGAGTACGATGCGAAACCATATGGCATGGACCCTCTCTTGTCGATCCTTTGCCGGACATCCTTAATCTCCAGCTCCAACGATTTGATTCGCTGCGTGTAATAGTCAATGGCATCGAGTTTGTGGCCTTTCGGATACGTCCCAAAAGAGGGGTCCTTCTTGGATGGCGAGCATGTTGGCCTTGTTGCTGGGATATTATTAGGATCTTTCAAATATATCGCCAAGACCTTCTCCAGTTTCCGCACAGCCTTGTTGTGCTGGTCAATAAGATCGGGCAATATCTTGACGTCGCGGGCGATGGCGGTGCGGGAAAAGGATGAGCTGGGGGCGACTCCGTCGATGATTCTTGCGATCCCTTCGTCCGACGAGAAGTTCTTGGGAAGATCATACAACTGGCGTCGTAGTTAGCAGGGTACAAAGCTTCCGTCAGAAACCGGTGTGCGTTTACCATCAGCGTGCGAGCATGCAGACTCTGTTGATACTCTTCGCTCCGCAAGTATTGGCGCCTCAGCTGCAAGACCTTCCGGTAGTTCCACCAGAGAAAGCCGCAAATGACCAAGGTAAACAGGTAAGCGAAGGTGACAGTAGCCCATTGAGCAGAACCCCAAACGTTCCTCGGCGTGACCCTAGCAAGCCAGGAATCATCACTAGACGAGATGACTGTCCAGTTGGCCCAATTGACAGGTATCAAGATGGCGCAACCCAGCACCGAGAGAACGACGAAGATGTTGCGGCACATCCTGGTAAATCGCATGAAAATGGCGGCATCCATGCCGACTAAGTTCACAATATCCTGCTCTGACGTCGACCATAGCGGAAAGATCCACGCAAAGACACCCTTTCCTAAGGGCGGGGGCGCATGTTTCTCATCGGCGTGCTTTAGTTTCGGCGCATATACAACGCTGTTGTACGGGCGAAGAAACGAGAAACAGATGGCTATGGCGGCAGTGATACCAAGCGACGAGCCTAACGCAGCAACCACCGAACTTTGCGCCAACTACCGAGTCGTTGATCAGCAAATGGTCAAACAAGTATTCTATCCAGGGGCAATACAAACGGCATACCTGGGACGAGAAAGGATCTGCCAACAACCTCAATAGCGCCTCTGTAGGGCTCTCCTCGGGCTTGGCCCCATCCCTCGCGAAGAGAAGGCTCAGTTTGTCCATGGTGGCCCTAAGTCCGCGGTAGGTTGCCCGCGAAGGGCATGGGGGGTTTGAGATCGTCTCAGCCGAGAAAACGTGCGAGAGCTGTCGGGTAGTCAGTTTGGGTTGCTTTCTGTATCTTCGATTCGCGGGATTGACCGTTCAAAGAGCGTTTCGTATCTTCAGGTATGGGCTCTGGCAGAGTCGGAGACCGAAAACTCAGCACAGATCGCTGACGATGGAAGGCATCAATCTCGTACGTTATTCCACGCCCTCGATCGTAACGTAAAGGATTGGCGGAACGGGTTATGGATGAAGTGCGAAATGGCAAGACCTGCCAACGTGTAAAGTGGTGCGATGGAGGATGCGAGTACTGTGCGAATCACAGGCCTTCTGTTGAACAACGAGTGTGAGAAGAGATCGAATTGTAATTAGAGAGTGGTGTTCGAAATCTCCAAAGAGCATTCAATGAAGAATCGAACTTCAAAATGTTGGATTTCCAACAAACAGTAGCAGAAAAGCAGGGTAGTGGTTCTGGAAGGCCCGTGGCGCGGGATCCTCAATCGTGGTTGGATGCCAAGAACGCCAGGGTATCCGTATAATTACATACAATGCAGTAATTACAGCAAGTACATCCCTGAGGTAAGGTAAGGGATCTTAAACCCAGGACTTATTCTCTCCCTTTACCTTTCCACCCACCTCAGTTTCAGCCCTCTACCTTACATCACCTACTCAAACTACTGCTCTGTCCCGGCATTTAAATAGCTACATACATATGATTTACATATGCAAAGCCTGGAAAGCCCCGATAAGACCACTTTGTTGTGGTCAAATCGGGTGAGGAAAACGGTCTCGCGTATCAATACCTCCTTGGCCTGTTTCTATTTTGGCACTACTGGTACTGTACATTCCTTTCCACTATGGAGGCAACGTTGGGGCCTCGTGAGCTGATTCCCTGACTGGCCGTCCCACCCCAACGCACAAGTGGGCCTCAAGCATGAATACGAGCCTCAGGTGCAACGGGGTCACGGCCCAACTCACAGGACGTTGCAGGAAGGATTCTCTTGAAGTCGTCAACTCGGTCACCAGATATGTGCACTCCTGTAATGATATATATATTCTCGAAGCGTGTCAACTTACCGGTCTCAAGCTTCTGTCTTGCAGACAGACCTGTGCTCCCGCTGTTGTCAGAACTTTAGTCTGGGGGATGCATAATTGAATCGGAATTTGACGCCCCTTGTTGGGCCGATGATCCTTTGCCCTGGATCCGGGAAGCTCGGTCGGGATTTGCCACATCGGAACGTTTGATCTGAACGATGTGTTAAAGATCCGCTGATTGTGCAGATCATCTGTAGATCCAGCCACTGGAAAACACCAGACCGGATCGCTCTAAAGACTTCAACTTCAAGGCCGAGACTTTGAGATGTTGTATGCACAATATGTACATCGTACTGTACCTACTACACTTACGTATGTGCAGGCCATGAGTTCATGCGGCTCGGGCTTGTGTTTCGTTTCAGACCGTGTTTTGGCAACGTAAGTTACTCCAGGATTACGCTAGCGGTACCCGCCCGTTCAACGAATCCGACATGGTAATGTACTGTACCTTACTTTTCCGCAGTGACTTGGCGCCATAACCACCACAATTGTTTTAGTTTACAGCCTCATAACATAGGGAGAGGTGAAAGCCTCTTCCTGATACGTGGGTAGACTTAACCAAAAGATACAAGATGCAAAAACAGCAAAGCAGCTAATAACCAAAAGCACACCCGGGATTTTGGAACCACCGACCTACTCCTCCAATCCTCATAGTTCAGGTAAACACCAGAAACGAAACAGCCACCCCACAAATTACCACCCCCTTACCTTAAGCTGTTACCTTTCCTCATCCAAACAAATCAAGCCTCAACCGGGCCTTGACTCCTCGTTTTCCTCTGGGTGCGCCCGACAGCTGGTTGCGGCTTGGACTGCTTTCGCGGGCGACCAGGTCTCTTCGCGGGCGCTGGTGGAGCAGCGTCCATTCCAGTTTCCGGTTGGGGCACCGTCTTGGCATTTCCGTTGGCCTGCTTGGCTTGGTCGGTTTCGGCCTCGGTCGGCGCTGCGGTTGCGGCTGGGGCGGTTCCGGGCTCGGTTTCGGTCTCGGCATTGGTTTTGGCTTTCTTCTGCTCTCCGCCGGCTTCGGCATCCGCGTCAGCATCCCCACTGAAAGCGTCTTCGGCCTTTCGCTTGTTGCTGCTGCTGTTGTCGTCGCGGTTGTCGGTTCCCACCACCGGCGCGGCCACGCCATCCTCCGTAACTGTTTCGGCGGCGGCCTCCTTCATCTCAACGTCGGCGTCATCCTTCTTCTGCTCCCTGGCTTGTTCTCCGTTAGCAGTTACGGCCGGGGCAGTAGCCGCGCTCTCCGTGGCTTTCTCCGCGGGCTTCTCGAGAACGCCTTTGCTGAGTCCCTCCGTAGGCTTCTCAGTCACGGGTGGAGCTGTAGCCATCGCAGCGGCGCCGTTCGTCTCTTTGCCTTCCATATCCGGGACAGCAGTAGGCAGCACAGCAGGCTCAGCGGCCTGGGCATGGTTACCATTGGTGGCGCCACTTTGGCTCGATTCCTGGTGCGATGCGCCGGGTTCGGCTGGGAGGTCCGCGGGCTTAGAAGCAGAGGTTGATACGGGAACAGGGGCGGATGCCTCATTCTTGTCCTCCTGGCCGGTTCCAGACGCGCCCAAGGTTTGGGTTCCCGCAGCGGTCGATGGCGTGGGCGCAGCTGGTTCAGCAGGCTGCAGCTGTTCCTGTTCAGCGACTATTCCATCTAGCATAGCCCTAATGTCAGCATTCTGGGCCGAGAACGGCGCGGCCTGAAATTGAAACTATGCACCACTCGCTTTGCATACTGCAGTGAAATCAAAGGTGGTTTGCTTGGTTGTCGGGCAATGCCGGTTGGCCGCGCTGGTCGCTCACCTTTGTGCGCCTCGGCAGCCATGGTGAAAATGACGTAACGTTGAAGGCCCAAATTCGGCGCTAAGAGGTAGCAGGGGGTCGAGTCGTGGATTGAGCGCAAGTACAGTGAGATGAGCTGTCCTCAATGGGTTGCCCAACCGTTTGCCGTTGTCGAGTTGATGATGGATGGGCAAATTGCAAAGCAATTGAAGGAAAAAGAAACCGGGAGGAGAAACCGCTTGAGGTTGGGGCGGACAGAATGCCGTCGCACACAGTGCCGGATGCAGTTGCCTTGACGAATCAGAGGCCGGCGCGCACTCAGCAAAACAAGGTTGCTCACCTCAAGATAGCCGTGCACCTGCGGGGAATGCTGGAGCGCTGGTGTGGTGCCATGCCAGGCCGGCGGGGTTCTCTACCCGATCTTGGAAGCGCATGGAATTCGACGAATGCTCAGGGGAAGCCCGCAGACATTGATAAGCTCACAGATTGTAAGGCAAAGGAGGTACCTTAAGTATCTACCCAGGTATTGTACGTGCCTATGAACTTCACCTACACGTGTGGCATCAAATAATCATTCAAGGATTGATCGGCTCGTCGTCATGATCCCAAGATTCTAATTGCGGGGAAAACTGCCTTGGTTACCTAGCTGCTATCAAACAAGAAGTCAGAGAGGACAGGGAGGGAGATACGGAGTGCTGTACGAAGTGGATCGACAAGAAAAAAATGAATAGGCAAGATGGAATAGATACCCAAAAAAAACATACAACACCAGGGATTCGCTGGTCGTCACCGACCCAACTACTAATCTGGCCCTTACTGGTTTATCTAGGGGAGAGCGGACGGGATCCCGAGCTTTCCAGTAGGTATGGTCGTATGTAATAGATTTCATGCGAAATTTACTTTATATGGGTATTCCGTAGTTGATCAGCTATTCAATTGCAATGCGTCGCCACAGCTGTGCGAGGCCAGTCGCTGCCAAAGGCTGGAGGTTTCAGAGCTACCGTTTTAGGCAGAGTGATTCATTCAGGCACGACCTATCTGGCAAGCGAATGAGCCCTCTACTGTCTGATAGCGCGTCAGATACATAAGGTACCTTACATACGCTATGTTGAACCATTCGTCGTCTGCAAGATCATAGGGCTGAGCTGCTACGATCCAATTCGCCGATCGGTATGCTCCATCAAGGTACAGTACCCGGTGCTTGATCTAGAAACTGCAAGTTCGGGATGACTCTGTCGGTTTCACATTCCGCTCTTTGGCCTTCTCTAACTCTCAAAGGAGAGGTTCTGAGTCTGAGGCATAAACACCGACGGTGGCACATACTAGGTACCTTTCAGTTAAATGAACCGACTAAGGGCTTGAGCCTTGAGGTAAACATAGCAAGGCGTTCTCATGCGCAGTAGCGAACAACAACTCCCACGGACTGGAGAAGGCCTTACAACATAATTCAGCGTTTAGCATTGGACCGTGAAATGGAGTATTGCAGGATTCATTTGCAGCCAATGGACCACGAACATTGGCAGAGCGCCCCAGAGGTAGTTGCCAACAAACTTATCTGACCAACGTCCAACCTTCCATGCATTGCCAGCCAATCCCTCGAGAGATATTTGAATAACCTAATCAAACCAACAATCGGCTTCAACTCTGCTGACATCCATAGAACTCGGACTCGAGAGTTGGAGGTCGGATTCGCTAGGGCTGACGGCATCCGATCCAGACCATGATATTGTCCTGGTTCATAATGCCACCGCGGTTCCGGCATTTTGACACTTTCCATGCTCAGCTGCAAGTGCGGTTTCTTGATGTCGACTTGACGGATCACTCGCAGCCGCCATGGAGCTGTTCGGATTTTTTCTGTCCTGGCAGTCCATCGCCGTCACGGTGGTCGTCTACTGCCTCACTCTCGCATTCTATCGCCTCTACTTGCACCCACTTGCCAAGTTCCCCGGCTCAAAGCTGGCTGCCATCACGCGCTACTATGAAGCCTACTACGACATTGTGCAGAACGGCCAGTACACGTTCCGCATTGCCGAGATGCACAAGAAATATGGCAAGGGGCCTCTGCCACCGCCAGAGTTGAGGCGGTTTGCCTGTTCAGTTAATTCTTCTATTGCTGACACGCGCGGTACTGCAAACCTCAAGGTCCCATTGTCCGCATAAGCCCCTACGAGCTGCACATCAACGACCCGGCCTATTTCGAGAAGCTTTACCGCCATGACGGCCGCTGGAACAAGTACGCCTGGGCAATTGATGCCCAAAACGCGCCGGGCGCCATCATCTTCACGGCCGACCACGACCAGCACAGGGCCCGTCGACAGCCGCTGAATGCCTTCTTCTCCAGAGCCAGCGTGGTCCGCCGCCAGGACCTGATTCGCCGCCACATCGAGAGGTTGTGCGAGCGGGTTGCCGAGTTCGCGGCCACGGGGCAGGCCATGGACCTCGGCGCCGCCATCAGCGCGTTCCAGCGCGATGTCTCGACCGAATTCATCCTCGGCAAGAGCTACGACAGCCTCAAGCAACCCGACTTTGGCGTCGGCATGACACGCGTCATGCACGGCGGAGGAACCATATGGCGCTTAACCAAGCACATCCGCTGGTACGGGCCCGCCATGCTCTCTATCCCCAGGGATTTCCTCATCAAGAACGCCGACCGAGACACTGCCAACTTTATGCGCTATGCCAAGGCAAGTAGTACAATCCGCCGCCAGCTAGGGGTTCTACGTAACGAAGAGAGCTTCAAGTTGTTGCTGATCACGTCTATATTCAAAACCGCCCCCTTCAGGCTAGCGACGACGAGACCGCACGACTCTTAAAAGCGGCTGCTTCCTACAGGCCGGACGACGACACACCCCGCACCATCGTGCACGAGATCTTTGACTCGAACCTGCCGCCCGAGGACAAGACGGTTGCGCGCGTCTTTTCCGACGTCGCCACGGTGACGGGTGCCGGGTTCGAGACTACAGCGAGCGTCCTGCGGCTCGTCACGTACCACGTCTTTAGCAACGGCGCGATCCTCAGACGGCTGCGTGCCGAGCTCGCCAAGGCCGCTGCTGCCCGGTCGTCACCCAGTGGCAGCGGTTCGACTCCCATGATGGACCTGCACACGCTCGAGCGGCTGCCGTACCTGACGGCCGTCTTGATGGAGGGCATGCGCCTGAGTCCGGCCATCGCCACCCGCTCGCAGCGCATCGCGCCCGACCGGGACCTGGTCTATGGCGATTGGCGCATCCCAGCCGGCACGCCCGTCGGCATGACCGTCCTGCTAATGCACACGGACGAAAGGCTATACCCGGATCCGCAGCGGTTCGACCCGGAGCGGTGGCTTAACCCGGAGACCCGCAAGAAGTCGGAGAAGACGTACGCGCCTTTCTCGCGGGGGACGAGAATCTGCCTCGGCATGCAGTATGTACTACCTACCTATCCTTCTTCCATTATCAGTTAGAAAGTCGTATACCTTCCAGCTTTTTCTTCTCTTGGTGCTAACCAGGTAACCGTTTGACTTATAAAGCCTTGCATGGGCAGAGATGTATCTCATTATGGCCGCACTGGTTCAGAAATTTGACTTTGACTTCCGGGGCCTGAAAGCGGATCATTTTCAGGTGATGAGCGACCAGTTCATCATCAGCACCAAGGGAAAGGCTGTTTTGGAGGCGCTGGTTTCTCTTCATTAGACATGAGAGAACACTAGAGGTGGTCTGCGAGTCCATATCGCCGTTCAATTGCATAGTACATGCAAGGACACCGCTTATGGGGTCAGCTAATGTACGGGATGTCTGGATGGACTATGCCGTAGCATTGGGCTCAATCTTGGGAAGCCGTACTCGGGTCTCAATGATAGGTCCTGTGTAGAATTCCTGTCCATAGTGACTACTAGCGACTGGTCTGGTGGCTTGGATTATGGACTCTTGCCCTTTGGAAAACCAGAGCATGAGGATATGAGCAGCGAATCGTGCTACAATTGGGCAGCAACTGAATTGAATTCCCGCTACGGCCACGCCCCCCTGAACTGAGGGATGAATTGGACCGAGGATTCCACTTGCCTCAACAATGAAATCCCATCGGACTCGATTATGCCTTCCAGAGACACCCTGTTCATACCCTATTCTTCAAGCTTCCTTGAACCAACATACCTTGAACGATACTAAGGTGCAATTGAAGGTCTGTAACTCGCACAATGTCTTGAAAGCCAATTGGGGACAGGAGACCGGTCAAGATGTTTCTGGGATCAATGTGTAAATGTGGCTAGTCTGGTGATTCATCCGTCTGGCCACAAGGTACTTGGAATAAGGTTCACCACTGTCACATTGTTGAAATACAGGAACCTGTACCGGGACTTTGTCCCGGAGAACTTGAAGACATGGGGCCAGTATTCACTTCTTTTCGTCACAGCGCACAAAGATGACCTTGGGCTCCGTTATTTGGAGAGTACACTACCCGTTGGACGTCGACTGAGAAGATCCCTAGGCCCGGGGCCATGTGTCAAAGCCCGGTGGCAGGTCATTGAATCCAATATTCGATGTCCGCTAGTTGTACAGTACCTACCGGCATCACTTGATAGTCGAAATGTCATAGGCATTCAGGTCCAGGATCAAACCCAACTTAACTGGCATGGCAGCCCAAAATCAAACTCTTACTCCCCTGGTGACAGAGCCTTCAGGCAACATGACAAACACTTACCTTACCTATTCGCCGCCTCCAGCATTCCTTGCCCATACCTACCACTCACAAGTCTGCCAATGCAATGGAATGCATGCACGCACAGAAGCATCACCGAGCCTCTCGCGGGATTACGTGAGTACCAAGAGTATAGGTGGGGGTTTGGTACTGCCATCCCACTTTGTCCCCACCGAAACAGCGAGCGCGCTGGCCGAGAAAAGCGATCAGAAATCCGGTCCGGCCACTCAAACCCTCTGTGTTTCCTTCCCGGCCGTTTTGGCGCTTTCGGCCCTTGTTCACGTGCCAACTTTCCTGCACGAGAAAAACGCACCGTGCATGTTAAGCGTGCATTCGGGTTCAGCCACAAAAAAACCACGGCAGCGGGCGCCATGTTCGCCGGGTGGGGGAAGGGGGAACGAAAGAGCGGAGAGAGCGGTGATATGGGGCCATGGAAGCAGGGAGACCCAATTGAACATCCAACGACATCCGAGCACGGCCGAGAATGCCTCCCCGGGGTCCCCCCAAACTTACACAGTACACGACCGGAGGTGCCAAGCCCCGAACAGGCAGAGGAACGGACCGCCGAGCCCATGTGCCAACACTGCCAAGGGACTGGTGACTTGCTTCGCAACCCTTCGAAGCCCATCCGTCGCCGCCGGCTCGCCCTATCAGAGCGCCCACCGGTGCTTCCTGGCGCCATCTTGGGGACTTGGGCCATCTTGGCCTCTTGTCGAGAGCATCGATGGACGAAAGGAATGACGCCCATTGTCCCCATTGCTGCCCTGATCATAAACCCACAGAACGATAAGAATGAGAGTGACTGCCACCCCACTGTGGGGCATTCGCCGTCTTCCCGCCACACAATGGCTCGAATGGCTTCTTCGACCAGCCCGTCGATCAGGATTATGACTTCGTGGTTTCTCTTGGCTGGATAAGCCAAGATGCTTGTGTCTCCTTCTTCTGGACCGATTAACCGGTGTGCAAGAAAAGATTGCCTGCCTTACTCCCCATGGGGGAGGGTTGCCCGAAGACAATGGCTCCGGATCTCGGGCCCAACGGTGGAATGACAATGTACTTAAACAAAGCAAGATCCCCCGGTTCCCGCCCCTCGTGATCACATCTCACCGTCATACCGTTGAGTATCATTGCCAGATACCTCCCTTGCCTTACCATACGCATCGTAGAACTCTTTGTAGATTCTGCGACGCCAAGTCCCCTGTATTCAACACTCCAATGCCGCGAACTGGACCACTTCCGAGGCCGTACTCCATCATCCCTGCTTCCCGACTGAACGTAACCTTCCGCAATGGCTGCCGAGTTCCCCAAGCACCCCTTCCTGCTCTCCGTCCGGGAGGTTGAGGAGGCCCTGGGAACCGATGTCGACAAGGGGCTGACGGAAGCCCAAGTCGCCGAGCTGCAGAGAAAGTATCCCCCAAATGAGCTGGACGTCGGTGGCAGCATCGCCTGGTATACCATCTTCATCCGCCAGCTATGCAATGCCATGATCCTGGTAGGCCTCTAGTTACCCCAGACAATACCATCACCCCTTTTAGCCCTAGCTGATGCGCGACGAGGTCCTCTTTTTCGCCATGGCCCTGAGCTTCGGCGTCGCCGACTATGTCGAGGGCGGCGTCCTGGCCGCAGTTATCGTTCTCAACGTCTCAATTGGCTTCTACCAAGAGTACGGCGCCGAGAAGAAGATGGATGCGCTGCGTGCCCTGTCCTCGCCCAGTGCCAGCGTCCTTCGAGACGGCAAGACAGTCGTCATTCCCAAGTGAGTGCTTTCCCCTTCCCCGGTGATGCGAGCGCGGCTGACACCCACCTCCACCCAAACCAGCGCCCAAGTCGTACCCGGCGACATCGTCAACCTCAAAATGGGCGACACGGTCCCTGCCGATGTGCGCCTCTTCGAGGCCATGAACCTGAACTGCGACGAGTCCTCCCTGACCGGTGAGGCTGTGCCCGTAGAGAAGCTCACCAGCAACGACATTCTCTGCCCGGGCACCGAGAAGGCGGCCACATCGGAGGACGAGGTCGGCATAGCCGACCGCATCAACATGGCCTACGCCACCACGATAGTGCGCAAGGGCCGCGGGCGCGGCATCGTCATCGCGACGGGCATGCAGACCGAGGTCGGCAAGATCGCCGCCTCCACCAACAAGAAGCACCGCAAGGCGGGCCGGTCCATGAGCTGGAAAAAGTACGGCCCAACACAGCCTATCAAGGGCGCCTTCCGCCGGACCTATGACTTCTTGGGCAAGTTCCTGGGCCTGACCGAGGGCACCCCGCTGCAGATCAAGCTGTCCAAGCTGGCCTACTTCCTCTTCTTCTGTGCCCTGCTCTTGGCTGTTGTCGTGTTTGGCGTCAATGAATTCAAACTGCCGTTGCCCAAGGAGGTTGTCATCTACGCCATTTCCACCGGCATTGCCATCATTCCCGAGTCGCTCGTCGCTGTGCTGACCCTCTCCATGGTTGTGGCGACCACCGTCATGAGGAAGGCGAACGTCGTCGTCCGGTGAGTGTGCCCCCATATCAACCTGGTCTAGCCCTTCAAGGATGAGCTAACTGTGTTCTGGTCAGTGACCTCTCTGCCCTCGAGGCGCTGGGAGGTGTGACGAACATCTGCTCCGACAAGACGGGTACTCTCACCCAAGGTGCCATGATCGTCAAGAAGGTCTGGCTCCCAAAATCTTCCATATACACAGTTCGAGACTCGATGGATCCCAACAACCCCACAGCCGGCCACGTCACCTACTCGCAGGCGAGCGAGCAGTTAGAGGAGGACAAGAAGCGCGATTTTGACCAGGAACGGTCCGCCATGGCCATCAAATTCGACATACCTGAGAACAAGCACAACCTCAAGCAGGAGAAGGAGGCCGAGCCGCAGGCCGAGGTGACGCCCGAGCTGCACATGTTCCTCCTCTCGACGGCGCTCTGCAACCTCGCAACAGTGCGGTACGACGACGCCGAGGAGAAGTGGAAAACGACGGGCGAGCCGACCGAGATTGCGCTGCAGGTCTTTACCCACCGCTTTGACAGGGGCAAGAAGAGGATGGAGGCAGCCGGCTGGAAGCAGGTCGCCGAATTCCCCTTTGACAGTTCCATCAAGCGCATGTCGGTCGTCTACGACGTGCCCGAGGGTAACGATGCCGGTCTGGATGCCGGCAGCAGTGTGGTTTTCACCAAAGGCGCCGTGGAGCGCATTCTAGACCTTTGCTCCTACGTCGGCCTGGACGACGACGCGGAACCGATGACGGAAGACATGAAGGACAAGATTCTGGCTCAAATGACCAGCTTTGCGTCCATGGGGCAGCGGGTTCTTGCCATCGCCTACCGGCAGTGGCCGGGAAAATATATTGCCGGCAAGAACGACGGTATGGAGACTGGTTCTGACGGAAGTACGCCGCTGGGCGAGAAGAGCGAGGACGCCGCTCGTAACGCCGTCGAGAGGAACCTGACTCTGTTGGGTCTGGCCGGCATCTACGACCCACCCCGCCGCGAGACGTCGCCCGCCATCTTTGATTGCGCCTTGGCCGGCATCAAGGTGCACATGCTGACAGGCGACCACCCGGAAACGGCCAAGGCGATCGCCAAGGAGGTGGGCATCATCCCGCACAACCTGGGCGTGTTCCCTGCGGGCGTCGCCAACACGACCGTCATGAAAGCCACCGACTTTGACAAGATGACCGACGACGAGATTGACGCGCTGGAGGAGCTTCCCCTCGTCATCGCGCGGTGCGCGCCCGAGACAAAGACGCGCATGGTTGAGGCGCTGCGGCGACGCAACGCTTTCATGGCCATGACGGGCGACGGCGTCAACGACGCGCCCTCGCTGAGCCGGGCCGACGTGGGCATCGCCATGGGCACGGGCAGCGACGTGGCCAAATCGGCGGCCAAGATTGTGCTGACCGACGACAAGTTCAACAGCATCGTGGCGGCCATTCGAGAAGGGCGGCGCATGTTTGAGAACATCCAAAAGTTTGTGCTGCACCTGCTGAGCAGCAACGTCGGCGAGGTGATCCTGCTCATTGCCGGGCTGGGCTTCCGCGACCAGTCACGCTTCTCCGTCTTCCCCATCTCGCCCCTGGAGATTCTGTGGATCAACATGGTCACGTCGTCCTTCCCGGCCTTTGGGCTGGGCCGTGAGAAGGCCGGCGCCGAGGTGATGCGCAAGCCGCCGCACAACAAGAAGCGCGGCGTCTTCACGCACCAGATCATGGCCGACATGCTCGTGTATGGACTGCTGATGGGTATCTGCACGCTCATGACGTTCGTCATTGTTGTCTACGGCATGTACGACGGCGAGCTGGGCCACGACTGCAACCGTAAATTCTCCGAGTCGTGCATCCCCGTTTTCCGAGCGCGTGCCGCCGTCTTCGCCGAGCTGACGTGGTTGATCCTGCTGAGCGCATGGGAGTTCAAGAGCATCCGGCGGTCCATGTTCCGCCTCAACCCGGACGACCAGTCCAAGTTCCCGCTGTTCAAAGACCTGTACGAGAACCGGTTCCTCTTTTGGGCCGTCGTGATTGGCGGCCTCAGCGTGTTCCCGACGGTGTACATCCCCTACCTCAACGAGGACGTGTTCAAGCACACTGCCATCAGCTGGGAATGGGGTGTGGTGGTCGGCATGACCATCCTCTACGTGGTAGGCCTCGAGTCGTGGAAGTATGTGAAGCGCACCCTCAACATCCTCGACGACCACAAGGTGGTCAGGGGGGTCTGGTCGCAAGGCGAGGAGGGTGCCAAGCGGTTTTCGAGGGCCATGACCTTTGCAAGCTTCAGAAGCTTCAGGAGCTGGGGGCGTTCCGAGTCCAAGTCGAGGGCGCAGTCTAGCGGTGCGTTGACTCCGGTCACAACGCAGTCTCGGCAGAACACGTTCACGCTTAGCCCGCCATTGTCGCCCGTCTGAAGAGGTTGTTTTCCGTAATGGCCACGATATGTATTCTGCCCGGGGAGGTAGAGGTAGGGTTAGTTCACCAAAAATGGCTTTTGGTTTCCCGGATCATATGTGGGATGTCTACCTATAGAGAGTGTGTAGATGCGAGGAGCAAAAAAAGTGGCCTCGGTTAGGAGAGCGAGTTTGGATATCGGAGTTTGAAGGTTGGGATACCCCGTCGTGAAGTGTAGCTATTGCAGGTGTGAAGTGATTGGAGAAGGTCCCTGGCGATGTCCATAGCTAGATCAGGTACATATATTGCGCTTGATCAATGTGTGAGAAATTGGTCTGGGGGTTGATTTTGTCGATGTCTTTCTGGAAATGGGAGTGCGATGTGTCCCTGATCCATGGATGTTGAGATCCTGGCAGTTGTTGAACTCTAAGCTTGAGATTCAGGCAAGGACGTTGCCCAAAATGACCACCCCGGCTAGCACCGAATTCAACGGTATTACCATACTGTATTGTGCGTGTACATACAGTACAATACATACAAGTACCCGTATTGTAAGTGTACCGTACAATACCGTACGTACGAAAACGCTCCCCTGACTTGTTAGTGCAACACTGCCCTGCAGCTCCAATTCGCAGTGCATGCGGCCAGCCTGGCCATCGCCATTTCCCCTTTCTCTGATCAACGCATTGAATTGAGCCCCTTTCCAGCAATCCACAACAACAACAGACACAATGGCTCCAGCGAAACCCTCAAGCGGGAAAGACACCTACTCGGTGATCCTGCCCACATTTAACGAGCGCCAAAACCTTCCCATCATTACTTGGCTGCTCAACCGCACCTTCACCGAACAGTGCGTCTCTAGTCTTGGAATGCGCCACCACGAGCCCGCTTGCGAGAGATAGGCTGACGCGCTTTTCCGCTCACTCCATAGCAAGCTCGACTGGGAACTCGTGATTGTCGACGACGGCTCGCCCGACGGCACCCAGGATGTCGCGAAGCAGCTCGTCAAGGTGTACTCGCCGCACGTACAGCTGCAGACGCGGACAGGCAAGCTGGGGCTGGGCACGGCCTACGTGCACGGCCTCAAGTTCGCAAAGGGCAACCACATCATCATCATGGACGCCGACTTCAGCCACCATCCCAAGTTTATCCCGCAGATGATTGCCAAGCAAAAGTCGGGCAACTACGACATCATCACGGGCACCCGCTACGCTGGCGACGGCGGCGTCTACGGCTGGGACCTGAAACGCAAGCTGACGAGCAAGGGCGCCAACATCTTTGCCGACACCGTCCTCCGCCCCGGCGTGAGCGACCTGACGGGCAGCTTCAGGCTGTACAAGCGGAGTGTGCTCGAGAAGCTGTTTGAGAGTACCGACGCGCGAGGCTTCACCATGCAGATGGCCCTGGCCGTCACCGCCAAAGCCAAGGGCTATTCGATCGGCGAAGTTCCCATTTCGTTTGTGGACAGGGTTTACGGCGATAGGTAAGCATGGCGGATCAAGCGATTCAGTGTCCCTCGCTGTCCTCGCTGCATTGCTAACCCTAACCCTCAGCAAACTAGGTGGAGAGGAGATCGTCGAATACGCGAAAGGGGTTCTGCAGCTGTGGTGGTCGATATGAGGACAATAAGGGAGGTAGTGGTGATAATGATAATATCGGATACCAAGCGACAAGAAAATGGTTCAGGGATAGACGGAACATTGCGCTGCTGTACGAGTAAGGGTAGGATTTGTTGGGGCTTGCACGGCGTTGAAAGGTTAAGGGACATAATTTGTGCAGATCTTTAGGTCGAGCAAGCGCCATTGATGCCAGCTAAGCTCCCGTTCAAAGAACATGATCGCTGCTTAGAGCTCAAGCAGTTCCAATGGCAAACAATACGCGGAGGACTCCAATGGCAATGAAGACACAATCACCGAACGCCCCTACCAAACAAACCACCGCCAGTTATTCCTACTTTATTCGGGCAGGAGTCAAAAATGCCTGGGTGGCTTGGACTTTTAGTCCATTTGAGTCGCCTTCACTCCGCTGCTAAGCTAGCTGGCGGTTGACTGACCGCAAAAATACAACGGGTAAGACGGCGAATTCATCAAATCAAATGCTGCTTGCACCGCCACTCCAAATTCACTTATTAGATGTCACCCGGCCTGGCCCTGCCAACATCACCGTCTATCATTCCATCACACAAGCTCTCACAGCATTACCCGATTGCGACGGACTTTACATACCTTTGAGATGGGACTCAAACCTAAGGATGAAGAACGGGATCTGCAGAAGCAAAGCCCTCTAGAGGAAACTCCTCCGCCGTACGAGGGCGATGAATATGTCCACAGAAACCACAGGCAATCATCACATCAAGAAAGTCAAGATCTCCCTAGGTCCGGAGGAGAGCCATCAAACCGGGCGCGACACCCTGCCGATTCACCATCGGCCGAAGCGGAGCGACCAACCCTATGGCGCAGGATATACCGCGGTCTCGCGAAGTTTACGCCAGTCCAGAATCTCAGCCACCAGCAGGCAAAGCAACGCCGCCATCACTCATGGCAGCGTACAGATGGCCGGGCTGAACCTCGGCCAGGTCCAGGAATCGACCCTGCCGAGGACGACGTCAGATGGGGTCCGAGGGGGCGAGCAGAGACATCTCGTTCGCAACCAGATCGGCTACCACCTCGGGGATTCAGATACCTCATCGAGACCATGCTCTGCCCCCCAAAGTATCGGCGGCCAGGGAAGAGTGTCAACGCACGGTGGATCGCGAGCATGATGATCTGCACCGACAGTCTCTCGGAGCACTTGTCACGAGACCTCCCCTGGCTCGGCAATCTTCACCGGTGCTGGGACGACCACATCGAAGTAGCACCTCACCCGGTCGAAAGGACTGTCAAAACATACAAGCGGGCCATCAGCGTGGCCTACATGAATGCTGAACTGTCTGCAGGTGAGTGGCAGGTCACCATCACCGTCTGGTCTCGGAACGGCCAGTGGCTGCAGGACTTGACGTATGAGGACATGGGAAAGCTGATTGACTTCGACTCGGCTGTACGGTAAGTATCCAAGAGCTTTGGGTCGTTTGTAAACCGGTAATCAGACTTCAGCTGACGGCTAGAACAGCGTTGTTGGCTATAGGCGTCTCAGCGACGACCCGCTTGCGGCTTGCGAGGCATTCTACGTAAATTTCCTCAAGCTGGCCGCGGATTTCGAGTTACAGATGCCAGTGATGCCGTTGCACGGTACCCCAAGCTGGGAGCTGGCCAGAATCGTAGAAGAGCACATCAAAAGGTACATTCCGAAGTGGCCTTCATGAAAAGGGGAGGTTGGGCCAAGTAACGTGAGCAATCACCTGCACCCAAGTCAGAACCTGGCCGGGTTTAGCTCCGATGGGAACTTGAAGTTCTGGCCCGCGATGAATGTCCGACGTGGCTATATCACCGAGCGTTATCAGCAGCGTAGGACTACTGGTAGGCAGCCAACTTGCAGTGGTGACTCGTCACCATCTAGCCAGGATAACCATCAACCGAGTCACATCAATAGCAGCAGGAACGCCATCTGCTAGAACAAGGCCAAATTCAGGAGCATATTGCCCTCTTGCCGGGCTCACCTGGACCACAAAAAGGGGCATTGATCATATTGCCTTAGAAAGTGAGAATAATCAAGATAGGCAAGAATGGGAAATTCAGGTTCTTTGGGTAACTTAACTTGCCTCCGTTTTCCCATACTCTACTTGCTTCTCATTCCACCTTCGTACCTTTCTTTGCTGTACTTATAAAGCCATCAGCCGGGCGTCGAGAAAGCTCGCCTCGGGGCGTACAATAATGATAGCATGGGGAGAATGTTACATGTGGGCTGCAGCAGTCCTTCTTTGCCGTCTATGGTTGCTTCGCTTCGTAACTTGAGAAGTTCGAGCGGCTCAAGGGAGGCATCATGTTCGTCCCCGCGAGGTGAGAGATAGAAGGGCCGAGTCTAGTGTAGAATGGCCGCTCAAAGCGAGCTTGGTAAAATCCGGCATACTCCCGGTCTATGATGGCATTTATCTTCAGCGTGTCTAGGTCCGACGATGACGTTCTGCTGAGACAAGTCGTTGTGACAGAACACACACTCGTCATGGTCGGATGGTTCCAAGTGCCACTGGTCAGTTTCTGTGCGCCGTAGAACTCGATAAGGGGGCATCACAATCTCGGATGGTCCACCAAGTTGATTGGACTTGAGAGCCGTGAGGATTGCGAGATGGCTGTGTAGCTCCTCGCACACTACTTCGTACGGCCTTCTGATCCTCGTTTAGGCTGAACATGTCCACACCTTCGACGTAGCCCGTGATCGAGTAACAAGCATCGTCGTCTTCAAAGTCGCAGTAAACTGTCGGGACTGGGATATTGGTATGATGTCGAATGTACCGCAATGATTTCGCTTCATTCATGACCCTCTCCTTCGGTACGTGAAGAACTCGTTATCTTGTGCTGAACTCCCTGGATTATTGATGAACGCCCCTTCACGATGGTAATATTTCCTCTCAAATGTGACCGCAAAACACCCTTCCTCCGGTGCTTCTTGGTTTTCAGGCATTAGAACACTGACCGGGGTTGAATGCAGGCGGAACCAGAAGCTGGAGAATTGAATTCGTAACACATCGGTTGTTCCCTGAGCCAAGTATGAGCTCAGTATTTATCTGCCGTCATCATACAAAAAGTTCTGGTTTGGCGTCAGCATTTGTGATAAAGTGATTACCTACCACCGCCGAAGATTGAGAACCGAAGGTAAGTTTGTCCGGCCAGCAGTGGAGTTCAAGGCATTGATGATTTGATGTGATGAATTGAAATGAAGTTGTCTGTATCCGTATGAAAGGTACAGAGTACATACTGGGTGGGGCAGCCACCTTCCTGCAATGCCGGCATTAACATCTCCAGCTAGGGTCTACCTAAGTTCCGGTGGCGGCGGGGCAGTATCCGTGATACCTTCTCCTCTTCCACAACCACCATAGAGATACCACCCCAATGCAAAGAAAGGTTGGACGAGCACCGTCAGGCCGCTTGTCACGGCTGAAGCCGGTTGAAATAGACCCGCTTGCAGAGTATGGGCTGCCGTCGAAAGGAGAGAGGAGGTTCGCCGTGTCCTAGCCTCTCTCTTTCGCCCAACTAATTGTCATCGCACAGGCTTCTCTCCCCAAAGGTACAAGAAGCCTACTACGCCAAGATAGCCGAGCGCTATCTGGCCTTTTGCACCGACGCTGGCGACAGCGATGGGCTGCAGAAGCAATTCGGCCGGCTGGCTATAACCGACAGCCAACAACTCCCTTCTTCGTCCTCCCCTACCCCACCACCATCCCGACCACCCACCTCTCACTCCAACCCGCAGCAAAAGCAAACGAACGACTCCGACCTTGGGCAGATCCTTTCCGCGCTCCGCAAGCTCAGGGAAGGCATCGTCGCCTCGCGCCGCCGTGACACCTTCGCCGCCCAAGTCTACCTGTTCGCCGTCCGTCTGGGCATCCTGACCTCGTCGTACGAAACATACTATCCAGCGCTACTCTACCTCTTACACACGCTACACCCCATGAGCACCACCAGCACCACGGCCACCACCACTAACAGCAACCCAACCCCCCAAGCATCGCCATCCGCATCATTACTAACCCCGGTCGAGCTGCACGAAGCGCAAAGCTACCTCATCCTAGACACGGCCTGCCGAACGGGGGACCTGGCCGAGGCCTACGCGCTACGCCGGCGGTTCCGCTTCGCAGACGCAAAGGTGGACGCGGCGCTGCGGGCGCTGGCACACGACAACTGGGTCGCCTGGAGGCGGGTCGCGCGGACCGTGGACGGGCACCGGGCGCGGATCATGGAGTTCGCCGAGCCGGAGCTGCGGACCCACACGCTCAAGGCGATCGGGCGGTCCTACCTGTCCGCGGACATGGGATTTGTGGAAAAGGCTACAGGCTTGGCGTGGGAAGAGCTCAAGACGCGGTTTGCGGTCGGGTGGGAGTTGGAACAACCTCCTGGGGGTCTCGGGGAGGGGGAAATTGCGAGGGTGATCATACGCCGGGTGAAAGTGAGGTGAATAGATGGGTTTGCTGGAGGATGAGGACGGGGAAACGGCGTTCAGGAGTTGACGGCTGGCATGCTTGTGATGGTAATTGGCTGCAGATACCATGAGTTGAGTATCCTATATTTGCCTCCGCGGTTGTGGGGAGCCATATGGACGGTTCGCCGCGACAATACGTGGGACATCCCGCTGAGCTGCTGGACGCTCCACGAGTCTGGGAGGAGCAACCTGACGCCTTCAGAGACCGTTGAGTTCCATCTGGACCTATCCGCAGCTTTGAGGCGGAATATCCCGAAGACAGCTGTGCGAATGATCCTTTCCTTTTGCTTCTCCTGCAGACTAGCAGTGAAAGGTCCCGCATATCCGTCGGATTTTGTGCAGAGCATAGCGTGATGTAGTAATTAGTAGGTAATACATGTGGAGCCCAGGAGAAGAGCCCCTTACATCGGACGAGCTAGCCGATGACATCGGCAGGCATGCATGATTGACAGGCCATCGCGCCGGAAAGAAATCCCTCCTGAACAGTGCTCAGCATATCCAAAAAGCAAGGGTCATTCATTAGTACATCAGTAACCCCCACCGAAAAGCGAAATAAAGCGGAAGACCCTGTACACATCGAACCAAGCAACCTCGTCAATCGTCATTCGTCCTCTCCCCCACCAATTACACGGCCATGACGATTGAACTCCGCGGTCGACTCAGAGGAGGGCGACAGCCGCCATGATGCCGCCAATGGCACCGAGGCCGGCCGCGGCGGTAGGTCTCGGGCCGAAGTTGGAGCTCTGGCTGGTGGAAGTGGGGTTCGAGGCACCGGTGGCGGTGCCCGTAGTGGTAGAGGCAGGCGGAGCGGAAGTGGTTGAGTCAGTGCCGGTGGCGGTAGTCGTGGCTGAGGTATCGGCCGGGCCGGACGACGACGTCGTGCTGGTACAGGTGACCGCGCTTGGCACGGACACGCCGGCCGCGCCGCAAATCTGTTACCGGAAAGCCTGTTAGCAAATCTGTACATGAGGGCGTCATGTCGGGGCAACTGACCCCCGACGCAAATGCAACAGCTGAAGTCTGATCGGCTGCATCGCAAACTCCAGCGAGGCAGCAGGCAATGCCACTAATGAACCCGCTGTTGCCGCAGATGCACTGGACATCTGCAGTGCCGCAGCCCGGAATGCCACCAGTGAGGTACTGGTTAGCACAACTTTGCTGTACGTTCAACAAAAGTCAGTATCAAATTTGAACAGGCTGTATACCACGATACTCGGGGGTTGGTGGACTCACGGCGCATGAGGGCAGGCCGTCGAGCTGGGCAACGGCGCTGCCAGCCAGAGCAATTGAAAGAAGAACAGCGGGAATCTTCATGGTGATTGCGCTGTTGACTATCTGGGACAATTGGGTCTTTGTTGTTGGCGAACCCCTGGGCTGATAAGTGGTGAGAGCGAGGGATCAATGGACGAGAAACCGCGACGGAGTGCTCGGGGAGGTGAATGGAATGCCAGGTGCGGATAGCTCCACTGCAGTTAAATAACATCCTGGTTATTGCTATGTAGGTCCAAAAATTTCCCCGGAAATTGCAGTCCCCACAGGAGGATATTGGCTGCCACAGGGCACTTTCTCCCCACAATTGTTAGTGCAAATTCATCTTTGCAATTCTAAACTTCAAAACCATGCTCAAGAATCATTCAAAACAAATGCATTTCGCAACGTTTTCATCCATATATTCACTCTAACTCGAAGCCCTAACCGCTAACCCAAGTCCTAGCCACTAATCCTAACCACTAACCCTAACCACTAACCCTAGCCCAGTTTCTTGCGTGTGTCGCGTTGCAGGTGGGAGTATAACAGTGGAAAGGTGGGTACGTGTCCAGATCGGGAAGAGTGGAGGTGTGGCGTTTTGGACCTCGATAGCAAAAGGCAACATCCTCTACCCCCGGGATCAGCGCCGCAGTCTAGCAGGATCCAGCCCAATGAGACGTGCCCCCTGGCTGCCAGGCCGCCGCGCCACAGGTAAATCATTGGATCATCGCCGGTGACGTGGGTTAGGAACTGCGAACAGGCCAAAAAGGCTGCATCCGGCCTGTTATGGAGGTTCCATCTGTTTGTGGCTGGGTGCAAATGTAAAGCCAACCTACAGTTTGGTATGATAACTTGATTTTTGATCTCATCTTCTACCTCTCTAGATGAATGCTAGCTGATTAACGTCCGGGAGCACTGCGATGAGTAATCAACGAGGCAACCTATGTATGTACCTAACTTACGGATATGTGAGGTAATTTACATAGGTACCTATGTAGGTATGTACTGTACTGTACAATACATAGCAATATATCCGCGATATCCGTACGTCACCAGAGACCATCTTCCCGGCCATAACAACGGGCTTGTCCATCAAAGGTAGGTACCACCACTTCGGGAGGGCAGGCCACGCGGCGACCTGTCCCGTTGAGCAACCTGATCGGCAGTACGGTGTTATTTTACCCACCAAGGCAACGTTTTGGGTCTCGGCCCTACGGACTACAAGGACGGCAGTGGACGGCAGTACACTACGGGGAGTACATCACATTCACTAGGTTCTCCGTACCTACCTTGCACTAACTCCACATGATGCCCCAAGTATGGGGTAAAAAGCGAGCAGTCAATCCATTGCGCAAGTCGCTTGATGGGAACAGAGCCTTGAACTGGATTTTCGTACGGAGTAGTGTATGTAACATAACACGGCGTGGGACCGAGGCCGTGTGAGTTTGAGGAAGGCAGGAGAAGCGGTGAGCTTGGGATCACCGAAAATGATGGAAACACTGGCGCGCATCACTCTCATCAATGGCAAGACATCGGCTGACCTGGTACAAAAGTACTGTGGTATGAGCATGGACATTCCGTGTTCGGCTGCAAGCTCCGTTAACATGTCACCCCATGTTAAAGATCGTCGCTACACGTCCAAAGGTATCGATTCCTGTGCATGGTTAGTGGTCCCGCCGTTGACTCTTGACATGATTGGATGATTGGTAAGATTGATGCTTGGCAGATGCTAATCGTGAATCTTGTCCTGGTGCTCTTCGAACACAAACCAAACGCCAAACGGCCACTCCCTTTCCCTAGAGAATTGTTGATCAGACGGCGGCGCGCGCTGTATTCAAGCAAGTACTCTCGCCGTACGACATGTGTCTCCGGTGATCTTTGCCGGGCCGCATTTCCAGCTATCAGCTATCGACGACAAAAATTCCCGAGGACCCGTTGAATCCGCGAACCCGACGCCAAGTTGAGAACTTGAGACAGGCTTCAAGATGCGCTTCAGCAAGTTGGGAATCCTCGAGGACGAGGTCATGGACCACGTCCCTGGTACGATTTCTTCTTCCAACACTGGGCCGGTAGATGCATGCCATTGCGCGAATAGACACAGCTAACACCAAGACCCTTCCCCCTAAAGGCACCACTCGATATTTTGACGACCCTGAGAGGCCGCAATATGCTGCCGATGGGACGACGGGCCTCAAGTGCGATACCAGCGGGCCGGTGCCTATCATTCTCGTGCCCCAACCGTCTGACGACCCGAATGATCCCCTGAACTGGCCGCTATGGAAGCGCGATCTGATCACATTCATCCTCTCCATGACTGCCATCTTCGCGACTGCCCTTGGTCCTATTCTCGCCGCCAATACGCTGACGCTAACTTTCGGTTACCTTGTCCCCTTCACCAAGATCGCCGAACTGACTGGCTACTACCTGCTCGGCGTGGGTGTCGCCGCCTTCCTCTTTGTGCCTTCGGGCCGCATCTGGGGCAAGCGCCATCTGTTTGTTGCTGGCACCGTCATCCTGATTGCTACTAGCGCCTGGGGAGGCGCGTCCAACCGGAGGGGTGACTACACCAGCATGGTATGGGCGAGGGTCTTTCAGGGCGTTGCTACGGCTCCCTTTGAGTCACTGGTCAACGCCGCGGTGGGCGACTTGTACTTTGTGCATGTAGGTGGTGTTTTCAGGACGATGAAACTGTTAAGGAGGCTAATCAACCGAATGACAGCAACGCGGTATACGTATGGCCTTCACCAATCTCGCAGTGTTTGGGGGCGCTTTTTTTACCCCTATTCTCGTCGGCAAGATCACACACTCCATTGGATGGCCCTGGACCTTCTACTTCATTGCAATCTTCTGCGGCGCATGTCTGCCAGCCATCTATTTCTTCTGCCCGGAGACCGCCTACCGCCGGGACACGGCCCTCAATCTTGACCTGTTGGACACCAATAGCGACTCAAATGCGATTGGGCAAAAAGAGTCTACTGCTGCCTATGAATTACACGACAATAATGCTGCCATCCATGAACTACACGGCAACAATGCCCATGCCCACGAGTTAGACGGCAATAACCCCCCTATTCACGAGCTAGACGGCAACAACCCCAGTCACGGGCTAGACGCCAATACTGACGCCCCTAGTCATGGGCTAGACGCCAATACTAACTCCCCTAGTCATGGGCTAGACGCCAATACTAACTCCCCTAGTCATGGGCTAAACGGCAATACTGACGCCCCTAGTCATGGGCTAAACGGCAATAACGCTCGAACGAATGCTGTCAACGGAGAGGCCAACCAGTCTGGCGAATCTAGCCGGGTAGTCGAAGCGAACGAAGCTGCCAAGCCGGTGATGAGGCCAAAGGCGACATTCCGGCAGTCGCTGGCATTGTTCAACGGGAGGAAGACTGACGAGAGCTTCTGGAAGCTCCTGTTGCGTCCTCTTCCGCTCTTCCTGCAGCCCGCTTTCCTCTGGGCGTGTCTGATCCAGGGCACAATGATCGGCTGGACCGTCTTCATCGGTGTTATTCTGGCTCAGTTTTTCCTGGCAACTCCGCTGTGGTGGAACGAGGTCCAAACAGGATACGCGTACACGGGCGCCTTCATCGGCGCGATCCTGGGCTTCGTCATTGCCGGTGTGTTGTCTGACTGGACCGCTCGCAAGATGACTAAGTGGAACAACGGCGTATACGAACCCGAGTTCCGCATCGTGCTCGTCATCCCCCAGATGATCCTGGGTTGCGCAGGCTTATACGGCTGGGGTATCACCGTCGACGGCCTCCTGCATAGTCGCTATCACTGGGCTGTCCCACTGACCTTCTTCGCCCTGGAAGTGGCTGGCATGGTTATCGGCGCCGTCGCCAGCTCTCTGTATATTGTAGATGCCTACCGTACGTTCCCACCCAACCCCCCGTTTTCCGCTCAAAATGTGTGCTCATACCCCCTACCAGGCGGTTTGGCCATCGAGGCCTTCACCTGCATGATTGTTTTCAAGAACATTTTCAGTTTTGCCCTGACTCTCAAGGCATTTGATTGGCTTGTTCGCTCAGGCTCCAAGGCTACTATCCTGTTCAATGCCTTGGGATCTGTTCAGTTGGTTATCTGCCTGCTCAGCATACCCATGTGTAAGTCCATAGCCCTTTGGCCGTCTCTATGAGTTTCTAGGCTGACTCAGATATCTGGCTATGCGTGACAGACATTTTTGGCAAGCGAATTCGCAGCTTTTTCTATCGGAATGACATACTTGCATTTTTCAAAGTCCGATAGGGGTTGACATTTTGGTCCAGCTGCTGCTCTCACAAGGAGCGGACTCGGTAACGATTACTATGTCTTTACATATTCTTAATTCTTGTCATAATATGGGTGGGAAAGTGGTCAGGATATAATATACCCAATCAAGCGTACACAACACGGGCGTGCAGCCCTGCTATTGCTGAGTAGATTTCCAGAAGACCTTCCTGATCGCTGCCGCCTTGCAAACTATTGATTTGTGGTCATGTATATAAAACCGCCCTGGTATAACGACAATCACCCAATCTCACACCAGACAATCGGCATGATTCTAGAACAAAGTACCAATCCCCATCTAGAGTCAGACTTTATATCTTGGCCTTCTCTTTCCTCGCATCCTTAAGATGCTTGCTAATCTCCCCAGAAATAAGAAAGTCCGGATATGTCATGCCAGGGTCCAGCCCAACCCCAAGCCCGCCCTGCCGCCTCCAGCCGGCGCCGTCAACAACGATGGTCGTCCCGTTGATGTAGTTGCCCGCGTCGCTAAAAACAAAAACGGTCGCGTCGGCGATGTCGCGCACTGTGCCCCACCGCCCGCTCGGCACCGCCTTGTCCCGGTCCTCCCCCTTCACCTGGCTGCTCGCCAGCCGTTCCATGCCCTCGGTCCCCGCGATGGCGCCCGGGGCCACGCAGTTGGCCGTCACGCCGTACGGCCCGTACTCGAGCGCTGCGCTGCCCATCAGAGAGTCGATGGCCGCCTTGGCCGCCGAAACGTGCGCCTGCAGCGGCATGCCCGTGTAGTGGAACGTGGCCGACACGGACAGGAACCGCCCTCCCGTCGTCCCCTGGCGGTTCGGGTTCGGGTTGCGGGACGCCGAGGCGATCAGGTGCGGGATGGTGGCCTTGAGGGTGTTGAAGGTGCCTATGGTGTCGATTTCGATGACGGCCTTGAAGGCGTTGGGCGAGAGTCCCGCGATTGGGGCTACAAAGTTGCCTGCTGCGCCAGCGCTGTTGGGATCTGGTCAGTAATCATGGGAAGAAAGGGGCTTCGCTATGTGGAACAGGGGGTATGCGCACACAACGTAGTCGATGGAGCCTAGTTCCTTGACACAGCGGTCTGCTGCCGCCTTAAGGGACTCAAACTGCGTTGGTGCCAGTCAGCTAGCCATTCCTGCTCCTGCTACAGTTCTGAGCAACCTAAACGGAGTGCACCCACATTACGGACATCGACGCCGCCTATGCCCAGCACGCGGGCACCGCTCCGTACTTTGGCAATTTCCTTTGCAGCCGCCTCGGTCTTCTCGACGTTGCGCCCAATAATGCAGGCGTCGGCGCCGAGGTGTACGAGCGCCCGGGTCTGCGCTCTGCCAATTGACCCGGCACCGCCCGTGATGAACAACACGCGGTTGGCTGCAGTTGCCGTGGTTAGGTCAACCTCGAAGGCCTGTTTTATGACGGGATTCACACACCAAATATGCCCTCTGCCCATGCATTGCTGAGATACTCTGACTTGGGAACAGACATTGTGACTTTTTTGTGAGATTTGTGAGATTGGTTGCGGGATTCGCGGGAGAGGACGCTGCTTTGCTTTCGGTTTCAAGTCAGGAATGTTTTACACATCTGGCCTTTGCAAATACAATATGTGCAAGGAAATTATGAGTAGACGTTCATCTGTTCCTTCTCATCAGTTGCTCCTGCTTGCTGACTTCCAGTGACCGGGGTCAGTTGTGTAACAAGCAACTACCGTGCTGGGGTAGTTGCCTCGGCTGGACTCCGCCGGCCCCACTTCCACGGGATGCACTCCGCCGGCTTGCCGGGTTCCACATACCGAAACGGATACAGATACGGAGTACGAACTACGAAGGTGTCTAGACTACTATAGGGCATTCAACGATACTTACGTTTTCTATGTACTAATTTACGCATTATGGCATTGAATTAGGTATCCTGTTCAAACCCGAGATACAGTCAAGACGGTCACAGCTGAATAGAAGTCCGAAATTGTAATTACCGTAGGCACGATTCTCTTGTATGTAACAATACAACACAATTCACTAAGGTACGGATAAGCTACACTGTAGCCCCACTCCGCATTACACGGCAGTCGCGACGCGCTTCTTTCTCGGACGATCTGCGCGTTCTCTCCGATCACAGCAATTCAATGACAACGGCCAAACCAGAAGGAGACATCTAATTTCAGCATCATGGCAACTGAGCAGCCTGTCACCCTGAAGAAAAAGTTGCCATTCAAGCGCACCGTAGCACGGAAGGTACAGCCCGATCCTGAGACAGAAACGCCTCAAAAAGCCGAAGATGACAACGGTCTTGATCTTTTCAGGCACTCGGAAGAGGTTTTTGCTACAGTTTTACGTGAAAAAGAAGAAGAGGCTCTTAGAGAGGAATCAACCTTGGAGAAACATCACAGCAAGCGCAGAAAGGTGTCCGTTGACAGGAGTCCGAAGAGGTGCGCGGGAATCTTATGCGCCCTTAGCTTCTACTATTGACCATTCTCATAGTGATTCACCGGCACGTTCATCTAACGAGTCAATACTTCGCAATCGATCTATAACACTCGATGAGTCCGACGACGATTTGATTATAGATGTAAAAGGCAAGGGGAAAGAGGTTAACAGACCCAGCAAGTCGCCGCTCCCAAGGAGACCGGCCCGCGAAAGAACGGCCTCCAGGACAACAACGCCCTCTCTTCCAGTCGCTGTCACGACGATAGATGATGACGATGACGATGTAATACCAGTCCCGAATTCCGGCCGCCGACGAACATCAAGCAGCCGCAGCGTCACACCTGGCCGCCGGCAGAACAAGGCCGCCCGTGACCGCTACGCCGAGAATAATTCACCCTTCGGGACCCCCAACCTCGCGCCAAAGACCGAACCGAGGAATGCCAACCCAGACTCGGATATCGAAGAGATTCCCCCACTGGAAGCGCCCGAGCCCGATGAGTTTAGCGAGTGGATTGTTAAAGCGCAGGAGTTACAAGAAAAAGCGCGACAATCCGCCATCGTCGTCTGCTTTCTCACTTCACGGCTCGATGGCTCGTTCCCGGTGGTGGCAAAGCGGAGGCTGAACCAGGGCGTGGCGCTGCTGCTCGAGGTGTGGGCGGAGACGCAGCGCAAGCGGGGCATCATCGTCCCCGAGGAGGTCGAGAGCAGCCTGTTCCTGACCTGGAAAGGGAACAAGATCTACCGGCAAAGCACCCTGGCCTCGCTGGGCGTGCAGGTCGATGCGCAGGGCCGGTTGAAGAGCGGCGGCGGCGGTGGCGAGGGATACATGAAGGGCGGCATCCACCTCGAGGTGTGGACCGAGCAAGTTTACCGGCAGTGGCAGGAGGACAGGGAACGGGAAAGGGCGCTCAAGTTGGGCGTCTTGGATGGAGACAAGCCGGATGGGGCGATCAAGGCCGAGAGAGAAGCTGACGACGAGCCGGTGGTGGTGAAGCAGAAGAAGGGCATCAAAGTGGTTCTCAAGGCGAAAGATCGAGAACCATTGAAGCTGTCGGCGAAAGAGGACTCGAGCGTGGTGACGCTTATTGGGGCGTTCCGCACCCAGCGGGGGATCGGGCCGGAGTGGGATGTCGCCATATACTTTGACGGGGAGAGACTGGAGGAGGATTCACTGGTCAAGGATGCCGACGTCGATCTGGGCGATATCAACCAGTTCGAGGTTCATATAAAGAAGCGAGGCCGGTAAGCCGGGCATTGAGGCAGTTTTTTTTTCGATATGATTTTATGCGCAATGATATGGATGGGGGTGTATTTCTGGAGCAATGATACCCTGCGTAATACCTAAGGTATATTTCGGAGGAAAGGACACCCATCAAAAGATTTCATCACTGTGCCTGAATCGTAGATAGGTAGCCTGTCAAGACAGGAGAGAAGAAGGGAAAGTAAGACAGAATAGGAAGCAATGAGAGTTAGGCGCTATCGCCGCGAACCTGGTTCTCTCATTCATGGCACATACAGATGCAGGATACTCCGAAACGCCAATCCCAGTCCCAAAACATCCCTCATGCAAAGCGTATCAATAACCCCATTGCTTCTCAGAATCTCTCCTTCATCCTCGAGGCAATTATCCTCAGATTATTGTAGACCTTTCCGGGCTGAGCGCCAAGCACCAGGGATACAATGCTAGTACAGAGTTAGACAAGGTCCCAAAAGAGTGCGGTCGGCAGAAGTACCTTTCACGCGCCATCCCAATGTTCTCAAATGCGCCAAGGATGTGAACCCTTGACCCGGCGAGGACAATTCGTGTTTTTGTGGCTGAGGGCAGTCGATGTTAGCATCGATTGCGCAAGGAATCAAGCTCGTTGCCAAAGTTGCGTGGCTCACCGTTCTCAATCGCAAACTTGGTTTTCTAGTAACCGTCGAGCGTCAGCAATTTGCCCAATCAACGCCCCATGCCAGTAGTAGAGTAAGAGCATACCCCGTCTTTGCCAGCAATTCTACCGATAGCACGTGATAACGCATCCTGGCCTACTCCAGATCAGCACCAGCCCCCAGTGTGCCAGCCAAGTGAGAGCGCATACCGAGCGTCTGACGGACGTCCTTGATATCAAAAGACTGGATGTAAAGCGAGTCGAGACGGAGCAGCGCAATGGCGTCGTCAATGTCGAAGCCCATGGCGAAGGCAGAAACAAAATCGGCGCCCATCTGTAGCGCCTCGTTGCTCTGCGTGAACTTGCTCGACCGCAGCTCGACCCGCTTCTCCTTGACGTTCATCCGGACCTGCAGTTTGCAGTGGTCCACAAGCGGGGGGTAACTGGGGTTTTATATCGTTCAGTCCGGCCTGCTGGTCCAGTGTGAGAAAGGGGATAGGTAGTCCTTACATCTAGAGGAGGGTCAGCGAGCTAGTTCCATAGAGGACAAAAGCGTGTAAAACTTGCCTTAGTCCAGTTACTTTTCAAAGCGGACATGCGGTTTGGAGGGATGGGAATTTTCCTAGTTTCGATCCGGCGAACGGGGTCCTGGGACGAGGAGAGCGAGGTGTAAGCGGAAGGCTGCTGTGCTGTTGGCGATTTCCACATACCACGTCCTTCCCCGGCGCAAACCGTGGCCTCCCTTCCTCATCGATGGCCATATCTGTGTCTTCCGTACTTGTAGGGGCAGCGGGCGCGCTGGGCTCTGCTTGGGTGGTATCCTGCATATCGAGAAGGAGTTCGTCTTCATTGTCTGCCGGGGGGAGGGGCACCGCTTCGGGGGCCGGAGCCGGTTGTAAGAGCGCTGTCGGTGCAGGCATCGTGAAGGCTGTTGATATGTTTTCCTCTGCGAGTATGGGAAGTGTGTTACAATATCGGATATAAGTGTCCTCGCCAACTTCCTTCCTCAGTGTTTCGCCGGGGCTATTTTTGATGGTGGGGTTTGCATTTGCATTCTTTTGACTTCAAAAATATGGTGGGTCTCATTGGGCTTATCTTGCACTTATCGATTGGTTCGGCAGTGCATCTGAAGAACAGCGTTCCAAGGGGCCCACCAATGGCCAGCGATCCCTGCCAATCCACCGGGATGTCTCAGCGTCATTGGCACGACAAGGCTTTCTTGATGCGCTCCCGATGTCTCGTAACTTCTGCTTCTACACTCAAAGCGCCAAACAGAACCACGTCAGAAGTACCGCTTTCGAGACCGAATAAGTACTATCCCGGCCATGGCTTGAGCTCTGCTCCAACAGGGGTCCATGTGCTTCAGCATGCATTTCAACAATGACCTCTAGTATTCCCACGACCCAGCTGGGCCGTCGCAACTTCTGGAGCTCGATCCGCGATCCCGTCACCTGCGTCGCTGCCGGAGTTCCTCAGCGCCTCCTACTGCGAAACCGCATCGCGGGCAGCCGGTCGCCTTTAAAACCGCCGTACCACGAGAGCACTCGGCTTTTCCACTTTTCCGGGCACACATTTCGACCATATCCCGACCTGGGCCATGTTGGGAACGGCTCTGTTGCCGGCAGCCGGTTGCTCCTTCGGTACAGCCTCTCATCCCAGGCGGGAACGGCTTTGACAACATGGAAAGTAGCACCTGGTTCGCCGCTAGCAGGATACTTTGGGCAGAAGGCCAGGCTCAGCCATGCCGCCCGGCAATTCTGGCTCGGGAGCACGCAAAAGAGCAATCGGCGAGGGATAGCTCCTGCGTTGGGTAGAAGAGCTCAAAGCTCAAGCCCAGGTGGTGCCGGGGATAAGAATAAGGCCTCCAACTCCCAACAACAACCAGAGCCAGAGCATCATGTTTCGCACAAGACATCGACCCCCGAGGCTTCCGACCACGAGTCGCTCGCAAATTCCATGTCCAGATATCTGCACCTTCCGAAGATGCCGCATCGGCCGACTAAGGAGGAGCTGCTCGCTGCAGCCAGTGGATTTCGTGAACGCCTCAAAGTGCGCTTTAAATGGTTCTCCATCAGGAGCATGAGGCCTTGGAATGCTGACGAATGGGGCGCGTTTGTGTCCTGGTTCCTGTTTGGACACATTGTTTGGATTTTGGTCGGCACCACCACATTTTTCTCCCTTGTGATATTCACTATCAACACCGTATTTGCTCAAGGTAAGTGGTGGTCTGACCTACCGTCCAGGGATGATATTGACCAGCTGTTCAGAAACGCTGGCGAAATGGACTGGCGACTATCTTACAAAATCTGCCGGCCTGACCGTTGTCTTCGAATCAGCCATCGTCCCGAAATGGAAGGACGGTGTCATCACTTTCCGGAACGTCTTCGTATCTCGAAGGCCTGGGCAGCGTAAATCGACCGTGATGAAAGGATCTTCAAACGCTGCGGCGGAAGCGGCAGCGGCAAGGCACGCAGACCAAGGGCTGGCTATCGTTGAAGAAGACGAGGATGACGGCAACTACACTCAATTCGACGTGACCATCGACACCATAAATGTCACATTATCATTCATCAAGTGGTGGAATGGCAAAGGCCTTCTGAAGGATGTCGAGGTCAAGGGGGTCCGGGGTGTCGTTGACAGGACATCGGTACACTGGAACCCTAGTGGTCTGGATCCTTTCTCGTACAGGCACGAGCACAACCCTGGTGATTTTGAACTAGATTATTTCAAGTTGGAAGATCTGCTGGTCACGATACACCAGCCCGGGGGCTTCCGCCCCTTCTCCCTCTCTATCTTTTCTTGCGAGCTGCCCCAGCTCCGAAAGCAATGGCTTTTTTACGACTTTCTGTCTGCATCACACATGTCGGGCGCTTTTGACGGGTCTCTGTTCACCATACACCCCCGGCAGATCCATGGCGTTTCTCCAGCCGATAGAAAGGGGGAGGATGAATTCGGTCCACCCTCCGCCTGGAAGAAGTTCTCCCGGCTACGCATCGACGGGCTTAAAATTGACCACCTGAACCGGGGCGTCGATGGGCCCTTTGGCTGGATATACGAAGGGAATGTTGATATAGTCGCCGATGTGATGTTCCCCTCAGATCCCGCCGAAGGCATCGGTAAGGTGGTGGCCGACTTCTATGACAAGATGGAGGAAGCCGTGACGAGCAACCGGTACCTCAGGATCCTAGATAATACCAGCAGCGACACCCGCAGCCCGCCGCTAGATGCCGATATCACCGATGGCACCAATCCGGGGGCATCCTATGATGATGCCCTTCCGCAAGACTCATCAAATTCCTTACCGTTATCACCCGCATCTCCTACCATCCCGAGCATCCCTAGCACCGTTGTCACCCCGCCACCCACTTCAACATCAACAGACGAACAACGGCAAGCGCAAACACAACCCGAAGAGGAAAACCCCTCCTACGTAGTAATGGACATGCGTATCCATCTCAACGACGTGCGCGCCGCCGTGCCGCTCTTCAACAACCGCCACATCAGCTATGTCAACCAGGCCCTGGTGCGGCCTATCGTCGCCTACATTAACGCCAAGCGCACCTACATCCCCATCAATTGCCGCATCGTGAAGCGCCTCACCGACTTTGACGGCTCATGGACCGTGTGGGACTGCGGCCTGCTGGACGATACCAGCGCCGAAGTGTACTCTGCCTTTGCCCGCAACGTTGAGGACCAGCAGAGCAGAGTGAGACGGTTCAAGAGGGTCGGCCTGTGGACGGTGAGTCTGGTGGTGCAGGCCCTCTTGGCCGGTGTGGCGGGGGATCTGATGTAGAATCTTCTTTCCCCTCTTCTTCCTTGTTTTCTAGATCCCCTCCAGCGGCGTGGGTTATCTCTGCTCTGGGGCTTATGTCATGCCAGGTAATGATCTGGCCTGTGTATAAAAGAACGAAGCTATGGCGCGGGGGTTTTCCATTCCTCTCTTCGGGTGGAGGTAGAGAATATGCTGGCTGGCGGCACGGGTGGATGGAGCATCAATCATCTGTTCTTATCTGGTACTACAAGGAAAGGCAAACCGGCGTTTACTGGGGAGGACGGAATGAATTGGACGTTCAGTGTCTCGGGCAACCTAGGGACAGTGGGCCCGCAGGTTTGATATCCCTTGAATGTATCAACTTCAACAATCACCAGCAAGAAGCACCCGAGACACAATCGTGACGGAGATGGTCTATTTGTAGAGAGCAAGATTTGATCTTGCTGGTGTGTGAAACCATCTAAGGTGACGATGAGCATAACCTAAGCACATACAATAGCATGCCTAATTCAATACTTGATGCTGTCATACAGGGGGCTCGCCATCTATCCCGTTACACCTATATTTTCGCCTTCTCGTCCTTTTCGCCTTGAGACAGCGTCTCCTGCTACACGTCGGCTTCGCAAAACCACCCCGTTCAGGGTTTGAACGCAGATGGCCGCTGCTTCTCTCTACGCTCTTGACGCGGTGACGTGCACGTATTTTTGAAGGCAGGAACCACAAGTAATCTGTGTCCCGCATGTCCACCGGCCCTTCCTACTCCGCCAACAACTCCCTCACGCAATAGCCAGACTGGACTGCTCAGTTGGTTGAAGTGGCTCCCCGCTGCAATCCTTCATCTTCAGGACAAAGACCGGCAAAGTACGCCACCCAGCGAATTGCTGAGTCACGACGTGCAGCTTTCACATGAAATCATCACTAGAAAGGTGAGGTTAGCCTAGGCGCTCTTTGGATGATGTGAAGAAGGCTGCAAGCCAACTTACTCGTCAAAGCCATCGTCATCGTAAGCTACGTCAGTCACCTTCACGTCGGCCACCCCTCCACGGCTGACACCAGCAAGCGAGGTTTTTGTCTTGGCCGCCTTGGTCTTCTTGCCGCCCTTCTCAGCCGCCTTCTCCTCCTTCAATTTCTCGTTGCTCAGAGCCGTCAGCGAACTGGCGATCTTCTTGATCTGGTCGCTGGGGAGGTCCTTTGCGAGCTGCTTTGCGAATTCTTGCAAAAAAAGGGCATAATGCGGCTTCTTCGAGTTGTTGGATAGGATGGGGCCCATGACATTGCGCAGCTGCTCGAATTGAGTCTTGTTTGTCGGGTTAAATAGCGGTAGCACAGAAAGGTCAACCGTCTTGTTTGGGTCGCTGGCATCGATCTGCACAGCGCTTCCAGCGGTTGTCGCCTTGCGCCCTCCGCTGACACCGATACCGCCAAAAAGATCCTCGGCGTGACGCAGATCCGACTCCTTTTCAGTGCGGCGCAGGCGCTCGCGCTTTTGCGCCTCGGTCTCCTCCTCGCTTTCCTCTTCCTCGGCCTCGGCGCGCGCGCGGGCACGCTCAGCCTGGCGCTCAGCGATCCGTTGAGCCTTGCTCTTCTTGTTTGCAGCGGCTTCCGCCTCGGCCTTTGCCTTCGCCTCGGCCGCCTTTTTCGCCTTTTCGCGCTCGACCTCGGAGTCTTCGGCAGCGTCCCACGAGTCTAAAACCTATGACAATGGGAGAAGGGTCAGCTTCGGGCGCTCTAGCGTGAGCATATCGACAGTCGCACGGATATTTACGTACATCGTCGTCCCCGGCCTCCTCGTCGTCAAACTTGCGACGGACCGGGATCACGCCAACAACGGGAGAATCGGACCCTGACTCGGAGGATGATTCCTCTTCTTCCTCTGCGAAGGAGAGTTTGGTCAGCCAGACTCTATGACCTACGGCGCTCCCGCGTGGTTGTTCGGCTATGAATGAACTAACGAAACGGCATGTCACGGCTGTTATAACATAGTAGCGCATTCAAAACCCCAATGCGACGCCGTTGCGAGTGTATAGGCGCACTCCGAAGACGTGGCTTTTTTTTGCCCCGCCAAATCGCGGGGTGAAAGAAATCGCGACTTACCCCACCGTTTGCTCTGAGCAGGCATGGTTGCGGATGAGTCCTAGCTTTGGAGGGTTTTGGCAGCCGAGAACGGGGAGCGTGGCTGTCTAGCGACGTCGCAGGTCGTGAAGAGGATATGAGAGGTGTATGCGAGTGCGAAAGGAAGGCAAATCTGGATGATTAGGTCCAAAACTTGGAAGTTGGGCAGCGGCCGAAAAGACGATTTTGGGTTGTGGGTATTAGCGATAGCGATAAAGAGGGAAGTTTCACAAGGTTGCCCCACTGAGCCTGTAATTGTGGGGCACCGAGCAGCGCAGATCCCCCATGTTCCGGATAAGTGCATAACCTCCTGTCGTTTAGAGAAAGTTGGGAAACAAAATCGAGCCGCACTTGTCCCATGTTTTCGATGGCATCTGGAATGACGATGGTAGCTGCGATGACATGCCGCATATGCCTGCCTACCGCTATGTGAGTACGAACAGCTATTTCAGTGCCATCAACCAAAAACGGGATGCGAATGCACAGGGTGCTCTATCAATAATTGCCTTTGGGTTTGCGAATCAGATAAGAGAACATTGCGCGATACAATTCTAGGCCGCAATGTAAGACCTATCATAAAGCCGGATTCATCGAAACACAAGACGAGAGCTCGCTCAATGGGAGAAGGAATTGTAACGAGTAACGGAGCCGGCAACGCCGTGCCGGATGCAGGACTCGTCAGATTTCTGGTCCGCACACACGAAAAAGAACCCACGTTTGCCGTCCGGGTGCCAACCACTGCAATTCTGGCTAGCCTTGACTATTGTGCGTTGGTTTAGGCTCTGCTTTCGGCGTCTGCCTACATAGGCTATCTCTCCAGGGCTGTGCTATTGTTTCTCCCTCCTCGCGGTGCATTCTAGATATATCGGCATAAAAACAAGGTTAGTATGAATTATGTTACCCCTGAGATTCGGCTTGTAGATCGGCACTGTATCTGTCTCCATACTAACCATACTCCAGCATCAGAAGATTTCCCCCCGGAAGTCAATCTCATACTTCCCATTGCGAAAACTGAAGCCGTTCGGATAGTGAGCCTTGTACAAAGTCCAAGTCTGCCTTCTTACGCCTTTTCTTTCGGCAAAATCATAGAGCCGCTCATAACTTCCGATCAGGGTGTTGACGCTGGACAACGTGACGCAGTTGGTGTGCTTTGCTGCGCTCTGAAGACTTCGAATTTGAGCGTTCTGGTTAGAAAGTTGGATCTTCACATGTTGGAGCTCCTGGTTCTTGCTGCTGAGCTGTGAGTTGGCCCAGTTAAGGTTGCTCCAGGCGCTGCTGAGATCGATGTTGGCTTGACGCAACTTGGCCATTTCTCGCGAGAGCTGAGCGTTGGCGAAGTCAAGCTTGGAGCCGTAGGTGTTGGCACGAGTTGCCTCATTGTTGGCACGGATCGTCTCGTTGTTCGCGCGGGTGGTCTCGCTGCTAAGAGCCTGTCGCGTGAGGTTGTGCTCGGCGACTTCGGAGTCAAGAAGGCCTTGGATCCGCACTCGGTTGTTGCGTTCCTCGGTCAGTGAGGCACCGAGCTGCTTCACTTGCACCGCCAGTGCCAAAACCTGTGTCCCAAGGGCTACCTCTGCGTTATGTGCCTTCTGGTACTTGATCTCGAGGTCAGCAATGGTGCCGAGATGTTGGCGGATTGTGCACTCTTTCGTCTCTAGGGTAGCCTTACAGCACCTGTGAGCCTCACGCTCGGCGTCGAGCTGCTGGTAGAGACGATCGGGGTCGTACTCCCGCTCCCTCTGGATGGCCCTGTCTAACTCGGCCTGCAACTTCTTCGTGCGTTCAATCTCTGCCCGGCGAAGGCGCCCCTGCTTGTCGGACTCGAGTCTGGCTTCCGACAAGTCCCGCTGCGTCTTCTCAAGGGCTGCCTTGGTGTCGCTGTACAATTTTACGTTGTCGCCAGCTTCTTTGCGAGCGGTCTCGAGTTCCCCTTCCAGTTTGGTGGTTTTGTCCTTTGTCACAATTTGGAAGGCCTCAAGCTGGGCCTGCGCCTCAACCAGATTGGATTTCTCTCGCTTCAGCTCATCGTCGAGTTTGATGCAACGAGCTCGTTCACTGTCAAGTGCGTCCCGGTAGCTCTCAACCCTGCTTTCTGCGGCTGAGAGGTCGGCCTCGAGAGATGAGACCCTCTCTTCGGCAGTGTCGGCTCGACCATTAAGCTCGGTGATTTTGAGCTTCAGGCGCCTATTCTCTCGATCGGCATCTTGGCGCTCTTCCTTCTCGCGCGCAAGTGATTGCTTCAAGTCGTGGATTGCTGCCTCAAGGTCGGTATTCTTGGCCGTTGCAGACTCCAGGCGTCCATTCAGTCCTGCGATTTTGATGTGGAGATCGTTGACGTTCTTTTCCTTGTCGGAGAGCTCCTTTCCCATGAGCTCTTTCACCCGCTTAAGCTCTCCGGAAACTGTCTCTCTGTTGGCCTTCTCCGCGCTCAAATTTTAATTCAGGGTATCGATTTGGCCTTTTTGTTGGTCTGCAATGGAACTCAGCTCCTCGATGCGTGCCTTCCTTCGATCGACATCCCGGGCCAGCTGAGAGTGAGTGCTTTCCGATTTTGTCAGGTCGTTTTTGCATTTTCTCAACTCTCGATCGAGTCTCCGATTCTCAAACTCGAAGCGAGTCAGTCTGGCATTGGCCTCCACTGACTTGATCTTCTCGTCTTTCAGTTTTTCCTCCGTCTCCTTCAATGTGCCTAGGAGAGACGAGTTAGTCGCCGCAAGGCGTCGGTTCTCGGGGACCACCGTCTGCCGCAAATCCGCCAGCTCGCCGCTGGCCTTGTCGCGTTCCGATGTGAGACTGGCAATGGAACGGGCCTTTGCCTCTTGATCATCTTTAGCCTCTTGCAGAGAACGTTTCAGATCAGACACATTATACTCGAGTCCCTGAGCCTTCGCTTCGGCGTCGTCTCTCTCCTGCGTCAATTCTTGCTTCTCCTCGATAAGTGTATCCTGAGCGCGGCTCATCTCGGTGCAGAGCCTGTCGACGCGCTCCTTGTCCTTCTTGACACGGTCTAACTTTCTTGTCGACGCTTCAAGTTGCCTCTCGACCTCCTTGACCTCCTTGACCTTCTCTTCCAACTCCCGCTTGAGCTGAGCCTCGCGTGCTTGAGACTCCGCTTGAAGCGTTGCTTTCTGTCCGTCAAAGCTCCTTTTCTGCGCTGCCTTCTCCTCATCGCACTTCTCTCGGAGAGATGTAAGGTCTGCAGCCCACTTGTCCCTGAGTCGTTTGAGCTCAGTTTGCGCTCTCGATAGCTCTTCGGCCAACCCATCATCAGTCTACGAGTGTCAGTCCGTATCGGTCCATGGCCTTGAGGGTAGCTCACCGTGTTTTCTTGTTCGCCGAGTGCCAGCCCAGTGCCCTGGAAGCCGAACACCAAGAAAGTCCTTCAACTCCAAGCTGACATTCTCTTGAAATATCATCCCCTTCTCCAACAGTTCGACCATGTTGATCTCAGTCTGAATCACCGGTTGTACATTGCCCCTTTCTGCGGCTCCTTGGCTGAGCACATCGGAATCGACATTCCACACCCGGAGCAGCACTGGGGCTGCCGGTGAGTCTTGCCGAAGCGAGGAGGTCAACGGCACCCAGTTGACGAAAATCTCCTCCTTCGTAGCATCGTAGCCGAAGTACCATGTTCCACCCGGAAGGACAAGAAAACCATACACGAGGTCATCGTCAGGGTTATTGCTAGCGTGTGCGGCACGCACGCTGGTTTGGATGCTAACCGTCTGTCAACCACGCCGGGGCGGAATCAGCAAGCTCCATGACTCTGGGGGGATTCCAGGAAGGGGTGCTCTTACCATGGTTGCCGGGCTGGAGAAGGTGCACGTCTCACTTGAGTTGGTACTGGTTTGTCTAGGGAAATATTATGGGAAGTCTTGCAGTGCTCAATACTGACGATGAAGGGGCATCGCTGTCACAAGTACTCTGATATTCAGAGCCTCAACTCTGATAACCCGGCATCGGAATTCGCTACGGCAGGCCATGGTAAGCCGCCAAATTCCCAGTAGCTGCGCTTTCCACGTCTTGCACGAGTCAACGTCTTGTCCGAGCGCTTGCAGTATGCCATCGACAGAGGTCGGCTCTCACCAGCCTAATCCGTTGCCGGCAACGATGGCTCAACCCATCGATGGCAGTGTGGTGCGGCCTGAACACTCCCCAACCGTCTCTTGAGGCCTAAAGAAGTGCATTCTGTCATCGAGGGGCAGTATTCGGACACGCGGCTTTGACTGTATGGGGAGAGGGGTTGGGTCTTGCGGGGTAGAAGGGTCCATGTTGCACAGCAGTTGAACCCCCCTCACGAGGCTACAAGTGTGAAGAGAACTCGATAATGCATGCAAGAGTGCCTTGAAGCACGAAAGGGGTCGAGCACTGGAGCCAACAAAGGTTGGGATCGCGTTGGGCTCAAAGGTGAGCGACTCGGACGAAGTCAGCCGCGGGTGAAGTTGGACCCTGAACCCAATGGTGAGTTATCCAGACAGATTACCAAGACCAGACAACTCCAAGTCGGCCGACGAAGGTGAATGGACTTCACCCGAGCCTCACGAAGTAGTGGGTGAGCGTGGGAGTATAACACGATGACCTCCATGGTCCTTCGACGGTGCTGTTGGCCGCATTCTCAGTACCGGGGCTTGCCACGCAACTCGGCCATCCTCCTGGAGTTATTCCCACAATGAACGAAGCCCAGAGACTCGCTACTCGCCTCTCTGCGATCGGCGATGCCGTCTCCGACCAGGGCAACCGCTTCTACCTTCTGCAAGTAGCAGGTGACGAACAAGATGGTTACGATCTCATCGAGCAGGTCAAGCCCGACTCAGACCTGATCTCTGAGACCCTGGTGGCGTCTGGTGTCCGCAAGCAGACCTCTGCAGCATACCTCCTCGAGAGTGACGATGATGTAACTCCACCTCTCTGAATCCTTCTATTTTGTGTGCGCACTTACAGCTTGAACAAGCGCATTGTCTTCTACGCCGACGAGTTTAACAACCTGGGTGCCGCCACATACAAGCCCAGCGACGCCGACCAGGGAGAGTGGTTGGTAGACGAGGCACTGAGCAGTCTCGACTTCGCATCTGTACATCCCAGCGGCAAAATCAGTGCGTGCTTCACGAAGGACACCTTGCTGGTCTTCTTCCAGAAGCCAGATGGGTCGATGGGCTGTCTCGAGCAGACAAGAGACGGATGGACCCCTCTCAAGACGGTGCTGCCTGCTACGGTGCCTGTCGGATCGCCCCATTACCGACTTGTTGTCGATGAGAAATTGCAGCTCTTCTATATTGGTGACGGGGGTAGCCTTCGCTATCTTTGTCGCGATCTTGGGGAAGCACCTGGGAAGGTATGGTGTGGCCTCCCTTTTCTTTTTGGGGAAGCTGAGTTGACGTTCGTTGCGCAGACAATTTATTCTTCAAGGACACCGCTTTGTGCGGTGCTGTATCCCGCTTCGCGGTGGGCTACGAGACGGAGAAGGGAGTTCTGACGGCGTATGTCTTGGCTGGCGGAGTGCTCGTCTCCCTTGGTGAAAACGGCGACCGTCAAGACCTGGTCAGGGCGACGGGAGGGGGCAAGTTCGCCCCTGTTGCCAGCGCGGAACGGTGTGTTCACATACACATCAATGGAAATTTCGTCATCCGAGGGAGCCAGAACTCATTCAACCTTGGTGGTGGGTATATTCAGAAAGGATCGAGGCGCCGGATTCGGAGATATTAGGTCTCTCATGTCTGGCTTGCTCGTGCCATGGGGTCTTCCTTTCCCCTTTTGACCGCGTCAGCCCTCAAGACAGAACTGATCGAACTAAAGGCATTGTTAGCTTGAATACACACGATTAGCCGAAACAGCACAGCTCACCTTATACTTCTTTCCCCTGATGGCTCTCACAAAAGAAATTCCATTCACCTCCCTCCGCCCCAACATAATCTGCAGGTCCGTCAGCGAAGATGTGTCCATCCTAAGCCTTACCAGCGATTCCTTTCCTTGCTTCTCTCGATACAAGACAATATGGAAGGTGCCCGCTGTTGCCTTGTCCAGCCTAAAGAGGCACCAAGGATGGAAACTTCTGGACAACAGCACTCGGCCCCCGTCTACGTCCCAAACCACCCAGTTTCTACCGTGATACTCATATTCCTCCGGCTTCAGCCCCGCCCACGGTGTTCGTGCCAGCAGAGCATACCGCGGCGTGATGACACCCATCCGAGACGCTGGCGGCGTTTCGGCAAGCAGGACAACCAGCGTGGTGTCCATGCCTTCGGTACCAATGGACAACTTGCCGACTTGCTCATCGCCCATGGTATAGTCTTTTGCGAAGTGGAGGTAGAGACCGTCGACGTGGGCGCCCTGCTGTTGGATGCGGAGCTTCTGGGAGAAGCAGTCGATGGAGGCCCAACGAAAAATGTCTCGCATGACACGGAGGTTGAGGCGAGTGCCACGGCTGCGGCCGGACGAGTTTTGACCGTGATTGCTTGGAGCTGTCAGTTGGCGAGTCTGGATGGGTAAGGAGAAGGGACGTACTGTATGGCCACGACTGTTTCCACGCCATTGTACGCTGTCCAGACAGGCGAGCCGCTCAGCCCGACTTGGGTTTTGACGGTATATTCGAGCTGCTCGGGACGGATGGTACAGGTGCCTGAGCTCAAGTCGGGCTTGCCTGGCGGTGTGGACCCGCGGTATCCAGACACAAAGATTGCGCCGGAGAGGTATTCGTCTTTTGGATCCTTGGTTGCCCGATCCTTGGAGTCGATGCCCAGCATCAAGCTAAAGCCGAATCCGGGCCGTGGGGGTTGACTGTTCTGGCGAGGGATGAGGATGGCGCCGTAGTCGTGGACGGCGTTAGAGTCGACGGGGCGTTTGATGTAACGCTCGCTGATTTTGACGCTGTCTTCCGTGATGGCGATGTTGTCGTTGCCATCGGAGCTAAGAACGACGAGGTTTGTTGATCGGTGACCATCCTTATCGATGAGGTTATGTCCGGCAGTCAGGATCACATCGTGGGTCGTACCCGGGAGGTTGATGTAGAAGCCTGTTTCGGTTGCGTCGTCTGTTGCAGGAATTACTATTAGTATCAAGATGAACAGCTCAACGAAGTTGGAAGGGATAACGGGGACTTGCCATTCCCCTGAGAGAAAGCTAGCTTTACCACCCAGGGATGCCAGTCCCCTGCTGCGGAAAATCGGAGACCAGGCTGTGCCGGAATGGGAGGCGGCTTGGTGTGATCTCTGTGGACCAGTTCCAGCGGAACGAGGCTCATGGCTTAGCAGTAAGAGGAAACCCAAGGGACGACGGAGAGGTGGTAATGATAGCCTCTCATGGGTCTGGCGGTCCTGGGAACAGGCACGGAAAGACATGAGCAGTCGCAGACCATGATATCCGCTCCTCCAGGGACACTGACCACCCGCATGCGGCTCATCGGAGAAGGCTCGGCTCAAGGCGGGGAACATGGTGTAGTTGGACATTGATGCATTGTACAGTTTCTCTACCTACCCTACGTTGAATCAATGCCCGCTGCTGGTTGAGTTTCTGTGGCCAGTCAGAGCCTGGCGTGTCCCTTGCTCACCCGGAGAAAATAGGAAGATGCACCTCGCCCCTTATCCTTCCCTGTATGCAACAGTGATTTTCCATTCGTACCCCTTTAAATCTTTGGAAACCCCCATCTGCTCCTCAACGTGTCACAAGTTGTTATCCATCTACCTCCCATCCCATCAAGCCAGCTCAAATCGCCCCAAGTCTACCACCTCCAATGGACACCCTCCTCAACCACTGCATGTCCGGCACCCTTACTCCAACGCTCCTCAGATCCCAACTTTCCTCCTCCTCTAACCCTGAACCTGACTCCAAACCCCACCTCGACATCAACGCCATCCACCCCACCAAAGGCATTACCCTCCTCATCGCAGCCATCTTCAAATCCCATCCCACGACCGTCTCCCTCCTCCTCTCCACCGGCCACGCAAACCGCAACACCTCCTCCCGCGACGGCGTCACCCCACTCTGCTGGGCCACCACCGCCACTCTCAAGCATCACGCCCAGATCGTCAGCTTGCTGCTCAACGCGGGCGCAGACGTCGATGGAACATGCGAGACGCTCCGTAACGAAACACCGTTTATGCTGACCCTCTGCGAATCAAGAGACACAGAGGTAATCAAACTGCTAGTTGAAGCCGGGGCGTCGTTCACAGCGCCAAGTAAAAAGGGGGAAACGGTGGAGGATGTTGCGAGGAGGGTGGGTGCGTTGGGGGACCCGGGGGTGAAAGCGGCGCTGTACCCAAGGGAAAGCAGGTTAAATCTGGAGGAGGTGGTGAGGGTGATTTGTGCGGTGATTGGGATAGTGGTGGCTTGGGTCAATAGCGCGACGGTGGAGAGGGTGATTGGGGGGGGTGGGGTGGTGAAGGAGATGGGGGAGGTGGTTAAGAAGTGGCATGGTCTGGAGGGAAGGAGGGATGAGAGTTTGGAGAAGGTGAGTTTTGTTTGTTTTGACTAGGGGATGGCTGAGCTGATTCTAGGGTAGGAAATGTGGGAGAAGGAACCGAGGACGGTTGAGGAGTTTAGGGAGTCGATTGACAAATATGTCACAAAGACTGGGCTGGATACATTCTTCTCTGGTGCAAACAAGACGTTCTTGCAGACGGTGGCGGAGAAGGCGACGGATCTACTTAACGATCCCATGGATCCGTTGAGTAGTCCAGAGAATGTGAGGACTCTGATTGCGCTTAGTATGTTCCGGACCATTATCTATTGTGGTAAGCTGCGTTTCAGCCTCAGCCTTGAAAGAACATGCTAGAGACGCTTACCTCACATGTTACTAGACGGCAGCGGTTCTATGCTTCAGGGTAGTCGAGCCCAAGCCCAAGCTGCTCTTGTCGAGCGGATTGCCCGCGTCGCCACACTGCTCGTCCCCAAAGAAGGAGTACATCTGCGATTTATCAACAGCTCCAGCGATGATCTCGACAATCTCGACGTTCAAGGCGTCAAGAATAAGATGAAGGCGCTTAGGATCACCAAGGGTAGCTACACTCAGATTGGCACGGGCCTGGAGGAGAAGATCCTCAGACCCTTTGTCCACGATCCTCTTGATAACGACCAGGAATTGACCAGGCCTTTGCTCGTCTGCATCACCACGGACGGGTATCCGGAGAACCCCCCGGCAATTGGACCGCTGAGGGGCCGGGAGACGTTCGATAAGACCGTGGATGCGATCTACGAGTTCGGAGAGAGACTGGAGAGGGATGAGAGGTATCCGAGAACAGGTATGGATGACTAACTTGAACCTTGCTGGTCTTCCTTTCTGACTTTGCAAAGGGGTTCGTTTCTTGATCAGCCAGATCGGAAGAGATAGCAAGGCGGAAAAGTTTCTGGACGCTCTGGATAAGGATACTCGTCTAAGCGACGTTGTTCATGTCACTGCCGGTGAGGACCCCTGTCAGAGATGTGAGTGGCTTCGACTGACAAGAAGGAAACTGCAGAGAAACTGGATGATCGATGGGTGGAGTTGCGAGACCACGAGCGCCATCTGGAGGAATGGGTATGTGTGACTCTTGTTTATCAGCACTTTTTCGATCAAGTTATTTGGAGATCTGATTAGCGGTTGCAGTTACTTCGGACGCTGCTTGCTCCCATCGTGGAAAAGGGGTTAGACTAGCAGGACTGTCGCAGGAACGGAAGGGGTTAAGGTGACGAAGATATTTGAGCTGGCATTACCAAGTTTGGTGTTGACAAGTGCGTCTTGACAATGTGAACGTCGAGCGGTGTGTTGACTGCCCCCGCGTTAGAATGAGTGGGTGAGAGCAGGGTGACGATGAGGGCGACTGAGTGAGTCGATGATGATGATGTGAGACGGGCGGCAGAGGTGATGGCTATGAGACGGGAAGAACTCGATTGGGAGGAGTGCCGTGGTTGTGAGGGTTTCATCAGGCGAGTCATCTAGGATGGCATTGCCCATTGAATTCTAGCTCGGCTTCTACACTTTGTTATCTAATTCTCTCAACGGTATATATCTTTGTCGCTGCGCTGGTCACACCTTGTGTGGTTATATGCTGTTATCAAGAAGAAAACTATTCTGTACGGAGTACGGAGGTACGGAGTACAAATGGTGGTCTGTTGTTGAGGTTTTGCTCGCCAAGACTTTGGCGAAAGACCGAATTCTGCCTTGCCAGGCAAGCCATGACCGCTTTTTATTGGCTCGTTCTGCATTCTCCGGAGGAACAAGGCAGAATCCGTGGCCGGAATGGTCAGGCACCGAGTTGGCTAAATCTACCGTACGCTTGGCTATATCTACCGTATCCAGCCACAGCCTGCACCATCTTAGCTCCCACCTAGCTACAACGACCAGGTGTAAGTCCCCAACTTCCACCAACGCAGCTCATTAAACAGAATAGTGACCTTTCTCCGCTAAATACACTAATAAAGCAAGGCACACAGTCAGTGAAGATAGGACTTCCAATTTAGGTAGTGGCAGCCTCCTGCACTGAGCGGGTAAAGTACCTTAGGAGGATGGGCCGGGCCCCGAGGTATATATACCGGGGAACCTCCGGGGCAGGTGGTCTGGTTAGCATAGGCTCTATATTGAATTCCCTTAACTTGTTCCAAATTTAAGCGATTTAGGATACTCGCCTTGTTAGCGCCCTACAATCGGCTTGAATTCATTATTTGTAGTGCGTGTACAGTCTATGTTTGCAATGTTGCTAACTACTGCAAATTTTGGCCGGGCTGGCTGTAGCTGGATATGGTAGATTTAACCAGTTTTACGGTAGATTTAGCCAACTCGGTCAGGCACCGCCAGCCAGGCCGGTGCCAGTCGCTGCCATCTGCCGAGCAGTCAAGGCAACGAGCAACACTTACTTGGCGCTGTTGGCGGCTCCTTCTTCCCCTTGCTCGTTTCTGCACCTTGGAGGGCATTGTCGGAGAGGCAGCCAATCCCTTTGCACCGTCAGCCGTCCAGCTTCTGCTGTTCCCGAGATCCAAGTCCTACAACAAAGTCCTAACCACGCACGCAGCTGTGCGGGCACCTCAGGCCTAGGTGGTAAGAATAGGACCGCTGACGTTGTCGCGACTCTTTCTAAGTCCTCGGTGGAAGCATTCCCGGCACCCACACGATTTGAAATATAACAAAAATGGGTGGCGATTGATTTTGCTTGTTCCGCTTGGGGTTTGCTCTTGCATTGTTTCGTTCATTCACTTCCAGTCCCGGAAACCCGTCCCTCTCCACAGGCCTAGCAGTTGCCAGTTGGCGCTACTCAGTCCTGTGCTGAGTGCATTGGTCCACAAGGATGGACAAGAAGAAGCGTTTTGCCTCCCTTATGGAGGACCACTCACAAGATCCCAACGATGCGACCTTCCGGTCGTTGTCGCCCTTCGGTAGCGAACACCGTTCCGGGTCGGGCGCCGGAGTCGGCGGGAGTTCCTTTGTAGGTTCGTCCCACACCGGCTTCGACCTCGGCCACGACCTCGACCAGGACCAGCAAGCCGTGTTGTCCTGTGTGTACGTACTGAGTCGCTGTCTTCTGCTATGGGCACTAGGACTGGGCCTAACCAAATGTGCAGGACCAAAGAGACGTCCCAAGAAGACTGCGCACGGCACCGATTCATCGTATGGGCTGCAGTGAAGCGCAACTCATCTGTGCACATACCTCCCCAGCAGAAATTAGAATGCCCGCTCCTTAGATGCACCCGTCGCTTCCAAGACCACGAAGACATGCTCAAGCACTTGGCTGGCTGTAGGTATCTTGCATCTGGCGAGTACTGGTGCTACGAACATAATCGGGTGGAGCGCTTCGATGACTTGAAGTGCAAGCGCTGCCTGGGTCATCCCTCCAAGAGGAGGAAAATCCTCCGCATAGCCAAGAATTTCTTCCACTCGCTTGGCCATAAGTCGAAGAAAGCCCACGGGTTCGGGATCGAGGACGAAGCCGTACCACCACCTCCCTACGACTCACTCAACATAACACCCCGCGATGGCAGTGCCAACGAACTCTTGTCCACAGAGATCCTCGAGATCGACTCGGTAGAAGTGGCCCCTGTCCAGCCGAGCTCAATACCGCCCCCCAGTGATGTTATTGATCCCCAGGCGCTCCTCGTACCGGCTGTTCCTACAGTTCCCGAGCTGGACTCTACGATGCTCTCTCACGAGACACTTATGCAATGGCAGCCATTGCCGGGCCCCAACCAGACTCCGTTTCCATTCGTTCAACAGGAGGACGCTGCTAGTAGGATTCAGGCTGTCAGGCCGACACTGCAGCTGACCACAAACGGCCTCCCAGGTCGCCGCCAAGCTCCTAGGCCAGTGACACGGCCAGCTCCTGCCATCCCGCGAAGCAAGGCTTTGTCACCCAGCTCGTCGGTGCGCTCTACGGCCAGCACTGAGACAAACGCAAGCACGACGAGCAACGGAAGCTCCATGATTTCACCAGTCTCGAACTGGAGCGGCGTCTGGTCGATGGCGTCCGGGTTGGACACGAACATGACTTCCCCGGTTGACGGGATTCTGGCGGATGACTTGTTTACCGACGCCATAAACAATGCGTGCCCAGAATTTCTGCATGAGTTCTACTCGGAGCTCCCTGCCGACTCGCCCTTGCCTGCGACCAGCTGCAACATGGCCTTGGATGCCGTGCTTGAATTCGATCTTCCTCCTCAAGCAACGGCGAATATGGCATACGCCCCCGAAATCGTTCTGACAGAAGACACGGCAGAAGCTGAAACGGATGAGCCCGAAGTCGAGCAGGTCAATGCGTGCTGCTCAGAGACGAAGTCACTGGTGAGCTCGGCGTGGGATGCTTTGCAAGAGCATCTCGTTTCGTCGATTGTCAAGCTCCAAGACCACCGAGACAACTATATTGCGAACCAGCTGAGTTCAATGTCGATTCGGACTGTAGCGACGACGGGCTTGCAAACGCTGCGCGCTCTTCTGGCTGGTCAACAGCCGTCTTCCGCCAGTGATGCACTTTGCTTTGTCCATCTCGTCTACGCCTTTTCGTTGGTCCTCCATGAACAGGGTGGCTCGAGCCATTTCGACAGCCTCTTCCTGCAGTCTTTGGCCTATGCCCACTTACTGGCGCCGGATGATCAAAATCTGTATCGCCAGTTGGTCATTAGCATTTGGCAGCCGCCAAACCTTACACAAGCCGATATCAATAATCACTTTGCTCTGTCGAGCAGGCTATCTGGCGTATCTCAGGACCGCAAAGGCAAATCGCCGGAGAACCTCAATCCGGCACTTGGACAACAGGGTGCTGATCCGCTCCTCCTTGCGGCCCGTGATTTTCTTGACGGTAAGCCCTTGGCACGCAATTCATACCATTATCAAGAGTGCTGGACCTGACTTTCAATGCAGAGCTCGAGACTAGCCTTGTTATGAGTCAGGATTCTGTATCACTCGACCTCCAGGTTCAGGTTTCTGACTTGAATATCAAGCATCTGAAGGACGTTAATCACTTTGGCCCAGTTAACGAAGCATTACTTGTGACAGTAAAGTACATCTTGACGGTGGTTTCCCGAGAGTTCAGCAACGCCAAGGGCCTCAACAGCAGGCTGATGGAGTTGTACCGGAGACTCAGCAGCGGTACTATATTCAGCGTTCGAAGAGTTGAAATCGAGCTGCTTCATGCCGGAAGGGTGAGCTATCCAGTTGGGTATTCTAGATCTCGGGCTAACCACTTAACCAGTGCTGCACTCCCGCCGCAATATTCTTTCGCGATTATGTCCCCTGCGTGAGAAGGTTGTGCGACCAAGTCTATGAGAAGCTTGACGAGGGGACGTCACGGCGCGATGTTTATCATAATCTCGGAGTCTCGTTGATCGAAAGCCTAATTCCCGAGTTCGACAAGTCACCCAAAAAAGCAGCTAGTCCTCCTCTTGACGATATCGATGCCCTTCTCAAGGATTTGGACACCGAAGTTGGAGATGTGGAGACCATGGCGTTTGGCGACGTGCAGCCTGTTGGAGTTGAGATGTTTGATCTTGATATAAACAGAGTGCAGCCTCCAACAGTCACAAGTTGTGCCGGAACCTCGACTAGCTCTCAGACGCCGAGCCCGGATGCTGAGCAAGGGCAGCACCCAGGGTCAGGCGAGACACCGGAGCAGCAACAACTGACAGGGCAGAAAGTGGAGGCCAATTCGTGCTGCGAGATCTGCGGATACCGACCGAAAGGAGATCCGCAGTGGTTCAAGGGTAGCATGGCCAAGCACAAGAAGCTACAGCACAGCACGGAGCCGCCCAAGATTTACAAGTGCCCGTATCCCGGATGCACAAGCCAGTACAAGAACCGGCCGGATAACCTGCGGCAGCACCAGATCGAGAAGAACCACTGGGTGCAGGGGGATGAAAACACGTCGAGGCGGCCGAGCAAGCGGAAGAAGGTGGCAGCCGAGGAGTAGACGATGAGGGTATATTCTTGTGGTGTTCCGCGGGCGCCGCAGGGGCGGCATACCAACACTATTGGGGGCGTTCTATTTCTGGGTTTGTATTCAACTGTGATACCACTTTGCATGGCGGAAGGCGTTTACGGTATGTAGTGCGGACATGGCTTCTGGGAAAGGGTTAGATACAGGACGGGCATTCTGGGTGAATGGTTCCGGTACAAAGACGCGCAGCTCCGTAAATCTAACTGGCAGCTTGGGCGATGCTGCTGGCTTTATTCGTGATTCTTGTCGTACGAATATACGGTGCGACTAAACCAGTTGGTCGAAGGGACTACTAGTACTCATAACCCAACCCATAACTTGTCAAACCGATGAGTTTTGCCTGTTGAAACCACTCCAACTGTATTGTTAAAGATGCAATGCAATGCGTATCCTACAACAAGCTCACCTCAAGAACGGATGCTTTTGGTTTTGGCGTCATATGGCCCCTTCAGCTCCGATATTTTATCAGCAATCCTATCCCAAGTTTGAGTTAGTCCTAATACCTCATGTCAATGTGTATACGATTAACTAGTGAATTCTATCTTCTTCTATCTTTTTTGAATCTTTCCTCATCAATGTGTAGACATGTGACTGAGCAGCAGCGTTCTTCATACCCCACCTCTCGACTTAGTTGAACCAAACAACTCCACCACAGAAACAGACAACACACACAGAATCAGGTCCATTTCCGTACACACAGTTTCTGCACGGATTTCAGAGAAGAGTCTAACAAGAGAATATCAGTCCCTTCTTTTTCCCCACTGTTCTCACCACACCATCAATCAAATTTCCCAGCAAAACTCAGCACAATGGCATCATCAGCCAGCGGAGCCCTCCCGCACATCGCCGTCCTCGGCTCCCTCAACATGGACCTGGTCGCCTACGTCCCGCACCACCCCCGGCCGGGCGAGACGCTGACGGCAGACAAGTTTGTCACGTCGCCGGGAGGCAAGGGCGCCAACCAGGCCGTGGCCTGCGCCAAGCTCTCGCGGAACCGTCCTGGCAAAGGGGCAAAGGGCAGGGAGGAGGAAACGAAGATGGCCTCACCTACCTGCTTCGCAAACTACGACGGTGATGATGGAGAAGGAGCGACTGCCCACGTCAGCATGCAGGGCTGTGTCGGGTCCGACGGGTACGGGGCGCAGCTGCGGGCGAACCTGGCGCGGCACGGGGTGGATGTCGACGGGGTGGAGATCAAGCAGGGCCTAAAGACGGGCGTGGCGCTCATCATTGTCGATGGGCCGACGGGGGAAAACAGGATTGTGCTGAGTCCCGAGGCGAATCATGCTGGCTTTCAGGAGGAGGAGGAGGAACAGCAGCAGCAGGGCGGGGCTCCGCGTTCGGACAAGGTGAGGAAATTGCTGCAGGGAAAGGCGGGTAGAATGCCGGACTTGCTTATCATGCAGCTGGAGATCCCGCTCGAGATCGTGGTTGCCGCTGTTGAGGTCGCTCGTGCGGAAGGGGTGGATGTGTTGCTTAATCCGGCGCCGGCGAGGAAGTTGCCTGAGGACGTCTTCAATGGGTTGGCGCATCTGGTGGTGAACGAGACGGAGGCCGCGATTCTGGGCGAGGTGGAGGAGAGGGAAGTGGACCAAGTAGAGGGGTTGGAGACGGTTGCGAAGCGGTTTATTGACAAAGGGGTGAGGAACGTGATTATCACACTAGGGGGGCGGGGGGTGTACTACATGAGCAAGGACGGGAGGAAAGGGCTGGTGCCGGCTGAGAAGGCAAATGTAGTCGATACTACGGCTGCAGGGGACACCTTTGTAGGGAGATATGCTCTGGATGCTGTTGGGAAGAAGGACGCCGAGTTTGACATCGAGACAGCGGTCAGTAAAGCAAATAAAGCGGCAGCGAAGACGGTCGAGAGGGTGGGCGCACAGGACTCGATTCCTTGGAGGGATGAGTTGGAGTGAAAAGAAGGGTTTCAATTCGCGAACAAAGGACGAGTAAAGCTAAACACTGGTGTTTCACCGTGCCGCAGCTCAGGGGTTGCTATTGCTATGTCCTACGGGTTCACATAGGCTGGCTTGATTGTATTGTAGCCATCGTGTCGCACCGGTTTGATGCTCTCCAGGTCAAAGTTATTCAGCACGCGCAGATTGAAAGGCCGCACGTCGATGTTATGCGCCCGACGCTTCCGCATATCTTCTGGCAGTGCGGCAATCTCCTCATCTGTGAGGGGATTCAGGTCGAGGAATATCTGTACTCCGCATGTCTTACATTTTGCGATTCGCCCGACACGCGAGTGAGTGACATAGTAGCTCAAGTTCTCAGTCCCCTGAATAGCAATCTGGTCTTTGAGGGGGTATATCCAAATGTATCCGCCCTGGCGGTGGTCAGCAAGCTGCGCATTCGAAATGATGAAAGGGATTTAGAGGAGAAGAATCGGCATAGTAAGTACCCGCTGACAGAGGCTGCAGTTGCACTCGATTATACGCCCCTCGTAGCTGTCCAGCGAGCCCTTGACCTTGAGTGTGGCTGTCACGGCCCCACAATGGCAGCTCCCGTAGTAGGTCTTGCCCTCGGCGAACCCGGCAGGGTTAGGTTCAGGACCCGAATACGCAGGCGGCACGTATTGGGGATCCAGCGTATCACCGTTGAACCTGGCCAGTCCGGGTTAGATGATGTTCATGAAGATGAAGACAAGAGGGATGCTTACGTTGATATCTCTAGGTCAAAGACATTGAGATCTTGAATCGTTCGGGCCTAAACCGCGGTTGTCAGTCCATGGCTCCATGGGTCCGTGGGCTGCCCGTCATCAAAGAACCTGAAAATGAAGTTGTGACTCACATTGATGCCCGCACCTGTAGCGCCGACAGCCATGACAGCAGTCCCGCAGTTCTCGCAAAACTGATGGGTCATCTTTTTGTTGCCAAATTCGTAACCGACAAGCGTCCCTTCACCTTTGACGATTTTCGGCGGCTTGTCGAGCAGCAACCAGAGATAGGCTTTTTTGAGGCATATGCTGCAGCGGCAAGCCATCGCCGATTTGATCTCGGGCATCTCCATCTCGAAAATGAATGCACCGCAACGGCAGTTGCCACGATACTTCTTTGTATCCGCCATCTTGTCAATGAAATTCCTTCCTGGTACTGTTCAACTCGTCCCTGCGATTAGCGCAAGGTCAATCAAGAACTCGCTGAATGAGAGGAGCGCGACTCAGATTTATCGTTCTGAACCTGTGTCGGACTCGGAACCTCCTTTTCCAAAGCCCGCAAGACAAAGGATGCAAAGGAACGGAACGGGTAAGCGGAAACAGGCAGCAGTCCGCTAACTCTCCTCACCGCCCTGCAGGTGACTCAATCCAGGTCTAGCCGTCGGAAGTTTCGGAGAACACGCTTGACGCGATTAGACTCAGCAATGAATGTTCAAGCCATCGCGAGCCAAACACGCTATCAGGTGACTAGAGCAGCCTGGTCCTCGTCAGCCCTCAAGCAAGGCTTGGCAGGGGTGGAGGAACCACTTTCTTGGGACTAAGCTGTCACCTTATCGCCGCCAATCAATCGACCCAAGCTCTCCAAGCTAGGAGCTGCTTCCGACCGCGCCGAGGCGGCCTCGGCCTGAAGGGAACCTGGCGAGCCTGGGAAGACAACGGCGGTGAACCCCATGCCCGGGAAACACCGGCTGCTTGGGCATTGGCTCCAACGTACGGTGTACTGTACGTAAAAGCTCCATGATCGGCGAGAACGCCCATATCGTTAGTCGTTAGCCAAGTTAACTACGGACTTTGCCAGTTTGCCAGTTGGTCCATTACTACTGACTTGCCCCGGCATCAGTCGCATCGATGATCGTGGGGCAAATTACGCGAGATGAAATCAAATAAACCGGATGACTTTGGTTAACTGAACAGCAAACGAAGGTTACCTCGATGCAGAGCTCATCAGCCAACAAGCCATACCATGTCCTGAGCAAGAATATGATAACTTATGGAGACCTTCATGGTTCTGGGCGTGGGGTGTTGTTCAGACGAGATGAGCTTGGCGACATATATATCCGGAATGACGTCTACTTGTACAGTACCTATGAGCCCGAGCAAAGGCCGTCAGAGCTGCAAGCGGAATTGATACTTGAGTACCTAGATCCATCCTCGCGCCACCCTGGAAGTCTTCATGCTTCGATCTGTCTTGGGTAGATCAGGGGTGTTCCTTCTACTTACCTAACTACTGATTTCTGGATAGGCCCTGCTGCATGCAATAGACGGTATTGTCAGTTTACAAGCATCCATTGTTGTACTTGTAAGTGTGTACATCCGTTCCTAGAATCAGTGATCCTCGATAGCCTAAATGGTGGTACAAAACGAACCCCGCGATCCAAAAGCCCGAGATTCTCAAATTCTCAATGGCAAGGCGGGGTCTTCGGACACTAATGGAGAGGGGTAATGGAGGGGTAGATACTCCGTAGGCGCCATCGTCATAGCGTTGCTGGCTTTGCCCATTAGATCTACAATAAACTTTCATCGAGGCGCTTGACTGCTTTGATTCAGACGGGCAGCTCCGTCTCTCAGCTTTTGCTGGCCCTCGACCGATTTGCAGCACCCATTCAGGCAACACTTTCCATCTCTACCAAGTAGGCTATCCAGGACTGAATTGAACTGCCGAGAAGCTGGATTGAGTTGGAGCAATATGTAGCAACCCAACTAGGTACTGTACTGTACTACATGTGTACGCTTAGCTTATGGGCAAAACAATGATGGCAGAGGTGGATCCATCCTGTCAGGAGCAGACAAAAGCCCACAAGCCCCGAGCGACTTTCCTGTTTGGCTCCCGGCGTTCCGACCTGCTGCCAATACGGCATCATGTTCCGCTGATTCGACGCGGCTTCGATATGTGGCTCGGACCCCTTTACGCTTTCTCCCAGGTCCCAGGTAACTGTACTGTAAGTGATTGTGTTCATCTCTGCGTCGTTCGGGAACCTGGGCCTGGACACGGGGCGCACGGTATCCATGGATGCACAGACGACGCTAGCTGCCCCACCACCCTCTGAACCGAGCGTGGGGCTCACAGCTCCTGCAAGATAATCTGCCCTGTGATTTGTCCCTTGCATCTCCAGCTCCCACGCTTCCCCAAACATGGGGCGGTGCTCGCGGCATTCCATGACAAAACGATTTCATATTCCAAGCGCAGGTGTACTTACCTGGACGGCGCCGTTTCCGTTTCACAGCGTCAAGACACCGGAAACCGCCACGGCCAGGCGGATGATCTCGGGAAAGGACGGCCGCTGCACAGTGCCGCTAACGGCAGAGCAGCTTCCCACTCCCAGAGCTTCCAGGTTGGCACCAGGTCCCGACTCCCGCTTCAGGAATTCCGATTGCCAACCGATGGGGAACGGCGCCACACCAGGTCGTCGTCGTTCCTGTCTTCCAGATCTTCGATGGGGTCTCCAATGCTTGTGTCTGTTTCCCTGATTGGTGGTTGGTGGCAAATCCACCGGACGATGGGGAGGAGCGGCCATCGGCAGTGGATGGTGCCTTGACTTCAACGAGGAGTTGAGCCATTGATGACAAGGTAGGCACGACTTTGTTAGCGGCTCCCGCTTGCCAACGCGATGGTACGGTACAGTACCTGCTCCAGCGGCTCCTCCGCGATGAGCTTAATAATTTGGAAGCTTCCATGTTCGATCTTTGTTCTACGTTCCGGTCCTGGAATCGGAGCTCACCAGCATCTGCTCACATATATACTTTCTGCATTCCAGTTCTCCCTTTGGAGTCCCAAGCCTTCGGTATCAGAGGCAATCGGCACCAATTCACAAAGCAGTAGCTATGTTAGGCCTCGACCAAGCCACCGCCATGCCAGAGTCTGCATTCCCTGGAATTGGGACCCCCAAAGCCAAGGGTGTCCCCAAGCTCTGTACGGCCATAGGCCAGAAGCTAGACGTTATCGATATCCGTCATGCAGCTGTTGAGGTCAATCTCAAGGCCGAAGTTCTCTCCCTCTTCCGCACCAGGGATGGGCCCAGGAAGCTCCCCACGCTTCTTCTTTACGATGAAAGGGGCTTGCAATTGTTTGAGAAAGTGAGACTCTTCTGGATCCTGGCGCAAGTTGCCAGCGGCTTAGAATCAAGCTCCCGCTAACCCGTTTCAGATCACGTACTTGGAAGAGTACTACTTGACCAATGATGAGATTGAAGTGCTTGAGTCCTGTGCTGCCAGCATTGCCAAAAACATCCCTTCCGGAGCTATGGTCATTGAGCTTGGAAGCGGGTTAGTTCCCTAACACAGGCCCCCCCACGCCGCCTGGCCAGTGACCTCAAGCTTACGGCAGTGGTCTGTGTCTAGCAATCTTCGAAAGGTCAACCTGCTTCTGCAAGCTCTCGAAGACGCGGGCAAAATCATCGACTATTACGCCCTGGATTTGTCCCAACGCGAGCTTGAACGAACCCTAGCTCAGCTCCCAACATACAGACATGTCCGGGCCCACGGCTTGCTGGGAACCTACGATGACGGGCGGCAATGGCTGAAAGATTCGTCGAACGCCCCGAGGCCCAAGTGCATCCTGAGTCTTGGCTCGAGCCTGGGTGAGTTGGTTCCTTCCAACCCTAACCACCTGGGCCTGACGGGAACGGCTGCCAGGGAATTTTGATCGAAGCGAGGCCGCCGCCTTCCTCAAGGAGTTTGCCGACGTTCTTGGTCCTGGAGACACCATGCTGATTGGCCTTGATGCCTGCAATGACCCGGCCAGAGTATAGTAAGTGCCAACCCCTCTCGCACCACCCCGTGTCTGACATAGGTACTGACGGCGGGTTAGCCACGCCTACAACGGTATGTGTGCTACCACGCCTCTCCCATAGTTAGGCGTGCTGATTTCAATGTTTCCCCTTGATAGATAGAGAGGGTCTCACCCATGAGTATGCGCTCCCTCAGCCATCTAATGCGGGTGGTCACGTTGGGCGATGCTGACGGGTTCAGATTCATTCTCAATGGCCTCCGCCATGCCAATGAACTCCTCGGGAAAACCGCTTTCGTCGAGTCAGAATGGAAGGTCATTGGCGAGTATGTATATGACGCTGAGGGAGGGCGGCATCAGGCCTTTTATTCCCCAGTGCGTGACACGATTGTTTTGGGAGAGCTCATCCGATCGCATGACCGGATTCAGATCGAACAGAGCCTAAAGTATTCTCCAGAGGAAGCAAGAGAGCTCTGGAACAGGGCAGGTATGACGGAGCTTGCCCTGTGGCGGTGCCGAGATGAATATGGTGAGTGGATTTTATGCCGCCTTCCATCCATGGCAATGCAGGGGTTTCGATCTCGATCAAAGTCCTCCGGGATACCCCACGTTTTCACCACGCGTGGGGCGAGTGGGCGGGTGTCGGGCGATGGTGAGACACATCAGACGATCGCTCTGTGCCCTGGCTTGCCGCCTCTGGCCTGCTACTGGTGTCGAGCTGCGGGGTCGGAACTTCACATGAGATCTTGAACAACAAAAGGTGCCCCCTGCATTCTGACTGACTGGACCGCACTGTGCAGGTCTTCATATGCTCGTCAAACCTAAAATGTCATTCAGCTTGAATCCTTCTCTGTACGCCCGCAGCCCGCTCCCATCTCTCGAGGATTGGGAGGCGCAGTGGGCTGCCTGGGATGTCGTCACACGCCAGATGCTGCCGCACGAGGAATTGCTTGAGAAACCCATCAAGCTCCGCAACGCATGCATTTTCTATCTGGGCCATATTCCCACCTTCCTAGACATCCAGCTGAGCAAGGCGACGAAGGAGCCGCCTACCGAGCCCGCATACTTCAACACCATCTTTGAAAGAGGAATCGACCCCGATGTCGACAATCCAGAGCTGTGCCATGCGCACTCGGAAATTCCAGCAGAATGGCCTCCTGTGGATGACATCCTGGCCTATCAGGGCAGAGTACGGTTCCGGATACGGCATCTTTATGAGAATGGGTCCGCCAGCATCCCGCGACACGTGGGCCGGGCAATCTGGATCGGCTTCGAGCACGAGCTGATGCATATCGAAACGCTTCTGTATATGATGCTCCAGAGTGACAGGACGCGTCCGCCGCCTCATGCTCCGGCCCCGGATTTCGAGAAGCTTTCTGCCAAGGCACGTTCTGAAAGGGTCCCAAATGAGTGGTTCGACGTTCCTGCCCAGCGTATCACAATCGGGATCGATGATCCGGAGGATGGAACCGATTTGGATGTTCACTATGGCTGGTAAAGATCATCTTCGCTCAATGACTCCCATGGTGTGACTAACCGATCCCAGGGACAATGAGAAGCCCGTAAGACAGGTGGATGTTCCAGCGTTCCAGGCCCAGGGAAGACCCATCAGCAATGAAGAGGTGAGTCCGGGCGTGAAGTAGTTGCAGGCAAGGCACTGACGACTCCTAGTACGCGCAATACATGTATAGTAAGCACATCACCAAGGTCCCAGCCTCTTGGGCGCAAGTACCCGAGACTCTTAAGGAAGGAACGGATGGAGCAGGTGAGGCTGTGAATGGCTACACAGACGGCGCGGACAACAAAGGCCCAGAAAAATCCACTCTCCCACAATCTTTCCTTGAAAGCAAGTTCGTTCGGACGGTTTATGGGTTGGTACCCCTAAAACAAGCACTTGATTGGCCAGTGTTCGCATCATACGACGAGCTTTCAGGCTGCGCTGCATGGATGGGAGGACGCATTCCCACATTTGAGGAAGCCCGAAGCATCTACGTTCATGCAGAAGCGCTGAAGAAGAAGGAAGCGGAGAAGAAACTTGGAAAGACGGTTCCCGCGGTTAATGGGTAAGCCATAGCCGCATAGATTCAAGCTTAGTACTAATTCGCGCCGCAGTCACCTGTCGAACAATGGCGTTGAGATTTCGCCCCCAATGACCCCGCCTTCCACGGTCGTGTCCGCCGCCGCCTCGGAGGTGGATGCCGAAGAAGCACATGAAATTGAGAAAACACCTGAGCTCTTCGTCGACCTTGACGGCGCCAATGTTGGGTTCCAGCACTGGCACCCAGTGCCTGTCACCAGCAAGGGCAATTCCCTGGCCGGACAGTCCGATATGGGCGGGGTTTGGGAATGGACCAGCTCCGTGTTGCGTCCGTGGGACGGCTTTGAGGCCATGCCTTTATACCCAGGATACACGGCCGACTTTTTCGATGAGAAGCATAATATTGTATTGGGCGGGTCGTGGGCCACTCACCCACGCATTGCAGGCCGTAAGAGTTTGTAAGTGATGACAAGTCCCCATTTACTCGTTTTCATACACGCCATTTTCATTTGAACAAAGTGTCTCATGACTCATAGACTGACATGGGAGACAGTGTCAACTGGTACCAACGCAACTACCCGTATGCTTGGGTAGGTGCGCGTCTGGTCCGCGATATGGAGTGAACTTCATATCGTCAGTCTAGTGGCAACTCTTATCGAGCACCCGGGCGTGGACTGCACGTGGATCGTTTCGACAACGGGCAAAAGTGTGCTATGTCGATTTTGTGGATTTTACGGACCTGAAAAGTGTTTATGTTGGCGACGGATTTCCTCCTCCGTTGCATGACTACATTAGTAACTAGTCACAATCGTCTACCGACATTTGGCAAATCCAGAGGACATTTATGATAACCTGGTTCACCCAACTCTAGGCTTGTCTGGGTCTGCTGTCAATATTCCTCTACTCGGAAAGATATTGCCAGGGAGTCAATGAAACACGGCCAGTAAGTCGACGGTGCAGACATCATCCCAAGGAAGGGGCACTACAATACTGATTGAGTACTCTCATCCTTTCATGCTAGTAGGGTGGAAGCAGTGGTTGATCTGTGGCTAAGCCGTCTACTGGAACTGGTAACTTCTCTGCTGGGTGGGTTTGTTCTGCGGAGGACTTCAAATGGCGTAGCTGGAAGCCGGGGAAAGGGGGTATGTAGTCTAATCCTTACACAAGCCTGGGTTCCAAGTCTGGATTGCCGTCACGGATACAACTACCTATAACATACAACCGCTAGACTACCTTTTCCCCAACAACCTAAGACGCCTAATCATGCAGTAAGACAGATCGCTTAACAGCCCGCGCAATCGCAAGTAGGTAGGGACCGTAGGGACCGCTATTGGCCATAAACGAGCAAGATCGCTGGCAGGCCTGATAACCCGCGGCAGCGAGCTAGGGCATAACTCTCGAAGCGAGGCATCCTCTTTTCGAAGGGGGCACCGTGGCAGGCGGGTTAGAGGGTCGTTTCAGATAAAATACGACGGAACATATGGGAGACAGGAGAACCCATCATATATAGTCGTCGACCATCTCCCAGATCTGCGACGTCATCTTGACGCCCTGCTCGGTGATGATGCCGTCGATGAGTTCGGGATCCGTGTAGTCGACCTCATCCTGCTCCGACAGCATTCCGGCCACGGCATCCGGGTCGGCCAGGCCTATGTTTTCAAACTTGCTGATGTCACGCTGCTCGACGCCGACGCGGTTGACCATGGGGTAGGCGATCGGGGTCTTGCGGACAATCTTGTGCGTCTCGGCGGCGACGTAGAAGCGCTTGATGGCTCCCTTGACCGTCTTGGTCAGGTGGGCGAGCTGTGCCGTGCCCATTCCAGAAATGATGCCGCCGTTCTGCATGACGACCTCGGTCCCGACAAGCACGAGGTTGATGTTTTTCTGGTTGCCGAGCATGTAGGCGACCTTGTGCGGGGAGATGGTCTCAACCTCTAGCCCGGCCTCGCGGAGCTGGGCGACGGCGCGGTGGCTGCGCGAGTCGGTGGTGCCGCGGTCGACCACGTAGATGACCTTGAAGTGCTTGCTCGGGTCGGCGGCGGCGCGCAGCAGGATCTTGGTCACGGTGCGCGACCCGCCCGCCGTCAGCACGGCGCACCCGTCCGACACGTACCGGCTGCCCCAGATGGCGATGTTGTCGCGCGCCGCCTTGGCCCGCTGCGCAAAGAGCTGCCGGTTGTCGAGCAGGTGCTGGCGCGTCTCGTCGAAGCTGAGCACCCGGCCCGAAGAAGAATAGGAAGAAGTACCCCCCGCACCCGCACCCGCGGCCACTTGCCCTCTAAGCGCGCGCAGCAGGTACTGTATGAAAAGGTCGGCTCCGGCAAGTAACGGCAGCGGGTTGGGCGTCGAAGCGAGGAGTTTGGCTTTTTCCTTCTTCACAATCTCGACGGTCTCCATTGCTGTGGACGACGGGATCATGCGTAGCACCTCGATCAGGGACTCGATGGCTGCTACCGGCATGGTGATGTCGGGGTCTGATTGGAGCAGCTCGCGGTAGGCCCGGACGATGCTACATCATGTTAGCAGACGGTAGGTAGACTTTCTCAAAGAGACTCGGGTGCTGCTAACTCGAAGGGCGCATTCTGCTGCTGGGATGGAGCTGCGGGGGAGTGATCATCTGTTTGCGTTCGGAGGGGCAGGGCCGCTGCCTGTGACGACTCGGGCGCTGCTTGTAATGGACCGTCCCTGGACATGGTGCACGTAAAGTAGACTGAAGCTATAAAGTTTGGGAGCGGGCTGCGCCACAGCATACAGCTGTTCCACAGAAGGCGCTCGTCGTGAGTGTAATGCGTGGTAGTTGGTACGGAGTGTTGATTGATGGGAGTCACGTCGCGCCGAGGAATAGTGGAACCGCTATGGGAGTAGACAAGTGTATTCTCGTGAGCAAGGCTTAATTAAAATGCATAAGCTAAGAGTGTTGCAGTCGAAGTCGGTATCCAACGTTGGTGATTGTCCGGATCCGGCAGTAATTGACTGAGTGACTCAAGTGTACGAAGTAAAGTTCATTGGACTGGGACGCCATGTGATTCTGCCAGCGTACACCGCCGCAATCCGGTCTCAGGCTCTCAGCCTTCTTCAGCCTTCGCGGGGTACGTACAGTACAATACAAAATATATGCACGGTACGTGTAAAGTACCGCGGGGGCGGGGTAAAGCACATTGGCGGGATTGCTCGGCACTGTGAAACATGGGACCGAACTAAATCAGGGACCACCAAGCCTCAAGGTCAAACTGTTCATCCCGGATTGCTCATTGATCTGTTCTGTATATGCCATCCTCTGGCTTTTCTTCCAAACCACTACTTGATCCAGAATCACAATGGATTCCTCAACTGAGATACTCGACCCGGCTACGGGCCGGCCCCTACCCTCAGACGCCATCGTGCGAGTCCTCCGTACGTAAACCTTCACTCCCTAACCCCTTTACCATACGAAGACAAATTAATAACACCCTCCCCCAACACTCAGACGTAACCCACCCAGTCCACGTCTACGCCATCCCTCCCGGAACACTATCCACCAAGGCCGGCTACGCAGCCGCGTCATGGACAGCCGATCCGCGCAACCACATCTTTACCGCCCGTCTGCGCGTGCTCGAGACATCCTATACCACTTCCGGCACCACCACCACCTCCTCCTCCACCAATGACGATGATAGTGAGCAAACCGTCATCAAAACAAACGTGCTGCTCGAAGACCCAACATCAGGCGCCCTCTTCGCCGCGGCGCCCTACACCTCATCCGCCGCCGTCGAGCCCTGCAGCGACAGCAGCCGATTCTTTGCGCTGCGCGTGCAGGACCCGTCGACGGGCCGCAAGGCGACGCTGGGCGTCGGCTTCGAGGAGCGCAGCGACGCGTTCGATTTTGGCGTCGTCCTGCAGGAGGCGCTGCGCGTCAGTTCAGGCAATAGTACTAGTGCGGGTGCTAAGCCAACGTCGGCACCGTCAAGAAAGGGGCTGATGGATGACGGGCCTTCTTCTTCTTCTGGAAAGGGTCGGTCGCGGAGTGATGGGCGTGATGATAATGATGGTGGTGGTGGCGGCGGTGGTAATGGGGAGAAGAAGGATCTCAGTTTGAAGGAGGGGGAGACTATCACGATCAATCTGAAAGGGACCAGGTTTGGGCGACGGGCTGCTGGTCCTGGTGATGGTGGGCGGCAGCAGCAGCAGGGAGGGAAAGAGGAGGCGGCGGCGGATGGGAGGAGTCTGGCGTCCTTTGCGCTGCCCCCGCCGCCGGGGAGTAATACTGCTACCACTGCAGGTACGGGAGGGGGTGCGTTCCTGCCACCACCGCCCAGTGCAAGGGAGGTGAGGGCACAAAAGAGGTTGTCTGCGCAGGACTTGGGATTTGATGATGGCCAATTTGGCGAGTTCGCATGAGATTATGCGCTGACGATGATGATAATGGTGTTGTTGATTGACAAACTGTATAGATCTGCCCTGTCGGCCTCTTTCCAGCGATTACCCCTTAATCAAATACTAAATAATGATGCCACCAAAAGCGCACACGTACTACTTAGTATTACATTCTGGTACCTGTCATTCACACATTGATTCCCTGGGCAATGACTGCCGGTGACTGCAAGCTGTTCCTCCGTGACTTGGGCCACAAATTCTTTAAATTCGGCAAGCTCATCCGCCTGTCCTTCGTTCTGTGCGGCAGCGGGAAGTAGTGCGACATCCTGCGCAGCCGCGCTTTCCATGGCTGCCTCTCCTCGCATTCCGACTGTTCATCGTCCGAGTCCCATCCAGACTTGGGGGCTTCCGAGACATTTGCCTGGTCACCTCGCTCGCGGGTGTACTCGCTTCCAGCCACGTCTGGGCCATTTTCTGGGCCATTTGACTGACCCTTGTCGGCCGCCTCGCCAGTAGATTCCGGAGGCTGGGTCTCAATCTCCGTTTCCTTAGCCGCCGTCCCGCCCGAGTTGCGGGACCAGATGTCTTCGGAGAAGATTATGTCCCCGGAGGGAGTGAAAGCCGGAGACAGCGGGCTCAAGGCCGAGCTGCACGAAAAATAGTCCTGAGAGTGGCCGGTCAGGGGGGTGGGGGTGTCGGAGCACGGGCTGACTTCGGGACCGCCAGCGGCCGAACCAGGGGGATACTTCATATACTCCATGGTTGGCGCTGGTTGAGGCATCTGCTGTTGATGTGCCTGCATCCAGCGGCACCGGTTCAGTAGCTCGACGTGAATCTCATCCAGCCGCAGCAGAATCAGCTGCTCCTGCTGCGTGCTCTTGGCAATCTTGGTCTTGATTGCGGCAGCCTCTCTCGTGCACCTCCTCGCCTCGGATGCCGTCTGCGCGGCAAGGAGCCGAGCTTCAACGGCGGCAAACCTCTGATGCAGATGGGTTGACCTGACGTCTTCCTTCTGCAGATTGTAAACGAGATAGGAGCGCTCGTTGTAGAGCTCCTCCAGGGGTCTAGGGTCCAAGCACTGCACTGGCAACATGTAGTTGACTGCCGGTGGTTCGGCCGGGTTTTGGTTGGCCGGGTTTTGGTTGGCCGGGTTGGGCTTGGTTACCAAGCTGCCGGTCCTCAAGCAAGGCGGCCGCGGCTGCCTGCGAGGGCTACCCGGGCCAGTCCGTTCCTGATCCTGGGATGGCACTTCCTGGAATTCCTTTCCGGTGATCATGTCTCGCTCAAGGCCGGGAGAAGCGGACAGGCGGCTCTCAATGCTCTGCGTCTCGGAATGGGGGGATGTCCTTGTGGGGAGGGCTTGGGGAACTCGGCCTTCCGGTATCAGCGTTCCATTGGAGTGCATCGTGGTGAAAGATGGAGCATGGAACTGAGTTCGGTGGTGTCGGAACCCTTGATTGACCAGCTAGCCCGGTTGCCCATGGCTCGAGAAGGCGAGGATTTTATCTCGGATACGAGCACCTGTCAAGCTTCCCGAAGTAGGTAAACAAAGATCGAAAGGGGTTCTAGAAAACATTGACTTGAGGCATCTCTTTGTCTTAGTTCAAGCGCCAAGCACTGCCGTTGCACAAAACCACTCCATAGCTTCGGAAGATGCCGCCTGAGGACATGCCCGACAGCTGAGGTTTGGGGCGAGAATATGATGTCGTTGAAAGACACCGGTGCCGAGCTGTTGCTGCCGAAGAATTCTATTTCATAAACTGAAGCCATCGTGCCTAGGAGGATCGCAGAATCTCCACAGCCCTGCCGCTTCTGCCGCCTTTCTTGCTGATGAGATTTCCTCATTCGTGACGGCCCGGTTGATGTCTGCGTAGCGTTTCTCCGCGGCATCTCCGTCGCTGGTTCTGGTGGATGTGTTGGACCTGTTCTTTGGCTTGCCCACATAGGCGTCGGGGTGGTACTGCTCCATGATGTTGACGAAGCAGTCTTTGGAAACATGGTTTGCCAGAAAGCGCATGATTTCAGCCGTCTCGGCCTCGAACCCAGGCATGACAAGGTGGCGTACTAGAAGGCCCTTCTTGGCTATGCCGTCCGGAGTGAAGCAGAGATCCCCGATTTGAGCGTGCATCGCTTTGATGCTCTCCCGCGCAGTGGCCGCATAGTCCTCCGCCTTCAGGAGTCGCTTGCAGCTAGCCGGCTCCCAGAGCTTGAAGTCTGGAAGGTAGATATCCACAAGCCCGTCGAGCAGCTCGAGTGAGGCTCGCGAGTCGTAGGATGACGTATTGTAGATTATGGGCAGCCTCAGCCCTTTGTCTCGCGCATGGAGGATGCTCAGTGCGACCTGTGGGACGACACTGGACAATGAAGTCTCAGCTTTCAGCTCCCGTAACTGGCCAACCCACAAACCCATCAAACATTCAACGTCACAAACATTTCCATCGCGGACTCACTCACTGTTCGGGCGTTATCAAGTTGATATTGTGGACGTTGCCCACGTCCTGCAGCTTGAGGTACCAGTCTCCCAGCTCCTCGGGGGTCAGGTCTTGGCCGTTGCGCTGGTGGGCAATGTCGTGGTTCTGGCAAAAGACACAGCGCAGGTTGCACATGCTGAAGAAGACGGAGCCGCTGCCGTTGTGGCCCTGGATGCACGGCTCCTCGCCAAAGTGCGGCGCGATGACATTAACCTTGGCCTTGTCGCCGATGAGACACATGCCCGTCGTCTCGAAGCGGTTGACGCCGCAGAGACGCGGGCACAGGTTGCAGTTCCGCAGGTGCGCGTACGCAGCCGCCCGCTTCTTGGCCGCGTCGACCGAACTCAGCAGCATGTACCGCGGCGTGTAGTCGTCGAGGAGGAACGGAGGTGCGAGATGCAGCGCACGTCGGCGGCTGGCGTTGACGTGCAACTTGTTCGGTCGTTCAAGACGCACAGCGGGAGCAGGCCGTCTGCACAGAAACCGCCTCATTGCATGCATCCCGTATCCATTCGGTGTTATTTTGACTATATGAAGGCTCGAGATTTACACGCGGCAGCCTTGTCGAATCGTCGTTGCAAACCCCCCAACAGTTTTCAGTTTTGTGTCGTTTTGTTTGATGAGTGTTAAGTGACGAAAGCTCGCCAAAATCAATGTCAGAGAAGGAAGGATTTGTCGGGTACTCACAGCAGCTTTCCAACCTACCCTCAACGGTCAACCATACACCGGACATATTTGAAGCCAGCACCCATGACGGGATTTCCTAGATGTACTGTACAGTACATGAGTAAGGTAGCAATAGCCATACCTCCCTACCCTCTCTCCATCAAGACCGCATACCTCTCTCCCTATCACTTCGACACCGACCATCACTCAATCCCCTAATCCTGTCCTCCTTGTAATAATCATGCAGCTGCTCGCATGCTAGGAATCGAGATCCTAGAAGACTAGATCTACACAGTAACGTTACACAGTGAAGATCAAAAGGGGATTTATTAGCTCCGATCCACGAGACAAGGAAACAAAACCCCTTTGTACTCGACAACGGCTCTGATGCAATCGTAGGGCTGCTCTCGGTCCCGAGCCTAAAAAAAGCCCGAAGAGCAAAGAGCCCACAACATATCTGCCATTCTCCGAGTGAATGCATACATACAGTATCTCAACTGCATCGACTCTGCACGCTGCGGCCCCTCTCAGATACCCAGCAGCAGTCATACCCAGAGGGAAGGGGACAGGAATAGGTATCTGCTTTAGTTTGTACTTCCCGGGCCAACCGGCAACTTCCATCCTCTTAGCAACATATATGACAACAGATCCAATACCACGCCCCTCCTTATATGTACACAATACTAACAACCCAAAGAAGACGAGGAGAAGTACGCCAGCCTCACTTCCTCCGTTTCCCGCCACCAGCCCCGGCATCTCCCGCCTTCCTCTTCTTGCCCTCCCTCTCCCAGTAGGCTTTATTCTCCCTCTTCTCCTTGTTCTGCAGCCTCTCCTCGATCTCAGCCACCTTCTTCCTGTATTCCTCCCGCTTCTCCTCCTTCTTGGCCTTGCGCTTCTCCACCTGCTGCTTCCGGATGGTCGTGAGTTTCTGCATCAGGTCCCGCGCCTTCTTCTCCTCGCCCCGGACCACCACCGCCCGCTTCTGCATGTACGTCTCCTTCTTCTGCGGCTTGGTCTGCACAATCTGCGACTTGAACGGCAGCTCCGCCGCCAGCGCCCGTGGCACTCTAAGCGGGTTGAAATGCCGCGTCGGCCGCTCAATCTTGCGGTACTGGCTGTTCTTGAGCTGTGGCGTCTCAATGTTCTCGTCGCGCCGGATCTCGCCCGTAAGCCGCATGCTCTGCCACCCAATCAGGTTCGTGGCCGGGTTGTAGAAGCGGTGCGGTTTGATGGGATACCACGCCCGCAAGAAGACAATGTCGCTGAGGAGGATCTTGTCCTCGAACGTGGCTCTGAAATGACCGTCTGGCTTGGCGAGAGCCCGCTTGATCTGACCGCGCACCCCGGAAACCGTCTTGATGGCAGCCCCTTCGAACTTGGCAATCTCCAGTGCTGAATTAAACATGTCCTTGATGAATGCCGTGTTCTTGAAAATCTTGTACGGCGTGCCAGTCTGTGTAGTATGTCAGCATATGAGGACGAAAAGAGCATGCAGCGAAGCGGGCCGACGTACCAGCTTGAGCTTCTTGACAATCTCGGTAGACTCGTCAACGCTCAACACGGTGCCTGTTGCGGCGATGCGGAAGCCCGGATTAGAGGATGAGAAGGACTGGAAGCAGCAGAAGCCTGTGTTGGGCGCAATCAAGGGCCCGTAAAAGGTACCGAAACAGTGCATATGCTCGGGCGTGTATTTGAGCATCCTGTTTCTCGTCCGAGAATCCGATATTGAGTAGATAGGTAACGTCTGAAACCTTCGCCAGCCGAGGGAGAAGATTAGGGGATCACCTGTCTTGACTATCCGGGCAATTAGCACATATCATGGCGCAAGCATGGCCTGTCTAGGGGCTGGGCAAGCCGAACTTACGGATCTTTTTATGCCACCGATGCCGCTTGATCCTGACTTGAACAAACCCAAACCTGTCCTCAGTAGCCGAAAGGCCACCAACGACAATGGGCATCCTCGCCTGGAACCTGTTGACAAACTCGGCCGGGACCCCCTCTATAACCATTTTGGCGTACTTGCCCGCCCGGTAGCCCTCAACTGCAGTCCGCTGGCTCTCATCAAGCTCCTCAAACTCGGCCTTGTTGATTTCGAGTTGCTTCTGTAGCATGGCTTTCTGCGCGTCGTACCACTCATCCTCGCCGAACTCTTGGTCACCACCTTCTCTCCTAGCGATTGCCTTGTCATTATTGAAGCCCTCGCGATCTTCCTCCTCGAACCGGAGCTTAAGTTCTTCTTTGCGGCGCGCGTTCTTTTCTCGTTCTGCTTCTAGGCTCTCAGCGGGCTGCTCGGGCTCCTCCGGGCCATGGGTTTCCCCTGTTTCGAGATCCTCAAAGGCGCCGTCGCCTTCGTCGTCCCCGTCCTCATCCCCGACACCATCTTCGCCGTCGTCATCATCGTCTTGATCCCTTTCCCCGTCGAGCAAATTGGCCGTGGCAAACCTACTCCTCAGAGCTTCGACAGCATCCTCGTTCGACCACTTCGCAGCCAGCGCTTGATAGTCAAACCGGGGCACTGATCGGTCCTCCTCGAGATCGTCCTCGCCATCTTTTCCAGTCCTCCTGAAAAATGCTTCGTCATCCTCTTCAATGTCTTCTTCCATATCTTCGTCCTCCTCACCACGCCATTTCTGGAGAGCTTGTTTTGGTGTGAGTGTATCGTCATACATGAACCTTGCGAGGTCCACTGCTCGGTACGGTCGCCTTTTCCCGTGCAACATACTTGCTCGCTCCACCAAATTGTCCTTCCATCTCAGTGCCGCTTCTTCCTCATCTGAGCCGAAGTCCTCCTCCCCATCCTCCTCGCCATCAAAATCATCGTCAGAACCTTCCTCCCCAGAAAGGGATCCCAGGTCGGAATCGCTGTCGGCAAAGGCAATATCTTCGTCCTTGTTCTTGTCGTCTTGTTTCCGGAACATCTTCCCCAGCTTCTTTTCGTCGAACTCGGCCTCGACATCGGACTCGTTGGGGTCATCACCGCTGACAAACCCCTCATCTTCTGGCAGTTCCTCTTCCTCGTCCGAGTCATCCCGCTCGGCAAATCGCGCCTTTCTTTGGGTTTTTCTCCCGCTATCACCTTCGCCCCCGTCGGGAACCTCGGTGATTTGCTGCCCGCTCGCAAAGAGCTTAACTCCCTTGTCGGTTTGACCTAGCAACCTCCTCTCCCCTTGTAAATCGACAATGAGCTGCTCGCCCTCGCCGCGCTCAACTCCCTCAGCGTCCTTGTCGAAGGCAAAGCCCTTTTCCCTGGTGATGACGATGTGATCGCCCGTGATCTTCAGCCCGCTTCGATCCGCCATGGGCGCCCACAGCTTCTTGTCCTTCTCATCAAGACGCCGCCTCCCCGTCTTCCCTGTTGCCTTCGCAATTGCCTGCTCCATAGCAGGAGTTGGACACGGATCGGGCAAAACTTCCATACTGGCTATTGTAAAATCGCCGAGACCAGCAATGTGCACTCTCTGTCCCTGGGCGGCAAAGTTGGTGCCTCGGAGGTAGCCAGACAACTCAATTGATCGGTCGCACTTGTCGTCGTCTTCGATCCTGGTCGGATGGGTTATGTCTCGGTAGTTGTCGATCACCGTGTACGGGTGCGAATTCCTCCAGACAAGCGGTCTAGGGTTCTTCATCACGGAGAGGAAGCGTGAGAGGTTATGGATTTCGCGGTCCGGGTAGCGACCGTTCAGAACACCCGAGAGATAGAACAAGTGGGCTCCCTGGTAGAGTTCAGTCCATAGCCTGTGCTTCAACCTCTTCTTGGCATCCTTGAGAGCTTGCGGTTTGCGGAACAGGTCGAGATGGGTGAGGATGCCGAAGACATTGCCCGGCATACCGGTGGCGGCCAGGATGTTGAGGAACTCCATCGTCTCCATCTCGAACCCATAGTTCCCGTCAATCATCAAAAGCACGATATCGGCCACTTTGGCAAGGTCGACCATAGCCTCCAGTTCGTTCGGACACTCGATGAAGGTTAACCTTTGCTTCTTAGATGTGACGACGGTAATCGGCCCCACGGGGTCGGAGATGGTTTCTTTGGCATATCGGCGTATGAGAGATTTGCTGTTCGGTTCCTCTAAAGTTAGCCAGGGCCAGACAGTGGTGCAGTTACATGACGCACAGTAACGTAGTTTTGCCCACACCTGGCGGTCCGACAATCGTGACGAGTCTCGGAGGAGGTTCATCGGGAAGACGGTCAACGAGGGGCACATGTAGCCGTTTCTCTTTGATCTAGCAGATACAGTCTTAGTATATACCTCACAGAAGAATAGACTTGATAGACGCGTACGTCGTGTGAGCGCGCTGCCTGTCTTGCGAGCTTGCCGGGGTTGGAGACCGCGAATGCCTTCGGGTTCGGTCCTGAAGTCGCGTGTTAGCCACACCCGACAGTGTCCCGCATTGAAACATTCATCCTGCAAATAGGCCACCAACCTCCTGAGTGTTGCTTCTTCTTCTCTTTTGATTTTTTGGACTGCCTATGCGGCTTGTGACTTTGCACGTCCATCTTTGCGACTCTTGCGACGATCAGTGAATGCCAATTCCAGGTGCAGCAGCTCCAGAAATTTTTGGGTGATTGATTGTCTGCGATAAGAGATAAGCATATCGATAAGCCCAATGGTGGGGTTGGTAATTGCCATTGCGGATTGCGGGGCTGGGGCCGCTTGGGCATCTCGAGGGCATTCGAGGCATTGTTGCAAACTGCGCTCGACCTCGATGGTTTCATCCAATCTTTGGGACGTAGCCTCTGTAGCAAATTTCAGGGTTCCATGTTTTCTCTGTTTTGCAACTGCGCGCAGATCCCATGTACGGGCCCAGTTGTAGCCAAGCAGGATATCGCATGTACTGCGATAACTATTTAAGAGCCGGACATGCGTGGCCAAACATTCATTGCGACAGGAATGGCATGACGATGCAATGCAGCCAACCCAATCTGCGCCTTTGCACAAGTGAGCAATACAAACTCGTCTGACCCTCCATAGTAACCTGGCGGGTCCCGCGGCAAGTCAGGTCGAGCGGACTGTAGGCCGCAAGGTACCTCTGTCTCTCTGTGTAGGCTCGCCCTGGTGTTGGTTGCCTCTCATCAGATCGATTGGCGGCATGACGTATTTGCTCCTCCACAGTTGGGTTGGTGGTCCCTTTGGCGCCGCGTCACTCGATACCTATCTAGTGTTCCGCTTACAGCCGCTGGAACCCCTCTAATCTTGGTGCCCATTAAGGTAGGAAGGGTACTTAAAGTGGCAGACGGCCCAGTCGCTTTGATGTTGAAATCTCATCGTGTCCTGTCCCTTTATTACCATCCTTCAGTTCTTCGGTATCGGAACCACTGCCATTTCTCAACTAAACGTCATCAAGTACGCCCTAGATTCGTCGCCAGGACAAGTCCGGCCGCAATCATGCCTTCCTACATCGTACGTGAGCATCGCTGTAATGTCTAATGCAGTCTCCGTCTCCGCGATTCTGACCCAGCGTCATAGGTGACTCTCAAAGACGAGGCGACCGACGAGCAGGTCCAGAAGTACTGAGCCCTGGCCTCTACCATTTGCGTCCTGCCTGGTAGCCATGCTGATGCCGGACAGGTTGAAGGACGAAGTCAAGAGTCAAGGCGGCGAGATCAAGCACGAATACTCGCTGATCAAGGCCTTCTCGTAAGGGCATTGACACGATTTCCATGAGGCCACGAACTGATTTGTCTGCGAACAGGGTCAGCTATCCTGAGGGGACCGTTCAGGCTTTGGGGAGCCACGAGTTGGTCAAAGAGGTCGAGCAAGACCAGGAAGTTCGCACGCAATAGGGGGACTGTGGCTGCTGTGGGCGTCTTCGGTTAGGATAGCGGGGTAACGTTATGAATGCGGGGCAGCTGAGCACCCCTTGCATCTCTCAGCCACTGGCTTCGGCAGCTTAGTTCAGGGCTGCACCTCGCCTGATCCATTACTTCTTGCGTGCTTCAAGAGCGTTGATGTACTCCATCCATTTTCAAACCTCGATCTCGTACCTGAAAGGCCATTGTATCACCCGTTGAATCTGATTTCCTTGCCCGTGGGTGCATAGATTCATCCGTAAACGAATTGTCGACCGAAATCAAGCGCCAATTGCCCAAACATCTTCTCCTTCAACTGCTTCGACGGAGCATCCAAACCAGGTGCGCGAACATGCCGCCATGAGATACACCACGAGGCCACTGCGGTTGTCAAGCTGCCTCAGTGCTGCTCGTAAATGCCATTGGCGACCGAGACCGTCTTCAACGTTGCAGCATCTGAGGCAGGACGCCGTTGCCAGCTACCGTTACATCACTCATCACCCTGGATATCACGATGGTGACGTTAACCATCCTGACGCCCACGACGTCGTGCCTTGGTTAGCCAAGCAGCCTTTGCACCCGTTGAGCCTTGCCGATCTGGTGAAGTAAGAGAGCCCTCCGCCCCAATTTGTCACGACAGCAGTCGTCTAATCCAAACCTGGGGCCAGACATGGTCGCCCGCCGCTGTCCGCCGAGGCGCTCCTGTCGTCAGCACGATTCACCCTCTCGCTGCTTCCTATACGGCTGGCCCATCGGATACAGGCGCTGCGCAACCTGCCGTATGTCGTCGTGTCCAACCCCAACATCAGCAAGATCTACAACAACTACCAGCACTCGCTGTCGACTCTGCTGCCCTGGCAGGGCCGCACCATCAGCAACCTCGAGGACGAGATCCGCTTCACCGAAGTCCTCGCCGAGCTGGTGCAAACCCACACCGACACCATCCCCATCCTAGCCCGCGGCTTTCTCGAATGCCGCAAGTACATCTCCGCCGCCGAGGTGACGCGCTTCCTAGACGAGCACCTGCGCGCCCGCATCGGCACGCGCCTTGTCGCCGAGCAGCACATCGCCCTGCACTTCAGCAGCACACCGCACTTCGACCCGGGCGCGAGCCCGACACCCTGCCCGGAGCACCCCAACTACATCGGCGTGATCGACACGGCGCTGCGGCCGGCCTCCATCGCCGACTCGTGCGGGGGGTTCGTGGCCGACATTTGCGAGCTCAACTACGGAGTGCGCCCCCGGTGGATCGTCGACGGCGAGCCCGACACCACCTTCGCCTTTGTGCCCATGCACCTCGAGTACATCATCACCGAGCTGCTCAAGAACGCCTTCCGCGCCACCGTCGAGAGCGGCATGAGCCGCGAGCCCGTCGTTATCACCATCGCGCCCGAGCCGCCCGACGTACGGCCGGACCCCCGCCCTGTCCGCCTCAACCCGCCCGAGGAGAACCGCGGCGCCTTCCGCCGCGATGCTATCGCCCCGCTCGACGACAACGCCCCCGGGGTGACCATCCGGATCCGGGATCGCGGGGGAGGCATCCACGCCGACGTACTGCCGCACATATGGGGGTACTCGTTCACCACGTTTAGCGACTCGGACGACGTGCCCGGGGGATCGTCGCCTCTCTCGTCGTCGTGGAACAGCGACGATGCGCTGAGCATCATCTCGGCTGCTAGCAGCGGCAGCAGCTCCATCGCCGGCCTCGGCTACGGCCTCCCTCTTAGCAGGGCCTACGCCGAGTACTTTGGCGGGGGCATCGCGGTTCAGAGCCTACATGGCTGGGGCACTGACGTGTACCTTCGGCTGAAAGGCGTTGGGAATATCGCCTGAGTGTCGGTGCAGCATTGTTAGGAGGATTGTGTCATTTGTGTTTACAAGGGGAGAAGACGGCGTCTTGGAGAAGGCGGAGGCTTTAGATCTTGCTGCGGACTGAACGGCGCGCTCTTACGGGGCACTGATATCGTTTACTAAGTGGTTGGCAGTCTGAGCCCCTTGTACAATACATATGGCGCCTGGCATAGCACAACCGACACACGTTTATGGCGGGTTGTCCTACCACAGGGAGGAACAATACCGTTTTGTCGACATGGTCGAGTTCGGAACAGCAAATAAAGGCAGATAATGAATTCACCAGCTTCTCCAATCATATATACCCTTTATTCCGAGTCCGTGGTTTTGTCTTGACCTCGTCCATTCAGGGGTTCTCTTCCAAGTGACAAGCTACGTATGCGCAGAGACCATATGCTACGATGACAAGCATGTAGGACTTGATCTCATACAGCTCTTTTCAATGCATTACAGCAAGCATAAGCAAGAAACCTCAGGAACGAATCTGTCATTACCCACACCCAATGCCCCCCTATCCAGCTTTTCCCCCAAGATTAGCAGCTCGCTGACGGCGATGACGCTGAACATTGGTGCTTTTATCGCTTCCAGTACAAAGAGAACACGACGACAGAGACTGATGATGATAGAAATATATACCATGCGTGCGACAAAATAGAGACAGGTACAGAGGCGGAGAGGCGCAGAGAGAGAGTAGACACAAAGACAAGAGTATTATGCTAAGCGAGCAATACAGTAGCAAAATGGAAAGCCAGCAAAACCGCAACCCAACCAAGCCTAACCATACCAGAATAGAGAACCGAAACACTGTCTATCACATATTAGCCAACTCATTATCAATCTGCCTATCCATAAACGTCCTCCTCTCTCCCGTCAACTCGGTCTGCAGCCTCTGCTCTACCAGCGCCCGCACCTGCTTCTTGGTTACCGTGTCTAGGTCCACCTCCCTCAGCACCGCCTGGATCGCCTCGATGATCGACGCGTCATCCGTCGCGGGTCCGGGGCCTCGCTGGAAGTCAAACGACGACGCGCGGTTGTCGGCGTTGAGGCCCAGCCTGCTCGGGCTAGCGCCTAGCCCGGAGAAAGCAGAGAGGCGGTTGGTGCTAGCCGCGCCCGGGACGCCCAGGTTTGCGGTGCTACCACGTTGACCGGGGAAGTCTTGGTACGGGGAGTGGGTCTGCCGCCGTTGCATGTCGGCCACAGTGCCCATTGACATCATGCTTTGACGATGGGCGAGCGTTGGGTCGGCATAGGGTGACGGGGTAGCGCCGCCGCCGACAAAAGTGCTAGTGCGCGTCATGGGGCCCGGTGCGAAGGGGGTGCTTGGCGTCGGGGGAATGTATGTGTTTGCGCCACGGCCAGGAAGGCCGGTAAGGACGGACGGCTGGCGGACCGAGGAGTAAACCGACTTCATGTCGTCCATCTCGTAGTTCTCGTCGTACATGCCCATGGTAGCGTCGACACCGACCTTTTCGCCGTAGTTACCGCGGCGGCCAGGAAGGTTGTTGGCAAGCGCGTAGTCGTCCCAGCGCTGGAGTGGGATGGAGCGCGGGTCGAAGCCCTCGTCATCAACGGCGACCACCTGCTTCTTGCCAGACTCGCCAATAACGATGCGCGTGTTACCCCATGTGAAGTTGTCCTGGTTCCAGAAGGAGTAGATTGGCAAGACGAATGAGTAGATGGGGAAGGCGATGATGTAGATAATCATCCAACCCACGTGTTGCCACTGACGCTTCAGAATGAAAATGAGGGCTTGGAGCCCATACACGGCCGCGAGCATGACGAGGGAGATAAGCGGGAATGGTCCGGTGCGCGAGATAACAGTGTACAGGAGCCACACTAGGTAGGCGCACGTCGCCGGAAGGATGATGGTGCCGAAGAGATCGATGAACACGACGAATCGCATCGAGAAGCAGCAGAAGCCGCACATCTCGGGAAGGAACATCAATTCAACCAGGTTGTGAATGGTCGAGTTGATCCAACGGCGACGCTGGGACAGCAGGACGCTCCATTTCTCTGGCGCTGCCGTCTGACAGTAGGCATCGGGGATGAACTTGTATGACATATACGGGAAGTACTTGGTCATGAGGGTGGTCAGGTAGCGATCCTCGCCGAGCGACAGCAGGTTCTTCTTGTGAAGGGTATCCACGTGGCAATCGCTATAGTCACGGATAACCTCGTCGGAGATGATCAGGGGCTTCCCTTTGTCAGCCGTCCGCAGGCGGTACATGGAGAAACTAGCAGGATGTCAGTCGAACAGTGCTGGAGAACTCTGGTAGGCATTAGACTTACCATCCGGGCAGACAGGTGACACTGCCGAAGAGGGATTCAAAGGCCTTTGCGAGATGGTGGGAAATAAAGTACTCGTAGACCTGGATCATAGTCCACCAGGACCGTTCCTCATTCTGCAGGCTTGTCTCGCCACAAATACCCGCAATCTTAGCATCATTGGCACAAGCGGAAACGAGCTGGTTGAGGGAGTCCTCGCGAACGCAGGTATCGGCATCCACCATAAGAAGGTATTCATAAAGCTCGGGGTCCACGCCGATAATGTTATTGATCTGGTGGAACATTTCCAGTTCGAGGGGATTCATGGGAGCGCGGTGGTGGACGCGGTTGAGGAAGCTCATGAGCAAGATCTGAGAGTCACGCTTGCCGCGGTTTCCAGGCTTGGTCTTGTTCCGCTCCGACTCCTTGCCCACCTTGACGACCACAAGATACGGGACCACGTTCCCTTCGTACTCGTAGAGACCGGAGTAGACTTTGCCATAATTGAGCTGCTCACTGCCGGTACCAACGGATTTGAAAGGAAGGGCAGGCGGGTCAACCTTGGGATCGACACCGAGAATATCCAGGACAATCTTGGGCGTCGGACGGTCATTTCCAGCGCCGACAATGACGCCATCGCAAATGACACAGATCAGTTTGCGCTTGTTGTCATACTGGAGGGCTGTGAGAGAGTCGAGAGCCTTGCGTAACGAGTCTTCGCCTTCCGTGTATGCCGGCACCTGACAGATAACGAACTTGTCCTGGGGCGACGGTCGTCTCTTGGAACCGAACTGCAAAGCCGAGACGAACTTGATGAGAATCACAGCGCAGAGGATGGCAGCGAAACCGACCAGGATCCAATTGTTCACCTGACACCTCGCAGACCACCGGAAGTCCGTTGTGCCGATGTAGAAGCGGTTGTTCAGACAGTTCATGGTGTTGGCGACGCTAGCGAATTCGGTGTCGTTTGACCTAGCGTTCCGCCGAATGGTATTGAGCTGCTCGGTGAGATCTTGGCCGGGGTTGTTCTTCACGAGGCCGACGACCTGGGAATCGAGAAAAGCCCATCGAGGATTGTCCCTGTATACCTTCTGGGTATACATGTAGTCGGTGAGGTCATATACCTTGCCTTCATAGATGAACCATGCATGGTTGTTACTTGAGCCCTCTTGTGCAATCTTGTTCGTATCCCAGACGAGCTCGCCGTGGTAATATTCCTCCATGCGTTTCAGAAACTTGTCCCTATACCAGGTTTCGCTCCCCAGGTTACTGGTTGGGTCGGATGCATAGTATCCTGATGTGTGGACGGCTATCTGGTACTCTTGGGAGGTGTTGAGCTCGAGTCGAATTGTTTTGTCGGACACAAGCCCCGGGCAGGCAAACTCGAGTGGCGGTATGAAGTAGTTGTCCATATCCAGGCCGGCCAGGGGGAGCATGACATCGCTTGTCGTGTCGATTCCGTTGGTGCTGTGCTGCAGTTTCCAGAACTTCGTGACGTCGTATACTCTGCCGCGAACACTGACCCAGAAATCCTCTTCTCCATTATGATTTGCGACCTCCTCCCGCGACCACACCTTGTCGAAGTTGGGACAAAGCAGGCGTCCAAAGAAGATGATCCAGAACACGATAATGGCATTGAGGAGGACGATGAACATGCAAATAACCACTTTCTCGCGCCACGCCATGCGGACATCAGGCCGCTTCATACGGCCAATGTAGCGGAGCAAGGGCGATGGAATCCAGAAAGTGAGGGCCCACACAACCGCAACCCAGACCTTTCTGCTGGTGGATATGGGCCGCTCCTCGATTTTCTTGCCGGCAGCGAGGTCGGCGTCCAGCTTGCCTGTGAATTCGCCTTCGCTGTTAAAGAAGACGTCGCCTTTGTGTCTGTCGCCCTTGTGGCCGAGGCCATAGTCGCCGTTGCTTGCGTTCTGCATTCCGGTCATGGCAGTGGGAGCGATGGAGGGAGCCATCAGAGGATGGGCGGCACCGAGAGTAGTGTGGCTCATATTCCTCTGATGGTGGACTAGCTGGTCGCGACTCCCGTTGGAGGAGGCGTCAGCGAAGGGTTGCGGCGGGAAGAAGCCGCTCCCGGTGGCGGAATAGCCGGAGCCAAAACCACCTGGGGGAAGCATGTGGGGCATACTCCCGAGCCTCTCAACATCGGAAGGTTTCAAATCGAGCATGCTCTCGGCTTCCCACCAGGCGTTCTCCCTCATCCACACACGCTCGCGCCCGACCACTACCTCGCCATTGGTCCAGCCGCGTTCGAGGATCCAACTCTCGATGCCGTCGCGACCATCCATGCATCCCAGCGAGCGGTAGCGCTGCACGAACTCGTCAAAGTCAAAGTCCGCGGTGAAATCTAGGTGCCTGTTCCGCCGGTTTGACCACTCTGCCAATCTCCATGCGCGGAGTTGACGCGAGACGGTCCCGGCAGACCAGGCTGAGGTGACCGAAGGGAGTGCCGCCAAGCTGGCGGGCGACTCGTCAGTCGGGTGGATACAGAGGTGATACCACGCCCGGCTGCTGCTCAGAACGTTCGCGAGGTCGATACGGCCGCCTCGCCCGAGGTCCGGCAATAGGAGCTTCTTGAGGAACCCATCATCGTCGGAAGAATGAGCCACTTTCTCCAGGACCTCTTCGCGTTTGTCGAGAACATGCTGCCTTTCCCTTCCCAGTGTCCCTATCATCAAGCCCAGGTCAGGCCCGCACTCGGCCACGGCGTTCTGCATTTCCCGTAAAACAGAGCTGTTCGCAGCAACGACCTCGACGCCATCCTGCTTCATCTCGGCGTTGATCCCTTGGCTGTCGTCAAAAACACCTCTCATAGCCACGGCCTTGCCCAAATTCGGGTCGGGAATTTCGAGCAGGGTCAGGCAGACGGTATCGCCGGGGTCTTGAGGAGCGGCTGGTGACCGATCTCCTTGGCTTCCGTCCACAGATTCTTCCCCATTTCTGATTCGGCCCATTTGGGCCGCAATTGCTTCATTTGCCTTCATGATTACCCAATTTACCAATGCCTCATACAGACCTTCGATGAGGGTGGCACGGTCCTCGGTGGTGCACTGTCTGGCGAGGATCTCAGGCTCGATTCCTAATAAACCGCCAACATCTTCACAGATCTCCTCCAGCACTTCTTCGTCAACATTATAATCGACGGTGTTGCCCAACTTCAAGAGACCAGTAAGTGTTGAGATGAGACTGCGGTGGGCAGATCCTTTGATCCCGATGCTCTTCAGGGCGGAGCGGAAATCGTCGGCAGCGGCACCGTCGTCAGCTGTGGGCAGATAAGAGGGAGGGTCGTAGGTGCCGGAGCGGGCGAGAAGGCTGTAGCTCGAGGCACCCTTGAGCCCAAGAAACTCTCGTTCGGCAGGAGTTGAGGCCGAGGTGAGCAGGTAGTAGAAAGCATCGAAGGCCCTGTAACCCGGTTGTGCGGGAATACGCAGCAGGCCCTTTTCTGTATCGATTCCGCCCTGCGACAGCGCAATTGACGCCGCAGCCAGGTTGCCCGCGAGGTTGAGGGTAAGCGTCACAGCGAGGGCAGTTTGCCTGGGGGTTGAGGGATTGTACGGAGTCACACATCGGATGAAAGGCTCGATGGCCTCGAGCGACTGAAGCAGCGTATCAGGGATCGAGATTGGGAGAGAGGAGAGAAATGGCCTTAGAAGCGAGGGTGTCGACGTGTGAAGTGAGCTAGCAGTGGTCAGCAAACATACCGCCCGACGCCCAGCTCGTGGTCGATGTGCGCAACTTACCCAAGAATAATGCAGCCGTCCTCGGCACGACGACGAGCATGTTCCCATGCCCTTGCTGCCAAGGCAGCATCTACAGTAGGCCCTACGCGCCCGTCCGGGCCGGCTTGGGACGCCGTAAGCCATGTGTTGACCACGAGACTTGTTCCAGGATCAAGCTGGTATGGTTGTGAAGACAGGTAGATGTTGTGGATGGCGTTCAGCAGCGTCGTCGTCGAGACCTGGGAGGAGGGTTGGCCCCTAGGACCACCTAGCCCCGAATCTGAGGCCATCGAATAGATTGACATGCGGTTTGCCATGTTGTCGAGGCGGGAGTTGCAGCGTCCCAAGAGGGACGCGGCAGCAGCAGGGCTTTAGCTGTTCGACCGGCCAACACCGTGCTGTGTCTTCCAGTCAACACCAACTCTCAGCTGTTTCAATGCCCGAGCAGTTTGAAATGATCGACACAACAAAAACGCTGCAGGTCGGCCGGAAAACGTGCAGAGAGAGGGGCGTGAGAGCGAGCGTTGTTCGGACAAATCGGTGTGGGCTTGCTCCCAAGATGCAGCTCGTCGCGGCGGCAACGGGGGGAATAGAGACACGGCGCCCGCTTCCCCTTACTGTGCCCCTTTCCGAAAATTAGGAATTGCGACAGTGACGAAGGGATGATGTGGAAGCAACGACTGCAGCAAACCGCCAAAACGAGTGAAGACGGTGTGCGAAACTGGCAGGAACGGATTCACAAGGAACAGAATAACATAAACTAAGCAACGAACCCGACAGCCAGCAAACGAGTGTTGCGAACCCAACTGTGGAAGCAGTACTGGGCGTGTGTGGGCGCCGGGCGTGGGTGTCTGGGGTGTCTCAGAAAAAAAGATGTTCGGACTCGTCCGATTTCTTGGGCTACGGAGGACTGCAGGCATCCTGTGCGCAGTTCCCAGCATCAAACCGGGCTGACAGGGGTAGAAATCGATCGATGGATGCCCAGAGCATCCATCTGGAAACCTGGAAAACTTGCACCTACAACTTGCAACTACTCTAGACATTGCATACCATCATATCCAAATATGCCACTATCCATCAAGTTTCCATTTCCCCCAAGAAGTTGTCTGTCCGGATCGCATCGCGATGCAAGTGTTTTGAATCGCTCTCGTTTTAACTTTGTGCCATCCAGCAAGACAGAAAGCCATCACTTCTTCTGAAGATTCTTAACCATCAGATTACGGAGGTACATAGGCCGGATTCGGATTGGATCGGTCTTTAAAAGAAGGCAGTGCACCGATGCAGGACTGAATGTCTCTCGGCTGCTTCGTGGTTGATCAAATACGAGGCCTGAATAACATGAGATGGCACCTGTAGCGTACATGTACATACAAGTACGTGTATGAACACCGTACATTAGAGGTTAGGTAGGCCTAGGTAGGTACCCGTATCCTAGGGGTTCGAGTACGGATCTTATGTTTCTCTGGGGAGAGGGCACTTATGGATTGTAGTGTTTAACTGGCTCGAGACTGGTTATTCAGATCTCGAGGCCGGAGTTTTGCATTCCTTGCGCCACGCACCAATGCCAGGTCGGGTTTGGAAGAGATTGCTTTTTTTAGCACTTCCGGTTCTTTCGATGACCCCGCTACTGCCTGAGATACCTGTTAAAGCCATGTTTGCATGTGGACGAGCGTCTCAATTGCCGTGTGAGCATGGAAAGTTTTGGAATGCTGGCAGAAATGCCCAGTTGCCCGAACTTGACAACTATTCCCGCATGGATAACATACATAGATTACAATGCTGCCAAAGTCACCCAAAACGAGACATGGAAGCATGGAAGAGAGAACAACCGAACATAATAAAACTGCGTAGTGCTGTGTCCGATCTCCAATTCCCCACAGCTTCCGCTGCGAAGCCCGGTGCAGGCCTCGGGCGCTAATTGTTTAAGAACCCGGCAGGGCCGGCACAGGTGTGTTAGGTAAGATGAATTCGAGTTCACATTTCGTCTTTCCCGAGAGACATCGGGACATCGAATGAGTCCAAGCATCAATACCTGCAGAATCTGCTGCTGTGCTTCCAGGGCAAGAATTTCCATGCGACTTAGGCCGCTCGTGTCCTCTCGTTGCCACCGTTCGATCCACCATAAGCCGGCCCCCAGACGCAATCAGGCAATCCATTCGCTGTCTCGCCTCTGCGGTGGAGAGCTGGAACCGCCTTCGGGCTCGTAATGCCCCAGTGGTGTGGGCACGACATGGACAACCTGGAAATGAATAAAGTTTTAACAACCTGAGCATCGCGGCTGTCGACTCGTCGACTTAAGACAGCACTGGACTCCATCGGGTATGCACTTATCGGGGCGCTCAAACGTGCATGACAGAATGGCCTAAAACAACGCAACTTACAGGACGCTCTGTGGTTAGTGTATGTACAGTACAAATACACATGAGGATAACATTTGACATAACAGCATTTCGTTAGGTTCAAGGTATGGCCTCATGATGGGTGTTCTCTTGGAAGCGGCCCGCTAGTGTACAGATGCACTAGGTACAGTACCGCACCAGGAGCAAGGTGGATCCCTGGGAACTGTCATCCAAAGTTCTGGAAGCAGCTAATTACTTCGTACCTTACCTGACACTGCACTAATTCAGCAATCATGACACCGATGAGAAAGCATAGACGAATGCAGAAGACTCACAGCAAAGCGGCCTCTGAGCAAGTTCCATGAACCGCATTCGTTGCGTTCCAGATCTTGTTTGTTTTGAACCGCAGCCTGCAACCGCGATCCAGAGCTTGGCAAAGGTCCCGCATCTTGCCAATCAGGTGGATCCCTGCTGAAGGGGCCCAAGGGGGTGCCTCGTATGAAAACTGCGCAGCGTGCTTGTAGCATCCACCGTAGGACCGTCCAAGCAGAAACTGGAAGCCCCTTTCCATCTGCCCAGCCCCGGGAGACCATGCAGTCAATCACTGCCGCTGAACAGTGCAATTGTCCGGGCGACTCATTGCCCGCCGAGCATTTTGCTTTCTGAGTGCCTTCCTCCCCAACACTCGTTTGGACGCCCGCTTTCGCACATGACGTTCGTTTTACTTTTCTTTCGCTCTTGACCTGGCCCTGCCTTTGCATTCTAGAGTGTATTGTTTGACTGCGGTGATACGGCTGCGAAAGCCCGTCCCCTTGTCCTTGTCGTTGTCGCCGCCACAGTGGTCTGAAGCCAGCCAGTCGGTCTAACTGGGTAAGCCTGGCGGTAGTGGTGACTTTTTGGGTGGAAAAGTCTGCGGGTTGCCCATTGACACGAACACGGTCAACAACAAAAACGCCAGAGGGAACCGCACTCGAAATCGTGTCCGACGGTTGCCCGCGCTGCTGAACGCACCCAACGCCCTCGGGACGTTGAGCACGGCCAGCTCCTGGCAGCGCCTCTAAAATTATGGCTCTCAATCTCCCACCGTCTGGCAGCGGGAATCATGGGGGGTCACATACTCAAGCTTCGCTGCCTTCGCTGCCCGCCCATCTCCAGTCCGACACGCACCTGACAGCACACCTGGCCAGTCGCTTCCATGTCTCGATCCCTACTGCCCGTCTGTCTTCGCATGCTCTCATTTGCATAAACACGTACACAAGCTCGACCAAGGGCGATGGCTCCAAGGACTCCTGCGCCATGTCCGCGGCCGAGGACATGGCAGAGAGAGCTATGATCCGGCTGGGGCATCGGTCTGAGAACCAAGCAATTCTTTTTCTGTATGGACAATTCCTAAGCTGCCCGTGCTTCGGCGTCTAGCCGCTTTGCCGCCGTTGCCCGCTAACAGGTTTCTAGTGGTGAATCCGGCTCGGGAAAAACGACGGTTCGGTCCCATCTGCTAACGTCGCTCCTCAACCGCTCGTCTACACCGCTCTCGGCCAAGGTTTCTCTTGCCGCCTATGTTTTCGACACGCTCACCACCACCAAGACGGCCACGACACCAACAGCCTCCAAGGCTGGTCTGTTTTATGAATTACAGTACGATACGTCGTCCACAACGAATCCCATTCTCATTGGAGCCAAGCTGCTGGATCATCGGTTGGAGAGGAGCAGGATAACGGACGTGCCGACGGGTGAGCGCAATTTCCACGTGCTGTACTACCTCCTAGCGGGTACCAGTGCTGCCGAAAAGGCGCACCTTGGCTTCGACGCCCCTGGAACCTCGGACAAGAGGAGATGGAAGTACCTAGGACATCCGACCCAGCTAAAAGTGGGCATCAACGATGCCGAGGGCTTTCAGCTGTTCAAGACGGCTCTGAGGAAGCTCGAGTTCCCCCGGAGCGAAATCGCCGAGATCTGCCAGATTTTGGCAAGCATCCTGCACATTGGCCAGCTGGAATTCGAGACCTCTTCTACCACCGCCATAACAGGGGATGACAGTGGCGGCTTCTCGCACGAAGGCGGCCAGACCACAACCACGGTTAAGAATAAGGATGTGCTCGGCATAATCGCTGCTTTCCTGGGAGTCGGCGCCCAAGAACTCCAAACAACGCTAGGCTACAAGACCAAAATGATACACAAGGAGAGGGTGACAGTCCTTCTGGATCCCGCCGGTGCTCGAGGTAACGCAAACGAACTCGCACGCACACTCTACTCACTCCTTGTTGCCTATGTCATCGAGAGCATTAATCAAAAGCTTTGCGCTGCTGAGGAGTCGATCGCAAACACCATCTCCATCGTCGACTTCCCCGGCTTCCAACAGCAGTCTTCAACCAACTCGACTCTCGACCAGCTCCTGAACAATGCCGCTACCGAATCGCTGTACAACCTGACGCTGCAGAATTTCTTCGACCGCAAGGCCGACATTCTCGAGACCGAAGAGGTTTCTGTAGCCCCGACCAGCTACTTTGACAACTCAGACGCGGTCAAGGGGCTGCTGAAGCCTGGAAATGGTTTGCTTAGCATCTTGGATGACCAGACGCGCCGTCACCGCACCGATATGCAAATGCTGGAAAGCTTACGGAAACGGTTTGAGGGCAAGAATCCCGCCATCCAGGTCGGCGCGGCAACGGCCAAGCTGCCTGGGAGCAACTTCTACACCGAAAACACGGCCGCTTCTTTCACTGTCAAGCACTTTGCCGGTGAAGTGGAATACCCGGTGAAGGGTCTGGTGGAGGAGAACGGCGAGGTCATTTCGGGCGATCTCATGAACCTGATCAACTCTAGCAAGAGCGCCTTCGTCTCCCGCCTCTTCGGTCAAGAGGTGCTGCAGACGGTGGTGCACCCGCAGGAGCGCACAACTGTCATGCAAGCCTCGGTCAGCTCAAGGCCGATGCGCGCCCCCAGCATCATGTCACGGCGCGGACGGCCGGGAACGGCGCGCAACCCCCGGGCGCGTGCGGCTGAGAGAGACATGTCGGTTGATCAGCGGAGTGACACCGGCGAAGGCGGCCGCTCAGCTGCTGGGCACACCGCGGAACAGGGAGCCTCGGGCCAGTTCCTTTCGGCGCTCGAAAACGTCACACGGTCCGTTACGGCGCCGGGCACCAACTGCTATTTTGTCTTTTGTCTCAAGCCCAATGACCGACGCATCGCCAACCAGTTCGACAGCAAGTGCGTGCGCACGCAGGTGCAGACCTTTGGCATTGCCGAGATCAGCCAGCGGCTACGCGCGGCAGACTTTAGTTTATTCTTGCCCTTTGGTGAATTCCTAGGCCTTGCAGACGCCGAGACGGTGCTCGTCGGGAGCGAGCGCGAAAAGGTGGAGATGGTGCTTGAGGAGAAGCGATGGCCGAACAACGAGGTGGCGGTCGGCGCAACAGGTGTTTTCTTAAGCGAGCGGTGCTGGTTGGAGCTCATGCAACTGGGCGAGAGCTACTCGCAGTCAGGCCGGTACGGGCCATCGGATCCCGGGGACGGCAGGACTACACCTGCCAACCCGTTCGAGGTATCAAAGGAGCGCCTGCTCCTCTCGGCGGGCGCCACGCCGGGCAGCTTCGGAAACGAGAAGAAGGCGGGCTACTTTGGCAGCAACGACGTGGACGCTCGATCCGAGGCCGGTGTCTCGGCTTTCGGAGGCGGTGACATGTTCAAGAACTTGGACACACGCGAGCAGATGGCTGACCGCGGCAACGAGAAGGACATGGTGGAGGTAGAAGAGTACAAGGACAGCCCCAGCCGCAAACGCTGGGTCTTCGTGGTGTACTTGCTCACTTTCTTCATACCCGACTTTGCCATCCGGGTACTTGGTCGCATGCCACGAAAGGACGTGAGAATGGCCTGGCGCGAGAAGTTGGCCATCAACATGATCATCTGGTTCAGCTGTCTGCTGGCCGCCTTCTTCATCGTCGTCTTCCCAATGCTGATCTGCCCGCGCCAGTATGTCTACAGCCCCGAAGAGCTCTCCTATTATGACGGAAAGGATGGACGGCCCGCATTTGCCTCGATCCGTGGTCAGATCTTCGACATTGGCGCCTTCGCACCCCGCCATTACCCTCCTTACCTGCAGACAAAGTTGATCACGCAGTACGGCGGCATGGACATTAGTTCCCTTTTCCCTGTCCAGGTATCGGCCCTCTGCCAGGGCGACGGGGACTCGATTGACGAATCCGTGCTGCTCGACTACAAGGACTCTAACATCACGGGCTCCGCAGCCGTTATCAGCAGCCAAGATCTCAACGCTAAATACCACGACTTCCGCTGGTTCACCGGCGATTACCGGCCGGATTGGTTCTCACAGAGGTTCAAGATGCTGCGATCCAACTACAAAGTCGGCAACGTCGGGTACTCGGCTGAGTACGTACGCACGCTCAGCCAGAAGCAGCAAGTCATTGCCATCCTAAACAATCGCGTGTACGATTTGACCAAGTATATCTATGGCGGGCGGAAACAACGGGTCCCGCCGGGGTACCCGGCGCCAACCGATGCGACGGCGACCAACTTCATGAACCAGCTCGTGGTAGATTTGTTCCAGCAGAGGTCTGGCGATGACATCACTGCGCTCTGGCAGGCACTGGGTATCAGCAAGGAGTCAAAACAGAAGATGCAGCTCTGCCTTGACAATCTGTTCTACGTCGCCGACGTGGATACACGCAATTCGGCGCAGTGCAAGTTCGCCGAGTATTTGGTTCTGGCTGTGTCGGTCCTCCTTGCCACCGTCATTGGCTTCAAGTTCTTCGCGGCGCTCCAGTTTGGTACTAAGAATATGCCGGAAAACCTCGACAAGTTTGTCATGTGCCAGATTCCGGCCTACACCGAAGACGAGGACTCGCTGCGGCGTGCTATCGATTCGGCGGCACGCATGCGCTACGATGACAAGCGCAAGCTGCTGGTCATTGTCTGCGACGGCATGATTATCGGTCAGGGCAACGATCGGCCCACGCCGCGCATCGTGCTGGACATTCTAGGCGTGTCTGAGGCGGTCGATCCAGAGCCCCTGAGCTTCGAGTCTCTGGGCGAGGGTCTCAAACAACACAACATGGGCAAGGTGTATTCTGGTCTGTACGAGGTGCAGGGCCATATTGTGCCTTTCCTCGTCATCGTCAAAGTCGGCAAGCCGTCCGAGGTGTCTCGCCCCGGCAACCGTGGCAAGCGTGATTCGCAGATGATCTTGATGCGGTTCCTCAACCGCGTGCATTATAACCTGCCCATGAGCCCCCTCGAACTTGAAATGTACCATCAGATCCGCAACGTCATTGGTGTCAACCCGACCTTTTACGAGTACATGCTGCAGATCGATGCGGACACGGTCGTCGCCCCAGATTCGGCCACGCGCATGGTGTCGGCCTTCTTGGACGATACACGCCTCATCGCCGTGTGCGGCGAGACGGCCCTGACCAACGCCAAGTCGTCCTTCATCACCATGATTCAGGTATACGAGTACTACATCTCGCACAACCTGTCCAAGGCGTTCGAGTCGCTGTTCGGTTCCGTAACGTGCTTGCCCGGTTGTTTCTCAATGTACCGCATCCGCGCCGCAGAGACAGGCAAGCCTTTGTTCGTCAGCCGTGAGGTGGTTGAGGCTTACTCGACCATCCGGGTCGACACGCTGCACATGAAGAACCTGCTGCACCTGGGTGAGGACCGCTTCCTCACGACGCTGCTGCTTAAGTACCACTCCAAGTACAAGACCAAATACATCATGAGGGCGCACGCGTGGACCATTGCCCCCGACTCGTGGAAGGTGTTCCTCTCGCAGCGCCGCCGCTGGATTAACTCGACCGTGCACAACCTGATGGAGCTCATCCCCATGAACCAGCTGTGCGGGTTCTGCTGCTTCAGCATGCGCTTCATCGTCTTGATCGACCTGCTCTCAACCGTCGTCCAGCCCGTCACCATCGCCTATATAGTGTATCTCATCGTCATGGTGGCGCAGCGGTCGACAGTGGTGCCCATCACTGCCTTTGTGCTCCTCGCCGCCATCTACGGCCTGCAGGCCATCATCTTCATCTTGCGTCGCAAGTGGGAAATGATTGGCTGGATGATCCTGTACGTGATCGCCATCCCCGTCTTCAGCTTCGGCCTGCCGTTGTATGCATTTTGGCACATGGACGACTTCAACTGGGGCAACACGCGTGTGGTCGCTGGCGAGAAGGGCAAGAAGATTGTCATTTCGGACGAGGGCAAGTTTGACCCGGCGAGCATCCCGCGCAAAAAGTGGGAGGACTACCAGGCCGAGCTGTGGGAGGCGCAGACGATGCGCGACGATGCTCGGTCGGAGGTCTCGGGCTACTCGTACGCCACTCGGCCCAACGTTGCCATGTCGGAATACGGCGGCTACACGCCCAGCCGGCCGGGCTCCATCGCCGGCGGCTACGTGCCTCCCATGCCCGCCGCGGCGCCCAGCAGGCTGTCGCTGGCTCCGTCCGAGATGCTGGGAGGGGCGGGCAACCGGGTTAGCCAATTTGGTGGCTCCCAGTTCCTGGGCCAGAGCGGGTCCCAGCAGGAGCTCGAGATGTCCAACCTCAACGTGCCCAGCGACGACGCGCTGCTGGCGGAGATTAGGGAGATTCTGAGGACGGCGGATCTGATGACCGTCACCAAGAAGGGAGTCAAGCAAGAGCTTGAGAGGAGGTTTGGCGTGCCTCTTGATTCGAAGAGGGCGTATATCAATAATGGTAAGCCTTACTCCTTTCTCTTTGATAATGGTGATTGTGATGCTGACGTATCCGGTAATAGCCACCACAGCGATTTTGTCGGGGCAGTTGTAGACTGCATTTCTTGTTTATTTTGTCGTCTCTCGGGTTTTGGATGGCACGTCTTTACTTTTTCTCTCTGTTATCCCAGCGCAATGGACTAAACAGTAACCGGAGTGGATGAATTGAAAAACTAATTTAATGCTTTTGCATGGTCTATCCTATCCTCGCTGAGATGAAAGAGGCAAGTTTCTTTCGTTCATGGGATCTCTCGTCGTCTGCCGTGAAAAGAAAATGGTTTCTGGTCTCTGGTCTTCCTGTGATTTCTGTGTCCACCTGTCAATCTCATACATCCTGTTTTCCTGTGTCGTCGTCGTGGCTTGCATGTTGGAAGAAAGGGGCATCTATTCATCCACCTACCTATGTATGTACATTCTCTCTTGGTATGGATAGCTTGACTTGCTGTAGATAATGCATGGTAATGAGAAGAAGCTATTGTGCTGTACTTGAGAAGGTGGAAAGTACCTACTTGAATGTGGCAGATGTTGAGATTTGTTTAGGTAGCAGTCCGGTTGAAGCTCTCGTTTCTTTATGGCGGAAGGTGGACGGCTTCTTCCTTAGCCAGCTTACAGTAGTTGTCCGTTAGTGGGCAGGACAGGACTTATGATGGTTGAAACTTGTGGTCCAGACGATGCAGTTTCTCTCGAAGGTAGAGTTCCATCTACTCGAGACTGCCATGATTCCCTTGCAAGCGGCATTGTGCAGTTAATTCCGAGGTTTACTTAATTGACTGCCTCCCACCGGTAACTATGCCTCTGGAGAACGAGAAGGGGGAAAGCAAAAAAAGGGTACAAACACAGAACGGGGGGAGAAAGGGCAAAAAGAGCAAAAGAAAATCGCTGACAAGAGTGGGATTCGAACCCACGCCCTTTCGGACCACGGAATCCTGAGGATTGAATCAAGGTTTGAATACCTTAACGTGGCGCCTTGGACCGCTCGGCCATCTTGCCATTTGATTTGATGAAATTCGAATGGCAAATGCGCCTTGATGTGGGCAAACAAAGGACTACCGGAGAGTCGGGCAGATCGCCCCCCTTTTGAGCGAAAACACATGATATTCGCACCCTCTCAGTTAGTTTAAAACATGGGCCAGATATATCATGACATTCAACGACAATCTGAAACGCTAGTTCTGCTACAATGAACGGAGGAATTACATATCCGGTACTTCGTAGTGTCCATTTATTTATGCCTTCACCCCCGGCACAGCAGCCACCTCCTCATCCAGCGGCAAGATGTCGGGCAAGGGTCCCACGGGGGTTATGGAGTGTGGGTTGATCTGGGTGTGGGACTTGGTGTAGTGCCTCTTGATGTGGAGGAAGTTTGTCGTGTCGCGGAAGGCCGCGATGTTCCAGTAGAGATGGCGCATCCACTTGTGCAGCGCCGGGTAGCCGGAGCGGATGTCGCGGATGTTGCACTTGAAATGCTGCACATAGACGGGCTGTCGCTGCTGTTAGAAAACCTAACCGCTAATAACAACTTGAAATGGGGATTGCCATATGAGGACATGGCTAGGCAATGGGCACTTACATCGAACCGTATAATGGTAACGAAGCTGTTGATAGAGGTCAGTAAACAGACCCAATCAATGGAAGATGATGATGTGATTCTTACAGCCGAATGTCAACCTCGGTGAGCTGATCACCAAACCAGTACGGCCCTTCGCTCGCCTTCTCGGCCAGGTGTGCCTCGGCCCTGTCCAGCGCCTCAAACAGCGCAACAACGTTTCGCTCGTACGCCTCCTGCGTGGTGGCAAACCCGGACTTGTACACGCCGTTGTTGATCTTGTCGTAGTGCCACTCGTGCGCCTCGTCAATCTCCTTCCGGAGATGCGCCGGGTAGAGGTCAACCTTGCGGTACTTGTCCTCGATCAGGTCGTCGAACTGGCTTGCCTGTTAGCAATCTCGCTCACTCAACTCACAACAGACCAGAGGCAGCGGATGTGAGTAAGTAAGCAGCCAGGACAGGAAAACACCAATGCCCACCTCGGTCCCAAACATGCGCAGAATCTCGCTGCTCTCGTTGTTCACAATCGTGTCCGTCTTCTTGTCGTACAGCACGGGCACGGTGAAGCGGCCCTCGTACTGCGGGTTCACGCGGAAGTAGATGTCCCGCAGGTGCGTGACCCCCTCGTGGCCGGGAACCGGATCCGGGATGACATTCTCGCCAGCCGCGTCCGTGTCATCAGCGGTAGGGAAGCGCCAGCCTAGGGGAGTTGGTTAAATTAGAACCATGCAACTGCCTCTCTGCCAGGACGGGTCACCTTTTGAGCCCATGTGCCAGTGCACGACCGAGAATGAAATAATATCCTCAAGGCCCTTGAGCTTGCGCGCAATGAGGGTGCGGTTGGCCTATGTTTTCTTCTCAGCACCCCGTGAACACCAGTTCCCTTTTGCAATAGGGGGCAGATGAATGACTTAGTACTTACCCATGGACAAGCATAGCTCACATACAGGTGGTACCTGCCCTTCTCGGGTGGGAACTGGGCACCCGGCTCACGGGATATCCAGTTGCGGAACGAGCTCTGTTGGCGTTTGAACTCGCCCGATGTGTCCCCCGGCTTGACCCAGTCCGTGATCTTGTTGCTCTCGCTGGTTGAGGCGCCGCCAGGGGTGTCCTTGGCAGCCTGGAATTGGCGATATCAGTGATGCTGACCTTGGCAAAAAAAGGGGGCGGGCAATAAGTGGCTCTGCAACCGTCCGAATTGCAGCACAAGATACCGCACGACGATTGAATCGTAACGACGTCACAGACGTACCATGGTAGCGAGATACTGGAATCGAGTATTTCCCAGGAGCGGGCTTTTTGTTGCTGGCACGGTTCGTCCTAATCTGCCGTGTGCCCAAATTGAGAAGTTTTGGCCCTTGAAGTAAAGTTGTGCGAAGCTGGTTGATGTCTGGTAGGTCTGGTTTCGAGCTAGTAACCTGACTGAGACGCCCTCAAGTTGTGGGAGAGCCCATCTTTTAAGCTTCATGAGCGGGGTTGACGGTACTCCTAGGGGAGCCTTTTCTGTCTAAGCAATTGAAGGGCGTTCCCTTTGCTTAGTTATATTTACTAAAGAGTACTCTTGATGATTATTCCGTCTTTCAAGCCTCGTATTCTCCCGGTTCTGAAATGTATTACAATTTGCCCCTCGTGGGTTTATCCCCTAGCGGGCAACTACAGGACCAGGGTCATGATCAATGAATTCACGTATCACGTTCTACAGGATAATAAGGAACAACCTCCATACCTTCCCTACGTTTCATTCGCTTGGCACTGATGCTTAAGGCAGCTTCCATGAGGCGATTATCCACAACTGTATGGCATGTATTGACGACTCCTAAGCTTGAGATGTGGACATAGAAAGATGACGGGACAAGAAATACAAAAGACGTCAACTTATAAATCGTGACGTAATCCTTAGCGGCGGCAACTCCATGAGTAAGCGCTCATTTTGAATGATTTGTGTTCCAGACTTCCAGTCGGCATGCTGGGGAGGTGGAAGTGGATGTCGTTCACAGAATCGCCCAATGGGTGATGTTCAGCTTATAAATCCTTAGAATGCGGTCGGTGCAGTTTCAACTTTCAAGCAATGGAACAAATCCGCTTTCTATCAGGAGTGGCCCTGGCCATCTGTGAATCGGAGACTGGCGAAATACGGTATGCCGCCAGTTGATGCCGTAGCCCAGCGGAATATTCACCTATAGATCAGGGCAGTCTTGGGCAGTTATAGGGGATCAATCACCGCAGGACAAGCGACAAGACAAAATACCTTAGTCTAGTCAATAGCAGAGTATCTAATCGTCCTAGAAACGAGAGTTCAACATGGGCATTGAAACGCGGCCGTTCTTAATGACATACCATACCCCCGAGTCTCGTAACATGATTGCTACGTAATTCCGTCCCAGAGCCCAGAATGGAATTGAATGTCTATCTCACATGTTTGCCTGTGTGCCACTCAAATCATGTCCCACCATCGCCCAACCTAAAACCGGGCATGCAGTTTTGACCATTTACCTGATCTTGGCCTTGATGTACGGCACCTCGACGTCCTCCCCGTTCGCGTCTTCCGTAACCACCTCAAATATCAGCTCCTTTTGATGCGCCGGGATCGGCTTCTTGGTCACCGATTCAACCAGCTCGCTCAGCTTCTTGCCGTACTTGTCCTTTCGCTTAGCCGGCGGGAAGAAGGCCGCATACAACAGGCTGACCCCAGAGCTCAGCATCGAAATCGAGAGGCCGCGCTTCTCAAAATCGTCAAGCAGCTCCTGCAGGGTAATATCGTCCACCTCAAACCTGTCCCAGATCTTGTCCAGCGTCACCTTGCCGTTGGGGCCCTGATACTCGACCTTGGGGCTCGCAATCGGCTCGCTGAAGCCAAAGAACGGAAGCGCCAGGTTGACAAACCCGTTCTTGTACTGCTCAATGTCTTGCTTGCCGTCGATGATCTTGTACAGCTCCAACACGACCAACCCCGTAACCAGGGCCGTGGTCGTGGCAATCGCAGGGATAATCTTGCCGGCAATGAACTTGGTCCTATGCCGGTCCGCCGGCTCGATTTTGTAATTCTCGGCGCGTAGATTGCTGGCAGCTGTGATGAAGTCAATATGGAAATTGGTATCGTCGTCCTTCTCGAACTCGACCGGCGTGAGCTTGAAGCCAGCCAGCGACTTGGGATCTGGCAGTTCGTTGACGAGGTTCTGCAATTCCGTCTCGTCGTCAAAAGCGCTCCCACCAGCATTCGGATCCTAGATTGTATCAGCTACCTGGCTTCTCCCGATTAGGCGTTCAGCAAACACTTACAGGCTCTTTATCATCTGCCTGAATCTTGACATTGGCGTCTGGTGAGAAATCCGGAATGATCATGGCATCCAGCGCTCGGATATAGTCCTGCTTGGTCTTGCCCTTGAGATTGATGTTGTAGTTAAAAGCATGCAGGTTCGTCGCCGCCTCAATGAAGGCAAAGTGCGTGGGGTTGTCGACGTCGAACTTGAGCGGATCAGGGGCTCTCTTCGGTCCCGACCAGAAAGGCGTCCCGGAGGACGACACGGCATCCTTGGGGAAGTTGTAAAGCAGTTGCTGGATGGCATTGTTGTATTGCTTCTCAAACAGCATGCGGGCCCATTGGACGCAGTCCTCGAAGCTGAGCGCACGCTCGTTCTTGAGGTAGTCGACCAGCATCTCAAGCGTCGCCTTCTCGTTGCCGCCCTGCTTCAGCGTTGTCTCCAGATAGTTGGGCTGGGTAAGGTACAGGTTCGCTGTCTCGGCGGGCTTCACGAATGAGCTTTCAAACAACTCACGCGCCCACGCAATTGTGTGCTCGATCTTGTTGGGGAAACTGCGGAGTGTGCACATGGGGAATGATTGCTCTGGCGGATCCTGGGAAGACGAGTATGACTCGGTCAGGCGCGGGAGGACCACCTGTGTGTTGCCCTTTGTTCCGAGAGTACCGCTTTCCAGAAGTGGTTTGTGAAAGAAAACGCATCTTCGGTCGACGTAGGTCCTCGCTTCAATGTTGTCCAGCGCGTTTGTCACTCCATCTAAGCTCTTCCAGAAATCTTCGTTGAAGATGTGCTCTGTCTCCGGGCTGACGCGATCCTTGAGAGTGACAATGTGACCCTCAAGCTCGGGATTCATAGCCTGCGCTGCCTTGGCCGCGCAGTCGCTCTTCATTTGTCCCACGTCCTTTGGCCGGAACAGGAACTGCCTATTGAGGTTGCTCTTCTCGATCTGGTCCATATCAGTCACTGTGATGCGACCCCTAGGACCGGTTCCAAGACCGATCATGGCCCAGTTTTTGAGCATCTCACAGCCAATCGCACCGGCTCCAACGAGGAACTGCTTCATATTTGCAATTTTGTCCTGGAACTCCCGGCCAAAGACCGCAATCTGACCATCATACCGGGATCCGGTAGGCTTGCACAGTTCTTCAGAGCGCGCAGAGCCTGCAGGCAGAGACTCGAGGGAATCAAAGTACATGAATTGCTTGATTGGGTGGAACTTGCCCGACACGGCTTTCAGCACCTCTTGAGCGGTAAGACCGCCAAAGAAGGCGGCCATGGGACTGAGATCGCCCGTCGCCTGGTAGCTAAGCTCCTTCAGGAGTTTCTCGTCAAAGTCGACCTCGATGCCTCCGGCCTTCGCGATTTCCTTGGCAGATTTGACAATCTCAGCCGCATCCTCATCGTTCATTGGCCTAGGAAGTCGACCTCGGCCCTGAGCGAACGCGTGAAGAGCCTGGAAGCCGACGTGGAGTTGCTGCGGGCGGTCGAACTTGGCGAAGTCGGAGATGACAAATTCAGGATCTTTCAAGGCCGTAGAGATACTCTTGAAGTCGACGGACTTGGGCATCTTCACTTGCTGGTACAGGCCCCCGCGCTTGTATTGGCCGAGGCCAGAGACGTCGCCGATCGAGAACGTGTAGGGACCCTTCACTGTAACCTTCCGGGGTTCGCATCCGTTGAGACCTTCCATACCTTCAACTTCCGAGAAGGTAACATAGTCGCCATCCTCGAGCCCATGCCGAGTCTCGTCGAGCGCAGAGACAAGCCCTTCCTCGTCGATGCCAGCCACGATCCCATTCACCGGGTTCTCACCAGTCGCGTCGATAACAGTGAAGTTGCTGCCAAAGTCGCAAAACACGGACCCGAACAGACCGAATGTGTCGGCGGCAATGAAGTAGATGCCCTTTAGGTGGCAATAGTCGCCGATGACAAGTTGAAGGTGTAGCGGCGTGTTTGTCAAGACGACAACCTGGTATTTGTCAAACTGCGATAGGTTCTCGCCGAGATTAGAGGACTTGTGTATGTGAACTGGAGTATAGGCGTTGAGCTCGGCAACCCGGGGAGCAGTGACTTGATCTCGAGGTTTTCCAACATCCTCGCGACGGAGGAAGAACTGAGACGAGAGATCCGCAATGGCGACCGGCGCCGGATCGTGGAGGGTAAGGCTCTTGACACCAGCAAGGGCGATGTTCTTGGCGATTTCGACACCGAGGCCCTTGAGACCAACAATGAGCACGTTTGACGCAATCATGCGCTTCATGGCCTCGTGGCCTAGCACATAGAGCTGGCGGCTATAGAGTGACTCATCGATCTCGGTCGAACCCACGACAGACGGGTCGACCTGCATCCGGGTGACGAGGTCGATCCCGTCGGGTTGCTTCTTGTCCTGCTGTGCGTGTCAGGGATCAAAAAGCTTTCGAGCATCCCGAAGAGACGAGCCAGAGGTGGAAGGCGGCCAGCGATCGCCATGAGGCCTACCCCAAGACGGGCTTTGGAGAGCTTGACATTTGAAGATGGAAACTCACAGTCATGGTTCGTTTGAGGGAAATAGGCAGATCCCCTTCAGAAACCTTGCGCTTCCCCAGCTTGGCTAGTGTTTGTTCGCTCGTAGTTGGTAATGGTTGGTGGTTCGTGTCTCGAGATGGAAAATGTGGAAGTGGTTGTTGGTTGTTTTAGAGGTTGTCTGACGAGGGATGACGGTCCAGGTTCGAAGTTGAGGTCAACCCCGCCACCGAGCGCTGCGGGGATGATTTGGAAGGTTGGTGGGGCCCTGGATAGACGTAATGCTGCCTGTTAGTGAACTTTATAAGGGCTTCAGCTGTAAGTCATGTGATGTACAGTACAATAGTGTAGTGTAAGTCACCGGGAACCATGCAAAGCTAGCAACACCTGCGGTTTGTTTGAGGTGAAAGACGCAACTGTGGCCAGGGCGGTAGCATAAACGGTTAAGATGACATCCTGCCTTGGGCATGATTTCTAAACACCTGATGCTACGAGACTATGAGCCGTAGCTCCGTAGCTTGAGAATTGGGTGTATATGTACCTAGCGGGGCTGGCGGAGCCAATTCTTAGTTAACGGGATTAGTTGCATTAATGGTTAGGGAATGAAAGAGGCACCAAAAGAACCAGGAAAGAAAGTGGGGCATATCTCTATATTGTGTGTGGCGCGGACCTACAGTTGTAGCCTACTAGAGTTCCCAACCTGGGGCAATAGAACCTAGGAAAAACAAGGCACTCTTTGGCGTTCTTCTTAGGATCCTTGAATAAATCGGGCTATACGGCGTTATACGGATAATGTATTTGAAAATGCAACTTGTACGAATACCTAGCATTTGACTTTACGGAGTAAGGTACTGTACGCCCCAAAATATTACGCTTACAGCATTTCACCCGTGTACTGTAAGTACAGTACATACATACGTGTATGGTAAGCAACATGACAGTGCTTGTAAGACATAGTACCTTAGTTGAAGTACTGTACATACAGTACATATCACCTAGGGGCTAGGAACAGGCCATGGCCTGAAGTTTTATTCTCACTTCGTTGAATATCTCCATCCATTGAAAGAGCCAGAAAGCATCCAAAGACAGTTAATTCCCAAAAGAAGCCCCTCTCGCGGAACTTGTCTGTGAAAGAGCATACAGGAAATTGGGTGAACCTGCACCTAGGCTGCGGTTCTTCAGTTCGACTTCGTTATTCGGGTTGTTCCAACGCTCCATAGTCGTCAGTTGATGTGCCTGCGTCGCCCGAACATCCAGCGTATTTGTCCGATTTGCCCACGGCGTCCCCCGATCCAGCCGTGGAACTAGCCCTCTCCGCCGCAAGCCTCTTCGCCGTAAGCATCGCCGCCTCTTCCCTAAGCTCCTGTAGCGTCTCGCGCGCAAGGCCCCTATCAGTCAAAGGTCCACAGAAGAATGTGGCGTTATTGACTTCAACACCCCGGAACTGTGAATAGCCGGTTTCAGCGCGTCCGATAGACCCAAGGACAGCGCTTGGTGTACCGTCACAGGTGCCCTCGAGTGTGGTGTTTTGATAGGTGGCCGTTAGCGGTTCATCGACCCGTCCAAATTGAACACTTGACGAAGTGCCAAGCATGCCCGTCGACCCTCCCTTGATACTGATACCGCGGTACAAGTTGCGCCGGTTGTTCGCTGCGAATGAAGAGTTTGCGAAGGTTAGTCACCGCTGTATACCCCGTAGTCTCTGTCCATTGCTCACCAGACTGTTTCCTGGACTTATTCTGCGTCGGCATTGCTGGTGTTTGCTCGGCCGTGCAGGGTTGGCGCCGTTCTGCTTTAACCAGTTCGAAAGTCTGGGTCGCTGCTCTCTCAGCGGAAGATTTCTGAGTGTTGAGAAGTAAGGAGTTGATATTCTCTTCAATCTTGCACAACTTGGAGGTGTTCAAGCTGGCTATATGGACAATGAGTTCACTGAGTGTTGACTGCAGTGCGTCGAGATGCTCCAAGACTGTTCGCTGTGCCTGTCCGGTGATGACTGCTAAGGACAACTTCTTTTGGACAGACCGGGACAATGATTCCAATGACGCTTGGGCTGTCGTCACCTTGGGCAGCGACCTTGTTAGATAGGCATTGATCTCTGGCGTCTGAAGAGCACGATTAGCTTTAATGCATTCAGTAAGACTCTTGAAGGTCTCGAGTCGCTGTCTACACAGGCTGAGCATCCCCGCGGCACCTGCGACCCGCTGACGAATAACAACTGCAGTCTCGAGCCCCTTCAGCGTCATATCGAGCACCTGGGCGGCTGATACGACAACGGCAAAGACTTCACACCCAGACATGGTCTGATGTTGGACCTATCCAATGGGGATCACCAATGGATAAAGGGGTACATAAGGTCGGCGGGAAAGAAGAGGGAGAACTTGGAAGGAAAGTAAGGGATATTACTTAGCTGGCAAGACGAGGCAGCGCCAATCTTAAAGCACTCGAAGACAGCGGTTTCGAGGAAGAAGGCTGTAATAGGCAAGGTAACCCGAAGGGACTCCAATCAGCAACAGGCGGGCCTGGCGGGTAAAGTGAATCGAATCAGTAACTGCAGTGGTCGAGACACCCTCCGCGGAAGCATTCGAGCAGCTGGGTGGCAGTTCAAGTTGGAAGCATGGAACGATGGCGAGGACTTCTCATCCAGACATGGCATCAGAATTGAAGATGAGGATACCTGTGAGTAAACAATGATATTGCACAAAGTAGAAGAGGAGAAAGAGAAAGTGCAAGTGAAGAGTTACGTTCGCGCACCCAACCTGTACGACAGATGAAGCCGAGCTATGAGTCACGACACACCTCCTTAGGGAGGGAGTGTCGTTTGTTGGGCATATCTTTAAGAGACGAGCTTTGTTGGGTATAATACCTAGGTGTAGGTGGTCTAAGTCATGCCATCCTGGCCAGAGTTACCATGCTGCTGCTTTGATGCCCAACCCGAGATCTGTCACATCAATTTGTCAACATACTGGTAACGAAGCGCTGCGTTGCCATGCCATTCCACAACTTGGTGACACCGAACGTCATAACTCGCAGAGAAAGGCTCCTCTGCAGGCTCGATCGGGCAAGCCATTTCGCATTGGGCGCTGATTGATTGTCGCCCAAATACCTATTCATGAAATCCCGTCGCCTTCATCTAACTGGCAATGGAGGCAACTAAGTGTAGGTAAAAGCATGTCTGCTGGGCTGTTGTAGCTTAGATTTCAGGGGCGAGGTCCCTCATCAAGGTTCAAGCACGATTTTAGCTCCCGTTATAGTGTTGAGCCTTGCAGTAAGCCCCTCTTAAAGACGACATCGCCACAGCCACAACACAGCCACATATATGTCGCAGCGGACGGAGGGCAGGCGCCGGCAGAGAATCCATGGGCTGTTCAGCCGACCGAACTGGACTGCTGCACCTTATCATCTCAGAAAGGGAACTCTTTGTCATCTTGGCTTCGGTTTATCATTTCGTTACCGTAGCCCCAACATGTCTGAGCTGGAGGCCCATGATATCCCAGTGGAAGTCGCGGACGGACTATCGCGTGTGGAGAAACGTCTGCTCTCGGCAACCTACAAGCCGCTTCTGGATTACAAGATCTGTGTCGATGAAGACGTTATCCACGACGTGGCTCTACTCGTACGGAATTTCGCTCATCCTTTTCAGACGCCTTCAAACCAGGTATTGCACTTTTTGAGCTTCCCATCTTGAGTCCAGTCCTTTTCAAGAAACTGATACAATCATGGCCTTAGCATCTTACAAGCTACGAGGTGCGCGCTACCGTAGTGCACTTCGACGAACCAGCCAAGATACCGATCCCTCCCGAATCCAGAGCGATCATCGTTCCTGTAACTTGGAATGATAGTGCCAGGTTCGCCGGCCAGGCTCTTACCAAGGGAAGTTATCTGGTGATAAACAAGGAAGAGCAAGTTGAACCGGACTTTCACGCTTTGTTATTCCTGTTCCGGCCGAAACCGTGATCCTGGTCCAACCCTGCAGGGGACTCTGCTACCTACAGAGTACAGAGTTCGTCGCGCTCGAGGAGATACAGATGGAGTGGAACATCGAAGTGCTTTTGAAAGATCAGGTAGTCAGGATCATGTCATATGTATGTAGGTATGTACGCCGAAGCAGAATGGCGATCCCGCATCTTCTCCAGTCGATGGTTAGAATGATACCATGCAGATACATGATCAGCATCATGTCAATACTGTAGTGCTCCCCTCGCACCCGCACTAAAAACAAGTTGAAGTGGGTCAAATATCACATCAGGACACAAAATCTCCACCTAATCCTTAGCCTCCTCCTCAATCGCCGGTTCCCCACCTGTTGCTCGGCCGGCGCGGCCCGCGGTGGATCCGTCGGAGGCTGGTGTGATTGGGGTGCGCGGTAGGCATACTGTGTTCCTATCGGGGGCGGGGCAACGGGGAATTGCGGATGGCCTCCGTGCGACAATGATCCCATCGGCACCAACATAGATGGAAACGCTGTTGCCCACACCGGCATTTGTTCTACAGGATCGCGGGCCGGAGCATCGACGGGGATCATCGTTCTGTAAAGTATTTCCGACGGGCTAGTGTGCGTGGGGATGGTGTCGGGCGGATTTCGACTTGGGCCGGCTTGATTGATAGTTATGTTTTGAACCAGAACGTAATTGAACCCTATCTTCGTACGATCTGTAACCTATTCGTTAGCTTTTGATAGGATCAATATCTAGTAGTTCAAACTCTTGACGCCACGCCACCTTGGTAAACCGATAAGGTACAAGTACACACCTTCGCTGGGCCCAATGTGAACGTGCTTGCTGTTGAATAGTCCTATCCCTTCGTAAAGGTATCTTGCCGTATTCCCCCTTGATCCAGATCGCGGCGGTGTTTCAGCTACATAGAGAGTCATTAACTCGACTTAGTTCAACAGAGTCAACGAAAGACATGGATGTCGCGGGTCGCTTACCGCCTGGTGGGAATGATTGCGCTCCATTGGGATCCTCAGGATCTTCCCCAGACCGGCTACCCTGTGCCTGGCTCGCCTGGGCCCCCAGTGGCGTCGCAATTGAGGGTCCAGACATCCAGACCAGTCTCCCTCGACGTTAGCAGCACTGGGGCGTTTTCTCTGGTTTTGCTAGCGTAAGGGTGCTGCGGGCATCCCACCGATGGTTTTCTGAGGCGAGCTCCAAGGACAGCCTAAAACGATCGATACACGACATTCTCGGGTTAGTAAGGTAGGTAAGGTAGGTAGTTGAGACGCCAGAGCCTCGCGCTGCAATTCGGTCCGCTTGGAGTGTCAATTTAGGTAATGGTACGCTAGGTATAGTACCACTCCCCTCATGTATTGAACTTTTGAAGTTTGGTACACTAGCCTCGGAACCATCTCTGGGGTAAGGTAGCCAGTTCGGAAAATTAACTACCTACTTTCTGTTAGATTGACTGTTAGTGAGAATCGCTCAGCTATCAAGCACCGACGTCTTCTGTATATACTTCGCGAGATCTTGCTGAACATTACCCTGTGTAGGGATACCTAGTGTTGAGTTTAGTTTTGGGATGGCTAGGAGGTACTTACCGTTACGGATCACGGGTACAGTACTTGCACGACAAATCGTACAACCTATAATATTGCTAACAATCATGTTTGCTCCTCTGTAGGCTTTGTTACTACGAAGTATATACCGGCATGGCAGTCATAGGCACAGGCACAGGCATGGCTACTGTACTGTACCTTATCAGAGAAACTTGAATGATACGGGGATCAGGCCTCTGTGAAGCAACTCGCTAAGATATCCACAGAAGTACTTACAGGTTTACATTAGCTTACCGACATGTAGGTATATTGTACTTGTACAATAGAATACACCTCGTACCTCATATCCAATATCAATGCAAATCACTTCGGAGAAGCAACCAGTAGGGAGTCAAGCCTCGCAGTAAGTCATACATCAGGTCTGACCTTTACCACAGTGCTTATCAGCTGTTACTCTTTATTTCGAGCGTTACTTATCTAAACACAAGACTGAGGGATACATGGAGCATGAGACTTCTTGGTGGACTACAAGATTCTCTAAACATTAAGGTAATAATGACCTCTCCTATATTGCTTGCTGGCAGCTGCCGCTGAGTGTATGAACTAGAAAATGACTGGCTTACAGGATCTGATCATACCATACCTAGGTCAGAGGTTTGACCTGGCCGGGAAGTTGGAGCTCATTGAGGCTCCTCCGAGTCAGCCAACTTAATGAGGCAAATTACTTATCAAGTTATTATCAGCTATATATCAGATACATGAGTACCTATCTAGAATGGTCGCTTCATTCCATTTAGACTTTGCGTTCAGAATCATCTTGACCTCTCAGGGCTTGAAGACTTCAGAGTAGCAACTCCTATTCGGGAGGTACTTGGGTACTGCTATGTTGGATATTTTCCACAAAAGCTTAGATCATTACCAATCTAGATTTGACTTCCTTAGCATGACCTCAACTCCCCCTGTACCCTTTTGGCGGATTCGCAAGAAACTGGAAGCTCTAAGTCGAGATCCCTACCAAAGGTAGACTACTGAGAACAGTCGCATCCGTCATGAACCTCCATGACAAGGAATTGTGTGATTAACCGTGTCCGGCCTTTCCAGGAAGAAATCCATTATTCAGAGATATATCAGCCGCCACAGGCCTAAATTTGAACAAGTCCCTTCGTCTGGCGGCTGCCGAATCGACTCCCCGGGCCAGACAGCTGTTTCTAGCTGTGTGTCTGATGGCCGTGGGTACCCTTTGAATCACAACCTGACCATGGCCTCGCATAGCTTTAGTGGGTAAGCTATGAGAAGTTTTGCGAGCGCCCAAGGTATTACCACCAACGAGAAGTGTACCGAGCAAATGCTATGTGGCCAGATAAAGAGGAGGCATCTAGGAGTTCGGATGCTTCAAGTTTCATGGACTTTGGCCTGCTTAATCCGGAATACGGAGCACTTCGCCTGCAACCTAAGTAGCTAGCCTGGCAATAGACACTGCCCTCTTTCCTACCCAAGAACAACTGCTCAGTTGTTACAACAGGTTATCTCACGGCCTTGAGATGCACGTCACTGTATCCATCTGTCAGTACCACTTGAAATTGAAACCAAAGCCCTGCTGGTCCGCAAGGATACACGCACAAAATCAGGTCTGCGTTTGGGGGAATATGGCCTCGAAAGCCCCTGAAGCGGTCAGTTTCCCTCTCAGCATCAGCTCGGTGCCTGCATTTCTTACTTTTCACCATAGCCGTAGTCGCTGCCAGGCGTGTGGTCAGCCGGAGCCCAGTGTGAAGAGGCTGCTACTCACCTGGTGATATCTAATGTTGCCTGTTCGCCGACCTTCATGTCCAAGACTGCCACGTCCCAGCCTAACCAACTCGAGTCAGGCGTCATGAGATACCACCAACCGCCTGGGCTCGATAATTTCTGGGCTGGGTACCTCGGATAAGCTTCCCAACCCCGATTTCGACCTCGAAATCCTCTCTCCCAACGGATGTGTCAAACCTGTGGAGGACAACCCTGTTAGCCAAAGCGATCAGCGGCGGGAGTTCTACTGACTCTTGGCCCTTGTTGCCCGGCTTGCTTGTATCCTTGAGCCAGCCGGTGTAGGCAACTGTGACTATCTGTCCTCTGACCGGTTGAGGTCCAGTGCCCTCGACGCGGGTTGTTCTTGTGACGCCCATTGTGCTCGTTACCGTGTTGCGTATCCGTCGGCGGGTGCTTGCCTGTGTTGGGGTGGTGATCGAGACGGTGCTGGTACAGTACCTATCCTGGCATAGATACCTACCTGTTTAACTAACTCGCGGTCCTGGACGGTAGAGCAAGGCCGTAACGCTGAGAGTTATTGTTGGAGGCTATCAAGGTGACGGCGAGGGCCAAGGCAGGATATTCGAGGAAAATTGACAGAAGTCTCAGTATTTGCCTCCTATCCTACTTGAGCAGACCAGAGATGGGCTCACACCGAGCAATTGCAAAGTGACGGAGGAGAGAGCAAGGTGGTGCTGGTCAATGTGCATCAGCACGAGAGGAAACACGGGGTATTTGAAGGACAAGCAGAGCGCTTGACGGCTCCCCTCAACTATCGTGCGTGCTAAAAGTGTTGGACCCTGAATTTTTTCTCATTTGATACGCCGATTCTGCCCTCATATTGGGATGAGCGATTCTTGGGGGTGAAGTGTACCTGTCCGAGTGCCCCTCGAGTCATGCACCCAATGGCACTCATACAAACGAGGATGGAGTTCAAGACCCAAGTAATCCGTGGAGTGGGTGGGGAGGCAGCTGGGTGTCAGCCAGCCCAACCCAGATCAAATGTCTGCCGGGATACACCCCAGATTGCAGCGTCTTGAAGTTGGTGCAAGTTTGCTTTCTGCAGGGCGATAAGTGTACTCAAGCGACTGGTCGGCGAATGCTCAAGCAGCCCTGCTCCCGGTTGGCTGCGTGGTTGCTGCAATGTTCTGCGTGGTTACGCCAGACCAAGCAAGATCTTGGTGTGGGCGGGGCGATCCGGCCCATGGGGTTCGATTTCGGGAAGCGAAATCCACAAGGCTCCCGTAGGTGTCATCAGGCCCCAATTAGATCGACCGCGGCTGCAATGCGTCGATCGATCTCCAGGCAGTTCCCCGCATTGGAGATGCCGAGCCGTTGCCGAGCGAAATGGGAATGTTGAGCAGGTGGTGACGGCCAGCATCCATCGAGGTAGGAGCGAGGGGCTGCGCTGGGGTGTGCCTGCCGTTGTGGCCCTTCTTCCATGCTTCCTTGGCAGTCATGTTCCCATTTTCGCGATATTCTATGAAATTTTCCGGTCGGGTGTCACATTCATGAGGTCGCAACTGCTTCAATGGCGTCTTGCCAGCAGAAAACTGGGCCATTCCTGTGGCAGAGAGAAGTGACCCTGGTACCGTATCTAGATCTCGGACAGCCCACCTCGCCCATATAGCCTCCCGGCTGTCCATCGCCAAGAGCCGGATCTGTGTCCGATCCCGAGCCTCCGAGATCAAACCAACTGACGACGCGCGATACGAAAGACATGCAGGCGGCAAGGCGACAGCATGGTTGGGCGCAGATGGCTCGACACGACGACCCAACAGTTGGGGTCATTGCTTCAGTCCGAAGTATACCATCCAAGATGAGCAAGAGCAGGGCCGGGCCGCGAATATGCAAGCATCCCGCATGCAAGCCGGTGTTTGCCGTCTTGTGAAATCCCATGCTTCTCTGCCTGAGCCAGAAGCACGCAATACCTAACTTGCCGTTTGCTCAACTCGCTGCTGCGGCCGTCATGCCCTACCGATTGCGGACCTTTAGCTGCACCATCATTAACTTACCCGGCGGCGCTATTGCCGCATCATCTCAACTTCCACTAGAAGGCGCTTGGGACCATCACCGGCGGGCAGTCTGCGGCCCTCCCACAACAGTGCAAGTGGTGCGTCGGGTCTGCTGCAGTGCAACGGCTCATCACGGGCGATGGCATATGATGCACCAAAGATCTGCGGATCATCGCCTCTGCGGTGTCCATCACATTTGCAACGACCTCAAGGTGGGATATCAGATGAATTGATGTGAGTGGGCATGCGCCTTGCGCAAAACACCTTGTCCAACACCCCCACGGCGTCGAGTTCTTCGGGATGTCCCTTGTTGGGTAAGTAGGTATGTTCGCACAATGCATACCTACCCTTTCCTGGAGACTTGAGCCTCCACCTTGCTATGCCCTCGCTGCCTTAACTTGTTAAACGTCCTGCGGAGTCGAGCCTCTTCCGCGGCAGAGCTAGTCGCCGCTGCAACCGACAGCTTGACAACGTCGCTTGTCATGGCAACATTCCGCGGGATGCGAAATGCGCGGTTCGCTGGTCTCTGCTAGCCACGAGTAAGACATAGCGATGCCAGCTAGGCTCGTCAGAAACAAATAGCGGCAAACGTTGAGATAGCCAAAAGGTTTCCCTCAGCCGCAATGGGTCCCCCTATCCAAACACGTGGAGGAACCCAGTTGGGTGAGAGCTCCTGTGTATTACTCGCCCGGCAAACACTCCAGTCTGAACCCGCTAGCCTAATCCTGAGTCAAGAAGCCAGGAGGACAGGAGGACAGGAGGATAGGAACACGTATGACGGGTTCGAGAGGAACCCTACCTGGTACTCTATGCAAGCAGACGCGGCTCTCCAGCAACAACCCTTTTCCCCTGGATGCGCTCTCGGAAGGCCCCACGGACAGCTGCAAGTCAGGTGCTGTACTGCACTCTACCCGACCTGCATTTGCTGCCACAACAGCACTCAAATGCTGCTGCCCAATGACACTGGGACGATATGCGAGAGGGGCAAAAAAGGGAGAATTGAGCCAACGGGTGCTATAAGCTGCACAAGTCCGGGCTGCTGTCCACTCCAGGCATAAGTGATATCCAACAGGCGGAACAATGATGTTTATCTAAAGAGATGGGAGACCAGGAAAGACAGTCCGGTAGTCCGTAAGAGGTGAGTTCGACCACCCGTCTTCAAGACCCGGTGGGGGTTGCGACTGGCCTATGTGACCCGGTAACTACCAGGCAAGACGGCCGAAGAACAACAAAGGTTAGACGGGCCGGCTTTGGCAGAATCTAAAGACGGAAATGGGACCAATCGATGATGCCTTCTGCAAATATACCGCAAATCCAAAGCACAGCACGCCCGAGGCCGGATTGAAGAGATGGATAGACCACTAAGCCAGTCCACATGGGAATCTCTGAGGAACAACGTATCAGATCGCATTTGACAATCAGGGGCAAAATACAGAATATTACCTACCTTAGGAGGAGAACTCCCTGTATCGGTGAAAAGGGCCAGCAACTTCTGCTCTGCTCACCGATTTTTCTAGTCCCTTGCCGCGGGTTAACCTATCGGCTCCTTTCCTGTGCCGTGAACCCATTGCGGGTAGACAATATGCTTGAAAAGAAACGAAACAAAAGAGACAGATCCCGTTTGGTATGACCCTGCTTCGGATAAAGAACCTTGGAAGGGGGAAGGCTGAAACAGGCATGGGAAAGAAACAGGCGTCTGAAGGTGCTGTGCCGATGATGGGTGATTGATTGAAGTTGAGCTTGTAGAGAGCTGAATCCCAATTGTCCGGCACGAGCGGCTGGTTGGTTGTCGACTGTCCGTCGAGAGAATTCACCCGAAATATGTCGCCGCTTTCCATCATCGCGTCTCTCGCCCCAACAAGTACGGATGCCCACAATGCAGGCCAGGCCAACTGGTCAGGCCACCACTAGACCTTGTTAGTGCACAATATCTCTCATTGATGCGGTCAGTCGGCCTTACATAGGTACACTACTAAGCGCGATTGATCCAACAGCCCAACAACTCAAAACAACACACCAATCAGTTGTCGTCTGGAAGCCCGTCGGTGTGTGCGGGAGGTGAAATTGCAATTTTTTTGGTCGCATAGACCCATTTTCATAGTCGCATAGACCTATACATGGCCATACAGCCTGTTGCAAGAAGTCATCACCACATAGAAATCGGGTATTCAATTACAATAACGTCGTTCATCCGATAGTCCACTTTCTACAGAGTACAGAGCAGCTCATTCAAGTTAAATCGCGGATTTATTGAGCTCTTCAAACCTCAGCCCAGGAGGGAACGGGAGCCAAGGCGCGTAGGGAGGGCAGTGTAAGTGAGCTTATATAAGCGACTTGGGGTAAACCCGCCTAGCACTGCAACAACGATATAACAACTATACTCCTCTCTTAAACTCCTGCAAATGGGTTCATTCTATCTGTACAATCTTGCTTACCCTAGTTTGCCCATTCATTCTAAGATAATAGGTTCTGTGGTTGCTATTCGGGTTGGACTTAGTGGTATGTGCAGGTCTATGCGACTATGAAAATGGGTCTATGCGACCAAAAAAAATTGGTGAAATTGGTGACTGTTCCTGCAGCTGCGGCTCGCATCGCCGCCGCTCTCGTACCTTACCTGCCAACTTCGCAAGATATTGACTCGGCTACACCGTCGCCAGGGGTGCCTGCTGCCTGCATCATCTCACAGCAGACACTGTCCAGGCTTTTGGGGCCTTGTTTTTTGCTGGCTCCTTTGCTTAAGCACTTTAAGGTACAGACGATTATTTTCTTAGCTAAGCTGAACAGCGCCTCGAGACTAATTCCATGGTTCTCAAGGCGCACTGCAGCTTCGCGGCGCATTTGTATTTAAAGAGACCATCAACCATGGTAGTGCAAAATTTTCCTTGATATGGGTACGAGCCTACGAGGCTACATACGGAGTACTAGGGTTATGAGCGGCCGTCGGAACCGCCCAGGGTAAGGTAAAATACCAGGTATCTGGGGCACCACGTGGTCAACGCTGAGCACCCGACAGATATCATTCACAGTTATCCCTTCTCTCGGTGTTTCGCTCTACTAAGCAGTGCTTACTGTACCGCAGCAGTACTGTCCAACTCTTTGCCTTTACGGCAGGTCTCTCCCTTCTTTGGGCTGCTGAAGACCTCCGAAATGGCGGTCATACGCCGATTGTAGCATTGGGGGCTGAAGCATTTGCATCGCGAAGTGTCAACTCTGAGGCCCACCTCAGTGACCTCAGTCTACCTACTTCGTACCTTCGTACTTGCCTAACCATACGCCTCGCCCTCGCTTCACATCTTATTGATGCATCGGGTGCATCCAGTTGGTATGCATTTCTGTTGCTGTTAAGGGTCAATGTACCTGGGAATTTTATCAATGTGACTGATGGACACTGTCTGAAAAGCATGCCTCCGCTTTCATCGTCCCACCCAATGTCGGTTTAGGTTCGGACATTGTGAACTCTTCGAGACGTGAGACGGGCTCTGCGGTGCGTGTAGATAGTAACGTTATTGTGCTAGGTAAGGTAAGGTGGTGTATTGTACGTATGCCCGGAAGATCTTCGGTTACAATATCAATAAAGCCAGACTTCCGTTGGAGGTGGACGGGACTCAGCCCACCGTTTCGAAACGACCTTGGAAGTTGATGAGGTGCTGTCCGCTCCTCTGCCGTCCCGAACATTTGAGCCGGCGATCGCCCGACCGTGCATGGCATATATATGCAGAGTACTCTGAAGTTATATTGATGCCAGGCAATTAATCAGGGAGTTGATTAATAACCAAGACTCCGGTTGATTAGCGCAACGATCAATACCGTAAGATTCCAGGTCTATTTGTCGCCGTTTACCATCCGGCATCAAGACCCCTATCCTGTCCCCCTTCGCGCACGAGTCTAGGTGGAGCTTCGTATTGGGGGTAGTATTGCCGCACTAACACTACACTATCCGTACTCCGTCCATACTCAGCGCTGAGGGACGAAATCGCCGTGCATCACTGCATGGGGCGGCTCACTGGCGTCAGTCCGATACTCAGCGGCGAGCGCACCCTGCTGCACCACGGGCAGCTGCCCTGATAATGTAGGCATTGGGGGTATCCGTAGATGCGATGACCTGGCGTCTGGTGATTTCTCGACACTACGGAGTAAACTATCGGCTGGCACGGGTGGAGGATGCATTGGCCCGAAATATACGGAGGTAAGATAAATAGGATATTCCATGGCAGACGCAGCTTGGCTGAACCGAAGCGTACGTAAACGTGCTTGCCAGCGTATAGATTGCCCCGAGAGTATGAACATGACGGGTATGTATATTGTATATCGCATTGATCGTTGCCTTGTTCTTCTCGCCATTCCCAGCGCTGAAGAGTTATCATTGCAAGCGCTCCAGTTCAAGATGTAGGATTGATCCAGTTACGGGAATACGGTGGCTTACCGTAGTTACACGTATTGAGCAAGATTGCGTGTTGTGTCGTGCCGTGGAGACAATTTTGGAGCCCGCCAACCAAAACTGCCGCGCTAAGGTCCTTGGCCCGTAGGAGGACGTGCTCCTTAATAACTGGGCTTCGAATGCGGAGTTCTGATACTTACGGAGTGGAACAAATCACTCGGTCAAGAGAGTATCGAGTACGAAACACACACCATCTTCCACCCTGCTCATAGTATCATACACTAGTCCTAGCACTTGCCCTTTTAGACAGCCGGAACTGACAACGGCCATTCACACCTGCATGGCACCAACGAATGCAAGAGGTGGTGCCTGGAAAGGCGTCGATGCACCAAGTTCACTATCAACGATTACTCGTACCTTCGGCTACAAGAACACCGCCATCGCTTCATCGTAGACATTTAGTTGCGCAATCAGTGAAGAAGCAATTGGGAACGCTTCTTGCTACTACGTTAGTAACCACGTGTAACTACCTAATAACCGACAACTCTGGCCTTGACGGAACTGTCCATGGTCCGCAACGAGAGCGAGGCTCCGTGAGATTCCGTTTCAGACGTTAGGCTAAAAGTACACCCTTACCAATATTGGACCCACAGATACCTTTGCCTTAGCGGACCCCTCCTTCAGGAACGCAAGCGCAAGCCCCTGTCGGTCTAATCTTCCCATTGCTACCCACTTGGTGGCATCTCACCCTTGCAGCGCTGCTCCGCCCCAAAGCCCTTCCCTTTCTAGTTTCCATGCCCCCCTCCAACCCCTTGCTTGTTTCTTCCGCTTTGCTTTGGGGCGTTATGCGCATGCTTCCGTTCGTTCCATTCTCTCGCAAGCCTTCCTTTTCCCTTCGCTTCGCTCGAAATCGCATGCCCGGCGATCTTCTTCGACGGTGAGGTTCAGCTCCGACAATTACACGACCCGTCGGCTGCCAACGCACACCCGTCGTCTCAATTTCGCGACGTGGAAGGGACCTCCCGGCGGCCGAGCGTGATTCCAATGCCCGCCCTGTCATGAACCGTGAACGCGAGTTTCCGACGCCACGAAGGTGAATAACCAGGTTCTGCAAAACAACAATCTGACGATTTCGTCGAGTCACTCTTTTATACACAAACAACATCAGAAATTCTTTCCTTGAGAAAGGGATCTCAATCCGAGTTTCCCGTCTTCAATTGTGAGTTGGATATCGGTGGTAATCGGAAAATATATGGGCACATCGACTTCAGGCGCGACCAGCAGTGTGAGGAGAGATGGGCCGGCCGTACCCATCGGCCTGGCAAACCTCTGCTGCGTTGAGGCCGATCGTGTGGATCTTTCATGCAGCGGATTCTACAAGGAATCTTGAACTGAGATAGGCTGACAATCTCGGGTTCAGATCACGCTCATTGATATCTTTCGTCAAGTACACTCGTTACGATCTTTCCTGGCAAGTTAGTGTTGTCTTGTCGCTTGCTCACTGCTGCGCCGCTTACAATTCCATTATTCGGTGTGTGCAGATCTCTCGAAACGACTCACGACCTCCGCCTCGTGGCATAGAAGCTGCTAGCGAAGTACGAACTTGAAGCGCATGCTCGAGGAGGTATAAGAGACGTAGAATGAGAACGGTTTCGGTTTTGGCTGCCGCTTTGGTGGCGGTTTCATCGGTGGTGGCTAGTCAGGATGCAGGGAAGCCGAGGATCTACTTCCCGCGCCATGTCAAACGGCAATTCAGCAATGCGACAATAACACAGAACCCCGTGGGATCGAGCACGACAGTCTTGGAGACGACCCAACGACAGTCCAACTCAGAAGCCGAGTCGTCAACCGATTCAGATGTCACTACAATCATTATCACTAGCACCATCGTTGAAACCTCACCAGGTTCGACGCCGACAACGATCTCGACCGCTGCTGAAAGCACGTCTCCGCCCAGTGGCACCTCGCTTCCTAGCAGCACGAGCCCGTCTAGTGAGAACTCGTCTGCGTCTAGCAAGGATGGTAGTGTTTCCAGCGAGGTTCCGTCCAGTCAGAACTCGACTTCTACTAGTCAAGGTGTTGGTCTTTCTAGTGAGAGCTCGTCCAGCGAGAGCGCAACCTCGTCCAGCCGGAGGCCAGTTGTGGAGCTCCCGTTCAGTTCGCGGTCTAGTAGCAGTCCTCCCACCGGCACCACCGAGCCTCCACAGTCGACCGAAGAGCCCGGCACCTCGGCAATCCCAACTTCGGATCCTCAGCTGAGTCCCAACAGCACCAGCACCAGCACCAGCATAACAGCATTACCGGAAACATCCGGCACTTCGAGGATATTACCGACCTTCGTTGGACCGGAAAGCTCATCAGAAGCGCAAGAGGATGGCTCTTCACTCTCGACTAGCACATCAGGAATTCTCATCGCGCCGACTGGAATTGTCACAACCACCTCGACAGCCCCAATTGAGACGAGTGCAACCGAGACTAGTGAGGTTGGGACGACCGCAATTGAGACTAGTGCAATCGAGACGAGCGCAGTCCAGACAAGCGCAGTCGGTACAAGCGCAGCCGACACGAGCACTACGGAGGCCGAAAATCCCATCAGCTCCATCGCGAGCGATGTGACCTCGGCGATCCCGAGCACCGTTGATCCTTCGCAGAACAACACCTTGATTACTAGCACACCGACGAGCACCACAGAAGTTGGAAACCCGATCAGCTCCATCGTCAGCGACTTGACGTCGGTCATCTCCGACATCCTTGATCCGACGCCGAACAGCACCTTGGTCACCGTTGACCCGACGACCACCGGATCTGGAACTGGCGTGACTACGAGTGTTGAGTTGCCTACAACGGTGACCGACACGCCAACCACTATCGTCGAGCCGCCTACCTCGACTACCGATGCGCCGACGACTGTCACGGATCCGCCTACATCGGGCACCGACACGCCGACGTCGGACACGTCAACGACTTCTGTCGAGACGCCTACAACGGTGACCGACGCGCCCACGACTGACGTTACACCGCCTCCCGTTATCTCTTCTACAACAACAGATATACCGCCGCCAGTCTCGAACACGACCACCTCGGCAACTGAGACGGTCGATACCACTTCCCTGCCACCTGTCACCTCGAGCGGCACCACCACTGGCAATGCTACGGTAACGCCCACCACTTCCACGGATCCGCCCATTATCACCACATCTACTATCTCGCCCAACACGTCAATTCCCACTCAAAATTCCACTTTTCCGCCCGAGACGCCAACAACAACGATCTTGCCGCCGACGACCACGGATCTGAGCTCTACGGCCACCAGCACGACCAGTTCTTCTGCCAGCACAAGTGAAGCTGGTGTTACGAGCATTCCGCCAGTAACCACTGTCGTCAATACGAAGCCCTGGCTGCCCTCAACGATCGTGGTAGACCCAACCTCAACCACGGCCGAGGGATTGGCGCCTACGACCGCTAGTGGTATTCCCACAGCTTATCCCAAGGCCATCACGCCGAACAACGGAGACGATACCCAGCCTGAGGATACGACATTAATCCAGATCGGCTTCCGCGAGGGATACAACTACCCATTCGTGGTGAGCAACGACATGGCTGCAGCCCAGATCTTTAACCTGCTGCCTCAAGCCCTGGCTTATGGGGGAGGGTTCGATATCAGCAAGGCCCAAGTCAAGAGGCTGGTTCCACTGGATACGCAGAGCTCGCTTGGCTACATCACGACTTGCGCCGAAGTGACGTACCCTAATAGCCTGGTGGAGGCTCTGGCAATCGATATCACGTTGCCCAATTCTGCCCTGTACAATAACCCGAGTCCGCTCATCTACAATCACACCCAGCAGATCAACCCGGCGATTCCTATTACGCGCGGCGCATACCCCGCGGGGATGGTCGACGCCGGCTCTGGCAATTCCGGCTCTGGTTCGACCACCGGGACCCCCAACAGCAACCCCTTTGACACGGGAAATAATAGCGGCGACTCACAGTCGGGCGCGCAGAGGGGAACTACAGCTGGTATCGTTGGTGGCTCGATTGCGGTGGCTGCAGCGTACGGCGTGGTCATGTTTGTAGTCGCACGACGGTACAAGCGCAAGAGACTAGCGCATCGCCGGGCGAGCTCCATCACAAACCCGGCCGAGATGCGTGGGGGCAGTCCAGCACTCATGGGCGGCGCACTGCTGAGCCGCGACTTTACCAGCTACGGCGCGATGCCGGCGGGCGGGCGAGACAGCCACGGCAGCGGGAGGAGCGGGATGGGAGCTTCAGGGCGGACGCAGTACATCTCTGCACCTGTCGCGGCAGAGAACTCGCTCGGGTGGAATTAAGAAACCACTCTGGCTTGCGCTCCCCCATTGATTTAGCTAAATGGCCGGCCCTACTTTCACCAATGGCCGCGCCTCTTCCTCGTCCGTCTTTGCGTCCGATATGCAATAACAATCATCGCCGCAAGCGAAAAGTCAATCACGATCTCGCTGTCACCGTCAGTCACAAACAGAATTGGTGGAACTCAACATGATTTTCTGCTTCGATACCCCTCGGGCTCTTGCTCGGGCTTTGCTTGCAGCCCAGCGAGTGTCCCGTTGTCCTTTTTTTGTTCTTTCTAATCCTCAAAACCAAAACATAGACGAAAGGCATTCAACCATTTTTCTTTGGCCATTGGAATACTTGGCAGTCGAATCCGCCTTTAATTCTTGAGCCTTGTTCATCTATACTTTTAAGCCTTCCTCACTTGATCGGAGTCTCACTGGAGTGTTGCCTATGGGTCCCCGTTTCAAAAATGCGTTTTACTATACACCAGCTAATTCCTCGCCCACATGAGCAAACCACATACCACTCATCGATTGAACCGGAAGGTTTAGTTGAGGTGGACTGGGTTGTGAGGACGGCTGAAACGGCACACGATGCTTTCGTGAGGTTTCGGTCAGCCGTCTCGGTGAGCCAGGGATTGTTCTTGGTATTATTTAATTTATGTATCTCTTTTTATTCTCCCAAATCTCGAGCGTGGGTGGTGGTAGCAGTGATGTGTCAGGGTTGCTGTTGCGAGCGAGGACGAGGACCGTGAGGACAAGATGGGAGGAAGGGTGTTGGATGTTGGAAGTGGCTTTTCTGCAGAGGATCCTGCTTGAAATTCTCACCTTCTGCGCCGGTTGGTCGAGATGGTTATGACGATTGAAAAGGCGGGAAACGCTGGCTTTTGGGGAAGCGTTTCATGATAGCTGTGTGCGCCTAGGCGCCCCTTGGAGATCTGAGCTGCTCGATTCGACGCGCGCTGTTTGGTGGGCTTCGTGTAAATCGCATTTTAAGCTGATCCGGGCAAGTATATAGCTGAAGATGGTTGGTCCGCTGCCTCTGACTCGAGAATCGCTGGATTGCTGTGTGCTTGTCCATATGTCTGGGTGCGCATAACCCAAGCTTTGAGTGCCTTTACGAGCTTTACTTAGACCATTTGAAGTGAGCGCCTTAAGGTGTTGTACTCTGCTTGTGACCCAATATGGTAACGGACCAGCTGGCAATCTGGTCCGAACTGTAGATGGCTAACTGGTTTGGATGCAGTTCCGTCCGAAGTTTTGACCTCCACTGTCATTGGATAACCAGCAGAATCATTATCTCAAAGGTTGGTCAACCTGCAATGGACGAGGTCGTGAATTCAGATGGCTTGATGCACAGTGGGCCCTCGTTTCAATAAATTGGCTGCCGCGGACCAACATACTGTACAGTGCGCTATTCGATAGGCGGACTAGGGTAAGATCACTGCCAGTGGCAATCACTCCGGCCGTCATTCCTGATCTTTCTGACATGGACACACCCAATTTCCAATTGAACTCATGGGCGACATTGAAGTATGCAAGCGAAGCACCACAAATGAATCAAAATGGGTCCATCATCTCTCTGAACTGTGGTTGATTGACTGGCGGCTTCGCCTTTCCTGTAACCCGTCGAACCCGATTACAGGGGAAGCTGGGCCCTTTCGTCGCTTTGTAGTGACGGAATCCAGCTGCGGACAACCTCACCACTAAAGGCGCAGTATAATCTCAAATCGCATGCAATGGTGTCAACCTCCTTCAGTATACCCATGCACACGGTTCGAGGGCTGGATAGTGAGGGTGTTCAAAAGCCAGTTGGGACACGGTCGTCGGCCTCATCGTCTGAGGCGTCGTCATCACCACCCGGGGCTACTACTGTGCGCGGTGGCAGGCGACTGACCCCTGATACGGGATCCGAGGATGAAGATGAGGATGAGCTTGAGGTCGGACATGGACAGACGGGAAAGGCTGACCATGAGGAATATGAGCTTCAGGAGGGGATACGAGGCAAGGAGGGGGATGAGGGACCGGGAAGGCGACTCTCGGATGGTTGCGAATCGTCATCAAGACGGCAACGGCGGCGGCTGTATAATCCCGAGGAAGAGAGATCCGTTGTACGCAAATTCGACCGGAAGTTGGTGGTGTTCCTGGCCGGGTTGTATCTGCTGAGCTTCCTCGACCGGTCGAGTACGGATTGCTCCTCCCCTTTGGTTCCCATGCTTTGGCGTGAGGAAGTGTTGCTGATATGCATCCATAGACATTGGCAATGCCCGCATTGCCGGTATGGACGATGACCTCCAGTCCGTGCCGCCGCGCGATGATTGGTACATCTGGTCGGTTGCCGCCTTCTACATAGCGTACATCGCCTTCGAATGGATGGCACTGCTTTGGCGGATCATCCCCGCGCACATCTACGTCGCTGCCCTCGTCCTCTCATGGGGTGTGACGGCTTCACTGCAGGCCGTAGCTGTGAACTACCCCATGCTTATCTTCTTACGGACCGTGCTGGGGATCGGGGAGGCAGGCTTTACAGGCGTGCCGTTCTATCTGTCCTTTTTCTTCAGGCGGAGCGAGCTGGCGTTTAGGACCGCCATCTTTGTATCAGGTGTGTTCTTCAGGACACCTCAATTTGGCTGGATAGCTTATACTCTCTCTCCCTGCAGCCGCCCCCTTAGCCACAACGTTCGCCTCCTCCCTCGCCTGGCTGATTCTCAAGCTTGCCGAATCCGGCCCCATCGCCCCCTGGCGGTTGCTCTTCCTAATCGAGGGCTTCCCGTCGATCCTCGCCGCTGCGTTAGCATGGAACATCGTTCCCGACTCGCCCCAAACCGCGTCCTACCTGACTCGGCGGGAAAAGAAAGTCGCCCGCCTGCGCCTCGAGGACGAAAAGACTCCCACTCCTCGCCACGGCGTAAGCAGCAGCAGCAGCAGCAGCAGCAAGCCCGTCTCTGCAGCGCGCGACACCCTGGCCGTCTTCTCGGACCCCGCGGCGTGGCTCACGTCGGCCATCTTCTTCCTCACCAACCTGGCCTACTCGTCCATGCCCGTCTTTCTGCCCACCATCCTCCGCTCCATGGGCCACGACGCCGTATCGGCCCAGGCGCTCGCCGCCCCGCCCTACCTGGCCGCCTTCTTGATCGTGCTGGTCACGGCCTACGCCTCAGACGCGATGCGCGCCCGCGCGCCACTGCTGATGGCCCACGCCCTGGCGTCGGCGGCCGGGTACGCGGTGCTCGCGCTTTCCTCGTGCGACTGGCTCCCCCTTGGCCCGCTTGAGCCCGGCAGCTGGGTGCGCTACCTCGCCGTGTTCCCTGCCGCCGTGGGCTTCTTCAACGTAGTGGTCCTGACCATCGCGTGGAGCATCAACAACCAGCGCGGCGAGGCCCGGCAGGGCGCCGGGTTTGCCCTGCTGCAGGTCGTCGGCCAGTGCGGGCCACTAGTGGGCACACGGCTGTACCCGGACAGGGACGCGCCCTATTACACGAGCGGCATGGCGGTTTGCGCCGGGGCCATGTTGAGCGTTGCGCTGCTCGCGGCGGTGCTGAGGGGCTATCTGGCGAGGGTGAATAGGCGGTGGGATGAGGAGGAGGCGGGGCGGGGAGGGGACGATGAGGGAGAAGAAGGGGAGGCGTTGGTGGGAAGTACCACCGGTGTGAGAACGTCACCGTTTCGGTATATGCTGTGATTTTTTACTGGGTTTTAGATTGGAGTTACGGATGGAATTGGATAGTGGTACTAGTGCTAGAGGGAAAACTTAGTTCATCTGCGTTCAAGCTGGCTAAGGCAAAGGGCGTTTTGTTGTCTTACTTCATTTTGATTACGTCTTGTGGTAATACTGATGCGAACTACACCTACAACTGCGGACTAGCAAGTGGTTAAGGACAGACGGGCAGGCGGAAGCTACAGTTAGAGCGATGTCAATAGCACAACCGACTAGATTGATAGGTATAAGTACAGTACACACGGTCAACCATTGTATAAGCACACTAAACAGCTTTTCATCACAGCTGGAACAGCACAGGGGATGTCCCAGACTGCAGGTTATTTCTCATTCGTCTTCCCACTTCGTCCGTCTTGAGTCTAGATCCCATCCATGCACATACCCCTTCTGCTGCTGCTGCCCGTTGGCCCCTAGCTTCATCCACCTTTACATTTGTGGCGCTCTGATGCTCCCGAGCGTGTTGCCTGCCCTCTGAACACAGACCTCACGAATCATAAAGTGAGGTTCTCTGAACACAGACCTCATGAATCATAAAGTGATGTTCTCAAAGTGAAGCCGTTGTGCGAAGAGCTAATTGACAGATTCTTAGCAGCAATCTCGGAGCGCGGGGCCTAGAGTCGCAGGCCCCTGAAAAGTGTATCGCCGACCATTACTTTATGCCAATCTCCATAAGAATGCAGTCCAACAACTAGAGTGCGGTCTCGACTGGAGAGTCTAGTCCAGCATTCATTGGAGCATACTCATGGCCACATGGCCGGGCTCCCTTCGGACCGGCCGATTCGAGATGTAGACTGACCACCACCCGCGACGCAGAAAGCGAGGGTGGGGGGTTATGCCGTCTTCGAATCGCAGCAGACCACCACTGAGGCAGTCTAGACAGAAGCCAGCGGTGCCGACTTGTTTTCTTGAACCTGACTCCCAGCACCCCTCACGGCGCCGCCATCTTCATCTTGACCATAGACATCTCCGTGCTCTTGGCCCACGTCCCATCCGGCTTCTGGCGGTAGCACATGAGCTTCCCCTCATCGCCTACACTGCCGAGGATCTGGCCGTCGTCATCAAATCCGACCCTCCACACGGGCGTCCGATGACTGTCCAGCCTCGACACCTCGGTGATTACATGCCGGATCTGTCCCGGCAACCCGGTATTTGTCCGCTCCGGGTCGCTCCTGGTCTGGTCCAGCCCGGCGCGTATCCCCGACGCGCGAGCAACAACGCTGTCCTCAGCATCCCCTCTGCGTCTTGTAGCGTGCCTCGTAACCCGCGCCGCAGACCATGCGCCCCTCGTACTCCCATCACCCATACCTTCCCTCTTCTCGTCCCCGTCTTTTTCATCCACGTCACCCTCCCCGGTATCACCACCACTACCACCATTTTCCCTCTCCGGCGGCGGGGTGTCGAGCCTGAAAACCCTTACATACCCATCCTGACACGCCGTCGCGAGGACGTCATACCCCCTGATATTTCCCGCCGCCCAAGCCACGTCCCTGATCAAACCCCTATGCACTCCCGGCCGGATCTCAGCGGCGAGGTAGAACCCCTTGCCCGGGGCGGCGACGCCGAGGGCTGAGCGCACCGTGTCCCGCGTGCGGTAGACCTTGAGCGAGTCCATGACGACCACCACCAAGCCAAGAGCATCGGCGGGAACCCCCGCGCGCAGCGCCGTGTAGCACACGTCCGGGTTGGGGTCGAAGCGCACGCGGAACGACGTCTCCTCGCCGCGGGCGGCCACGCGCTGCTGCTGCTGCTCGCTGCCGTGGGTGGTGGTAGTAGACAGCTGGTCGAGCAGGGTGAAGGTGGCCAGGTTCTCGACGCGGTCGTTCTCGTAGACGCGCAGCTCGCCGTCGGCCGACACGAGCGCCAGGTATGTTGTCCGGGTGTCGTCGACGTGCTTGAGCGAGAAGGACCGGTACGGGCTGCGCGGGTTGCGCGTCTCAAATGCGGGCTTGATGGTCCCGTCGGAGCTGGCCGGGATCGGGGCCGGAGAGCCAATACCCGGCGGCGGTGGGAGGGCGCTGGGAACGTGCTGCTGATGCTGGTGCTGTTGTTGCTGGGGTTGGGGTTGATGGGACGAGGAGGAAGATGTGGGGTTGGCGCGGCCCGAGGACGAAGGTGGGATGGCAACGACGGGGCCGTTGCGGGTGGATTCACTGAAGCGTCGGCCCGGGGCCGCCGAGGGATCTTCGGCCCAGAGCTTGAAACGGCCTTCTATGCCCAGAGAGGCGAGGAGGTTGGGGTAGATTGTCGTTGGGAGCCATTGAAGCTGGAAATGGCGTGCTATCAGTTGCTGTCACCGCCGCGCAAGGATGTCGGGAGCAATAGAGACGCACCTCAAGAATCTCGCCGGCATGGGCTCCCCAGCTGTCGCAGTGACGCCAGACGCCGTCCTTGTGGCGGTTGAAGACGCGGATCTTGCCGTCTACCGACCCCGTCGCGCACCGGTCGCCGTGGCCATTGAAGGCGACGGCTTGTACAAGGTCCTGATGCCCATGCTTGAAGATGGATTCGAATCGGGGAAGGTCGTCTATCGGGGGCGGGTCGTTCAAGAAGGCAGCTACTTTGGACATTTTTGTGATGATATTGATCTAGGGACAGGAGCTTTGGTCTGGCGGGTTATGTAGCTGATGTTCTGGGGCAAGCGGTAGATACTGTACTGATAATACGTAACTTTACAAAATTACGTAACTTTACAGTACAGCACGTAAACTATATGAAGCCCCCGACCTTAACAGAGTCGCCGTAGAAAGCTTGTTACCCCCTATCTATACACCACTTTTACTGCAGTGTAGTAACCTTATTAACCAGGGCAACCGCACGCAACAGGATCTAAAGAAGCTCTATAATCTATCTTAGTCAGAACAGATGGGCATATCCCGGTGTTATCTCACCATCTGCCCATCGTCACGCTCCAATTGTCCTCCTTGAAAACCAGCAGTGCCAGGCCGTGCCTCACAAACAAGCCAAACATGCCAATGGCCGTCTGCATTGCCGTGATCTCAAGCGCCAGCCGGTCTTCGCGTAGTGGGCCCCTCCAGACTAGCCAGAGGTTGAGAATCGTAAAGTTGCTCGTTTCCACTATCTTTCCTTCTTGGTCCAGCGTGATCTTCAGCAGCCCTAGCTTACCCAACAGCCTCAGGCCCCACGCGACCAGCGGCTTGGGCTGCCGCTCCGCCGTCCATGGCGTGACGCTCGGCTCCAGTAGGCCAGTCCTGGCATTGAATCGCGGCAGGCGATGGCGCGGGCAGGGCACCAGGCCAAACAGCTGGGGCGTCGAGTAGACAAAGTTGAAGATTTGCGGTATGAGGAGCAGCACCAGTGTCTTGCTGAAGTGGCCGAGGATGCTGACCACGACAAAGACCATGCCGGCAAAGTAGCAGTACGTGTCGCCGACAAACACCCGCGCCGGATACCAGTTGTGCCAGAGCAGCGCGAATGACACGCCCAGGAAGGGAAGGAGGAAGTAGAGCGAGAACAGGTGCGAGTCGGTCGCGGGGTGTGGATAAGGCGTCAGCAGGTACAAGCAATCATTAATCGCCAACAAAAGGGCGATAACGATAGACTGCGTCACCTCGATCCCGTTGATGCCGGCCAGGATGTTGATGCTGTTCGGGCTGAAGATGGCCACGCCGGCCATGTAGACGTAGTAGAGCGCCCCGAGGTCGAAGAGCTCGCCCAGGTACGGCTGCAGTGGAATGGGTATCACAATCGATGTCACGCCAAAGTCGACGAAGTAGACGACGAGGAGCGGGATCGAGGCGAAAGCGGGTATGAAAAACTTGTGTCGCCAGCGTATGTCGAACAGGTCGTCGCCGATGCCGAGCAGCGCGATCGACTGTAACGAGATGATGGCCGACAAGTACGAAGCGAGCTGCATCCCGAAAACCCATCAGAAAACCACGCCCTATTCCTCGCCAGGGGGCTAGCGACCTACCTTGCTGTGCGGAAAGCGATGCAGAAAGCGGCCCTGCTGCACATGCTCGACGTGCAGCACCACGTCTCTGTTTCCGCCTCCGCTCGTCGCCGCGACAATGTCCTTGTAAAAAGGGAAAGGAATGAAGATGATGACGACCAGCAGGTACACGGCGGCACAAAGGGCGCCCATGCACTCGGGTATCTCCTTTCGGTAGGGCTTGGCCATGTCGACGCCCTTGAGGCCGGCCTTGATGAAGGTCGGACCAAGCCAGCGGATCATGGCAAATGTAGCAGCGTATGCGATGCCGCTGAGGGCAAGCGACGCAATGAGCGGCTCGCCATCGCCCTGGAAGGTATTCGCGAGAACGGCGACGCAGGCGACTGTCAGCGCTAGGAGACTGAGAGTCTCGGTGCGCGACAGCGATGTTGAGGACGGGGTCATGTCTGGCAGGTCGTGTTCATGGCTAAGGGACTGCAGTAAAATGGAGGGTTACGTTATGGCACAGGTCGAACGGAGAGAAGGCGTGAACTGGCCATCTGGACAGCCGGATGCCGTAATCCAGACGTTAGTCGGGATGGTTCGGCGTCGACTTGGAATGGGTGTCCTCGATTTCCGTTCCTTTTGGACAGATTGCCGGAGACGAATTCGCAACGCAGGTGGAGTCGGTGGACCATGTCAAACGTGCCCCTGACCCGCTGTCATGCCGTTTTCGTTCGGTACGAACAACGTGATTGGATAGCGGCTCAGGAGCTACAACCCATGTTGCCAAAGGGTACTGGTACTGTAAACTTACAGATACGTACGAAGTAAAAAGCTTTATCTTACCATGTCCTCGGTACGAGTACCTACCACATCCAAAAGGTCTTAGTGACGAGCTATAGGAGCTCGCACAGTTTCATTACGGTGATATACCTGGAGGTGCTACGGTACCACATCTAGCACCACCTAGGAGTAAGCCTCGCCGATAAATCACCTAGTTCTTAGGTCAAGGCAACAGTCGGCGCCAATGCCTTGCCATAGTACCTATCTGGCCAGTTATCGAGCTCATACGGAGTAGTTCGCCAAGAAGTTTGCAGGCTCTCCAGCATCCCCAGCCATCTCCCCAATCGACAGGATGACGTACCTGGCATTGAGTCCCTCCCGGTATTTCATCAGAACGGCTTTCCCGTCGCCCAGGGGCACCTTTGCAAGCCTTGCTTTCAGGAGGTCACTTGCATAGGCACTGAATCCAGTGCTTAATGCATCCGTCTTGAAGACCCCGACCTCACAGGTCAGCTCACCATAGCGACGATTTTCAAGAACGAAGAAGAACGAGGGCTTCTTCTCATCGTCCGAGGTCTTGTAGAAGACCTCTAGTGGCGCAAGGTGGGGATTCTCATACCGCCTGAGAACGTCTTCCCTGGTGGTCAGCACCAAGACGCCCCGCGAATGGTCGACCTCCCACGGCGCATTGCGCGTTGGAACCAAGGCGCCCAGCGCACCAGCCAAACGGTTGAGCTCCCATCCCCCGGCCGGGTCGCCGAAACAGCGAATGGAATACCCGGCCGATAGCAAGGGCGCGATCCTTACCTCGGGCCACTCCCGAGGTGGCACAAATAGCTCCGAGGGCCGCAAAGCGGGCGCTGCTTCGCGTATCGAAATGTTGGCATAGGCGGTGATGTACGATGATCGTGGGTCCCACACCGTGTCGATTGCAACGAGCGATGGGTTGTGCAGTCGAGACAGAGCACCACCCTCCACGCGGGAGACGATGCCCCTAGAAAGGAGTATCCCCAGCCGATGGCTGCCAATTTGACACCTCAACGGTACAACGACAACAGGCTCGTAGATGCACCAATGCCACTTCTCGGGGTTTGTGGGGCCATCGTCGGACCGGGGACTCAACTCAGAACCAGCCTGGTCTTGTTTCAGACCGACCACTTCCAGATTCGATGCGTTTCTCGCAGCGGGCACCTCCGCGTTTTCCTTGCCTTCCCCGACCGGTTCATATTCTGCACCGACATCCTCAACAACAACTGATACAACGGGAGCCGGGGACTCAGGCTCCTGAGTCTCAAGATTCGTCATGCCATTTCGCTGTAGGTCCGGCGTCGCAGCGGTACGCTTTTCGCCGTCTGAGCTCTGCATGTCAACGAGGTAAAAAACGACTGGCTTGCTGGGTAGCCGCCGGAGGCACATTGCCTCAACATGCCGAAACACGCGGAGCCTGAGTCTAACAAGTTGATGCACCAGCTCAAAGGGATTTTCGTACTCCTCTCCGGAGCCGTACTCTCGCAGACCAACTTCAGAGGCATGTTTGAAGTATTCGGGCGACGGGGCTAATAACCCCGACATCTGCGCGTGCGAGTACTGGTCCTCGGGATAGCTCCAGGCAAAGAGCGACTGGTCGTTTGACTACTTCAAAATCTCCAGCTGCAGACGGTAAAAGGCCTTCAGACCTTCGCCGTAGAGAATGGGCATGTTGACGCCAAACAGCCCCATCAGACAGTAGGCCTCGTCCTCGGGCCTCGTCGTCTGGCGCCCAGCGGCCCACGACATCATCTGCGCGACGCTGTAATCAGACCAGCGACGCTCCGTCAGCGCGCTGAGGCCAGTTCCCGTGATGCAAGAGACCTCTTTGGCGAGCGACATCTTGGTGCCGATCTCCTTCCAGTCCGAGGCGAGGAAGACGACCTCTGCCGGAGCGAGGAGCTCCTGGAGCGTCCAGCCACGCGTGAACCAGCGGCTGCCAGCAAACGAGAATGTTTCCAGGGTGGCATCCTCCGAGCTGTCCACGTCGCTCAGGCAGGCGTAGCAAATGGCCGCGTCCCGGTACCACTGGAACATGGAGTTGATGGCCTCGCTCAGTTCTGCGCTCGACGACTTGTCGATGCAGCACGTGTCGATCCACACGTAGCCAAAACCCTCAAAGTCGGCGAGCCGGCAGCATCCTGCGACCTTGACAAACCCTTTTTGTGAAGCGCTCTTCTTGTCGACATGGTCCTTGTAAGATACCTCGTCCAGGCCCCATGTGTGAGAGAGGATTGCGTAAGGAGGGATGCCTCTGCCGGCTTCGCCAAGGAATTCCTCGAACTCTAGTGTTTTCGAGTTTAAAAATCGCATGTTGACGCTGGTTTGTAAGAATACCACATCACACTAGAAACGGCTGTGGAGAGATGTTGTCTCGTTGGTGGTGTGGGAATGTATGAACGTGCTGGGCTTTGGATACTTCCGAGTCGTTCAGCTCCGACGTTCCATTGCGATCAGGTCTCTTGATACTTATCCGGAGGCCTCTGTTCGCCTAGAACCTCAGCGAAGTCCACCATCACAAGGCGCTGCCTGAATTGCAACCTTCATGGCTTTGAACTGAGTTTCAAGGTATGAGAGTCAGAGACACCGAGAGCCGCTTGTGAAGTTGTGGGTATCCGTATGATTCTGACCATGATGCCACCATTGTTTCGTGTTCATTTTCAAGTAGAAACGTGCCGCAGCCGATACCGGTACCGGTGGTTTCTGGGGCAGTGATATTCTGTCGTGGTGTTCATCTGGGAACTGGGCAGACGAAAATAGAATCCGGATTGAGCAAAGTTGAGCTTGAGCAATTCGAGTAGCCTGAAAAGAGTTGCAAAAGAAAAAAGAGACTCGGATACCGGGAGTCGAACCCGGGGCTGTTGAGAGAACAGACACTTCTGAGAAGTGAGAGTCAACGATGTTACCGCTACACCATACCCGACTGAATCGTGTGTGGTTCCGATTTGTTGGAGGCTGCAGCGGAGACTGTCCTTTTCATTGGATCAATTCCCCTCCACCGAGTAATGAAAACAAACTCGCCCCCCTCACCCTTTTCCTAACAGTGCTATGCTTGCACACCAGCGTATGAGTAGCAAGCAGACACCCACCTCCGGTGGCCCAGAAAGCAGGTTGCCTTCGCCTCTCATAAACACCATCAATTCCACCAAAAGCTCACACTAAAGCTGACGCTCAGCCCCCTAACGTAATGCCACCACCCGATGGGTATGTACAGCACATCCCCTTCCTCAAGAATACAGTCCCAGTACTCCAGCTTCCTAAACTCATCGTCCCCCCACCGCCGTCTACCCCCACTAGTTCCGTCCTCCCCGCTATCCCCAAGACCACTACCAACATCAACCCGCCCTTCCAACTCCAAGTCCCCATCCCTCCCCCCTGCGTCGTCATCGACTGGCAGAGGAGGCTCATCCCATCCCTCCAAAACCCCCACATCCACCCAACTAGTATTACTCATATCCACACCACTGGTACCCGCACCCGCAGCCTGACCCTCATCCCGACCTTTCCTAGCGCGCATGGCCTTGCCGCCCAGCCAGGCCGGGTACAGGCGCACATACTTGCGCCCGACCACCTGAGCAAGGAGGTTATGGTACGGGTCCGTGTGCAGCGGCGTGATGGTTCCCGGTGGGCCGAACCAGGCGTTGAGCTGCGGCGCGGCAAGCTCGGGCTGGTCCTGCGAGGGGTCCGTCGGGTGCCGCGGCGGCGACGTGTACACCAGGTCCGGCACGGGGCGGATGTCGTCAAGCAACGACGGGATGTGGGTCAGCAAAGGGTGCTGCGCGAGGTAGCCTGTGGTGTTGTGTGTCCCACTGCTGCTGGTGCCGGTGGTGGTGTTGTTGTTGGTGGTGGGGTTGGTGATGTATTGCTCGAGGAAATCGCCAAAGGGAAGGATCTTTTGGCTCCAGCCCTCGTCGGTGTAGCTACGGCCTAGCTCTACGGGGACGAGCCGGCGGCCGGAGAAGGTCTGAGAGAGGAGGTACGAGGGCTTGCACCACGGATGAGTGGTTCGCGCAGGCCACGAGTCGGTGAGGCCGGTTATGATCACCGGGAGGGGCCCGAGGTGGTGGGGGGAGGCTGGCGGTAGAGAGTCGAGGTAGAGCTGGAAGGCTTCGAGTGACATGTCGTGGACGCGTCGCACGGGTGATCGAACTGGCGGAGTGAACGGCGCATGGCGGGAGAAAGAAGGGCTGTCGTGCCAGAGTTTTATGGGACTGGCCGGATCTTCAGACGTTCGGAGTCGTTTGCATGGCCGTGGTGAATCGAGGGCCTCTCCTGTAACGGATGATGACGCTTGCCAGACTTGCTCGAGCAGCGCAAAGGCCTGGTTGATCCATGGCCTTCCTCGGCGCTCTCCAGCTGCTCCGGCGAGAATGATGGCGAGATCAAGCGTTCTGATCATGTCATTAAGCGCGGTTTCGGCTGCTCTCTTGGCCTCCCCGCCAACGGTAGAAGCATCGCTGAGCGGCCAAGAGAAGTACTGAAGAGCGAACTTGAGGATGCTTGCGTCCGTGTACAGCTGCCGCCAGCACACGGGCAGATCCTTGAACAGATAGGCATAGAATTTTGCATACGATGTCGCTACAAGATCGTCCAGCCGTTTGAGGAGCAGGGTCCTCTCCTTACCTGCCTCCAACGGAAGGATAGCTTTTGCGCCGTCATGATACAGCTTGAGCAGTTGCGAAGCCTGCCTGCCAAGGAGCCGTGCCAAAGGCTCACCACAGTCTGCCACACCTGTGCTCCCATTGCCGTCCCTCACGACTGGGGAGCACTCAGAGACGATTTGATCAGCCGCTGTCAGGCAGAGCACCTTCAATTGCTCATGCGCATCCATCATATCCATTATCGCGATACTTGAATTCTTGGCCGTCGTGATACGCCATCTGCCATGTGAGTTTACCCATCTATCGATTCTGGGTGGGCGCGGTTGACCGGGAAGGAACCGCAGCGATTTCAGTATTCAGAGACGGGAAGTTCACAGACAGGGGCGGGAAGGAAGCCGAGCGGCACTTTGATCAAGATGCGGGGCTCTTAACAGAGTGCTGATAACGTCAACCTAGCGGGCCGTTCCAGCGCCACAAGGGGCTGCTCGTGTTACACACACAGTACCCACGGTATATACTCCGTACACCTTCAATGGAACCACCGAGCCACCTCACCCTACAGCGGAATGCTTGACGTGTCGCCCGATCCATCAAATCGAACCACACATGTGCATATCATCCAGCCAATATGGTCATCGGTGCGCTTCATGGCAATTCCTTCTTGCACCATGTGCCAAGTCAAATCCCACCGTTTGCTAGGCCCTTGCGGGTTAGTCTAAGTACCTATCGTCCATCCCTTGGGAGTTGTGACGACTTCGGGTCCTATCAAGATCCCGAGCAACCTTGGGTAACCAGGTTGGGAGATGGGCAAGCAAACCTGAAATCCATTATGGAATGATGCCATCGCCCTGGCGGCGCGATGCCTACTGCATTTCCTTCCCCTCTTCGACCTTTGTACGCTCAAACCGGAAACACTTGAACTGTTGAGGGAAAAGGGAGTTGGAGGGGGGGGGGGTGGGTTTTATACTGACTCGAAATGTACGGGTTGGACTTGCTCGGTTTCTGCGGCATCTAGTGAGGGAAAGAGCAAGGGCGTGATGTACGTACCGAGAGACAGTCCAGATGCCTAGCAAACATCTCCACCGCTGCGCATGGGGAGGAGCACAGCTAATAAGGGCGGGGATAGAGGTGGGTTGATAACGGTACTGTACTGTGCTAAGGTAGTAACTTGACCTGCGTTTGACATGACCGAACCACATCTCTTGCCAGTCTCCAAATCTCCATGAGCTGGATAGCGAGATAAGCAAGTGTGTGCTAAGCAGCACCCTTCGGGTAACCTTGTGAGAGGTATTTCTGTAACTTCTGTTTCTTCACGTACAATGTTGCGAGACTCGCGTCAGTTGCAAGTCCCGCCTGCATCCGAGGATTGAGCTCATTGATATCCCCGCGGTCCACACTTCCTTTGGGGGAGGCCTCGGTGGTTTCGACCGCGGTGATTTGTGATTTCGGTCGTTTTCAAGCACCACGAATCACCACGATCCCCTACCCATGGGCCGGGGGCGGGTCAGACCTGCAGCTGCATGCAACGTCATCCCAAAGTTCATGGCTTGAGCAATGCCGCCGTAGAGTGGGCTCGCTCATCGCGTTTCAATTCGGCAATTTATCAAACTGGAATGGCATAACGGTCCCAGATAGCCCCCAAGGCTTGTTCTGCTGTCCTGGCAGGTATGTTCCCCCGAAATTCTGGGTTGCAGACGAGCCGTTGCAGAAACCCTTCCGGCTCTTGAATTCCCCAAGAGTTGTTGCCCCCAACCCCCGCCCCGCCCCCGGCTCAAAGAGGGCTCCCAGCTCATGCTCATGCTGATGCGGGCGGCCGCTGACCCCAAACAAAGTGTATCGGCATGTAGGCATGGATCCGCCTGTTCATCACTGCGGCTGTGATGCTGCTCACCAGCTCATCAATCTCCTCCCTGTCGTAGCCGCCCTCGACGAGCGGTCGCGCAGCCATGGCGCCAACGAAGTCCATGACTACCTCACGAAAGCATCCGCCAAGAAGCCTCAAGTGCTTGTCCTTGGCCCATTCGCCCAACGGCATATGGTACACCTTCTTCTGCACGTTAACGTACCCAAGGCGTTGTAAGAGGCCGGGGATCTGTTCGACGGCCCAGAGGTCAAATCCATATTTGTCGTTTAGCACGCCCCCCAACATGGAATAAAACTTGTTCAGGGGGTAATCGGATGGGACCGTTCCATCATCTGATGTTGCCCTCGGAACGATGTCTTGAACCTCCACCCAGCCACCTGGCTTGAGGTTTCTGTAGCCAACCGTAGCATTAGCGAAACATTCTGTGCCGCCATGTGTTTCCGGGAACCTCCTCACTGTAAGATTTTGCTGAACAAGCTTTCATTGTCTTTAATGACGGTGTTGACGAAGCACAGGTGTGCAAGATCGTAGTCGTTCGCTTGCACCCACTCGTCTTCAATGTCGTCTATCATGAACTCGACATTTGGTGGGACCCATACAGGTTGGATGGGCGATAAATCCACACCCGTGACTTTGGCACCGGGAAAGCGTTCGCCAACTAACAACATCACCCATCAGCTTCCAGTCCCATATGTGCCTTTGACATCTCATACCTTCTATGGCCCAATCCCCGAATCCTGTGCCTAAATCGATAATCTTCTGGGGGTTGTCACCAATCGGGGCAAGGAACAGCTTGCCGTTTAGGAGCTCCTTCAGCATTGTATGCCGTAACGCCTCTCTCTTGTATTCTTCCTCGTCATTCGGTATGGGATACCTCCCGTATCGAAACGAATGGTAGCGTCTGCGTGCCGTTATCAGCAAGTAGCCCATTGAGCGGCCATCACGTCACTGCGACACACCTTCCATACTCCCACACATGCTCGGTGACGCTCTCGGTCAGAGAGCCAAAGGTGCTTTCAGCCTCGCTCGGTTCGTAGTCAGAAGTGGCATCACCCTGTTCCGCCAGATCCTCGTCGGTAAGTAAATCCTCGTCGCTAAGTGGTTCAATGAAGCCACTTTCCTCCATCCCGCCGGGAGGGCTCGCCGAACCCTCCTTCTGCATTCAATTTCAACAGCAGCCCTTCAGGCGCCTACCACTGGTCGACGTCTTCTTGAACCTCAACGGTGATAAGATGGAAAGTACTGGCCAAGGACATGTTTCAGGCGGTCCTTGAGGAGCGCACGTTGCACCTGTGAAGCAGTCCCCTCAGAGCAGGTAGCCGGGGACCAGGCAGACCCAGGGTGGAGAGAAGTTAGGGAAGAAAAAGATATGCTAGAGAGGTCACAACTGAAGGGACATATCTAAACGGTTGGCCGTCAATGGCACCTGTTACTGGCCGAAGGGGGACCAAGAAAGTGCTTTGCGACGGCGGACGCTCCTCTCGCAGAAGCGAAAAGCACGTAACAAGATTTATGCGAGTCCGGCGACGGACGAAGCGAACGCTGTCAGGAAGGACAGCCTCCGTGGAGCTCGGTCAAAGGCGCCAGTCATGACGACCAAGAAGGGAAACTCGACGACCCAAGCAAGCTAAATATGCACTCTAACTCCCAGTGGCCGGACGGGTACTTGGAAGGGCCGAGTCGACGAGATTTCTCAGATGCATGGTTTGATGAGAACCTTCCTTGGGCCCTAGGTCCACGAGAGTGGAGCACTGGATGTGCAAGTCTGGGGCCGGAGCCAATCAAGAAACGACAGCTCCCTTGTGCTGCACACGATGATGGGATATGGCTGCATGAAGACGACGCCAGCGCTGCGGCTTGACCCTCTCTGCTGCCTCATACGGCACAGACCCGAGCGACCCAGCTCATCGGAAGACCGCAGGGCCACGGCAGACAAACCCCTCACCCAATCCTCTCTGCCGGGAAAGGGGGGGTCAGAGGGGGCTGTCCAGAGCGCTGGGACCCGGTGGCAGAGCAGCAGCCAACAGCTTCACACTGCGTTTCCAAGTTACCAGAGTGTCGGTATACAGTCTGCCAAGGTGCAGGGACAAAGTCAGCGTCACAGGATGGCAGCCATGAGCCAACAAAGCAGAAGCCACACAGCAGCCCCATTCCAGTAGCTAAGTAGGGTATCGGCCATGGCATGCGAAAGCATTCGGGAAGTCCGGTGTTGCATTGGCGCTTGGAAAAGAGAGAGAGAGAGAGAGAGAGAGAGAAAGACGAGACAAACCAAAAGTGGTCGACCCCTCTGTGAGTGAATGAGTGTGTGTGTGCGTGCGGCCGACAGTCTGCTCAAGGCTTCCGAGAAACGGACTGTCACCCGTCGGGAGTGGCAGATGGACCGAACGGTGAGTGCATAAGGTACCTAGGGAGCCATGGAAAGAAGCGGTCAGGACCCAGGTAAAAGCACGCAAGAGATGAGGGGTCAAGGAAGCAAACATCCATCAAATGAAAGCGACCGTGGCTTCCAATTGTTTCCTTACGTTTCACAGCACGGTTGCTACCACTCATGCACTGAGGAAAGAGCCAGGCCGGATCCACGGGCAAGAAATGGCGGGGGAGAGAGCGGGACAGGTCGACCGGCCAGTCCCATCCTGCGGCAGGCAATCCTAGCCTCTCGGTCGCGGACTGGGAGGGTGGGGTCACAAAGACTGTTGGTCTGTGCTTTGTTGCATTGCTCGATCTCCAGGTGTTTTCAACTGATGGAAACTCGAATGATTAGGTACGTACCTTAGCACCGTGCAAAAAACAGTACATCTGCCACCACATCAACGCGTCGTGCCGCCTGCAGGACCGCGTCTTGCAGGGCCACGGTGAATGTGAAATGTGGTGCACTCTTTTGATAAGTAACATCAGTGTAAACACCTCTAACCAGCTCCCCACCACTCTCCTGCTGGCGATCGACCCTCAACCCAATTGTCCGTTCTTTGAACTGATCGGTTGCCTACAGTTAATTACTCACGAGGCCAATATCTTTACTTGCTACTTTGGTTATTACATCTCGCTCAGGACACGTCAACCGCGTGCGTCTCTCAGGCTCGGGCTAGACGCGAATCCCACTTACCGACAGGGCCTGTTTGTGACGATCGAAGACTGCCATACCCGCGCCGAATCGTTTCGATATACAGCGCCCTCATGAACATCCTCGGGGAGTAACGCGTCTGCAGTCCTTCCAGAACCATGTACCTTCCGCGTTCTCTCATCTCGAAGCTCTATGTCCACTTACAGAACACGCGCCATCCGCTCTCACCACCGGTCCTTATCCTTGTTGCTCTCGAGCCCGATGCACTATGCGCCTGCCGTATACTCACGCGCCTGTTCAAGCATGACTACATCCCGCACAAGATCCAGCCCGTGGCTGGCTACGCCGACCTGGAACGCGTCGGCAGGGAACTCGTGGCTCCCATGATGGAGAAACGCGGTGGTGCTGGCGGGGTCGTTGTCTGTCTGGGCGTGGGCGGCATGGTTGACTTGGGGAGCGTCTTGGGGTTGGAACCCGAAGGCGAAGAGAACACGTTCAGCAAGGTCGAGGTGTGGCTTGTCGATTCTCATCGTCCATGGAACCTCAGCAACGTCTTTGGGGGGTTTCCACTGGAGCCGCAGACTGATGATGCGTCCACCTATGCGAGCCGGTCTCCGGCTGGCGTGAAAGGCGGGTGCATTGACCGTGCATACCATCCTGGAAAAGGCGGCATTGTCGTGTTTGACGACGGCGATATTGAAGAGGAGTTGGGCAAGGAACGAGATGCGTACCTCGCGCTAGTGGACATGCCGGATATTGAAGATGACGGGGAGGACTTGGGCGACAGCGATGACGACGCCTACAGTGACAATGACGACGCTGGAGTCGCTGCGTCGCTGCCCCGACCGAGCCAAAAGCGCAAGTCATGGGACTTATACGACGCAGAAGATGATAGTGAGGACGATGGCCGTCCTCGGCAGCGGCGAAGGAGCAACTCGGTATGTCAGGGTTGGGCTTGTCGGTATACTGATAGCTAACAGCGGTGCATTTAGTCTACTCCCATCACAGATTCACCGCGGCGCCCAGCACAGCGGGGTCTCATATCGCTGAGAGACGAAGCTATCTTTTCCAGCGACGCTCTGGAACCCCCAACTGCCGCTCAGCCCCCTAAAGTGCCATCAGCTAGGACGTTGAGGCGGAGACTCCTGCGGCTACGGCGCGAAAATGAGAGTGTGCTGAGAGACTACTACCAGTTAGGCGCTTCGTACTCGGAACCCATCTCTTCCATGATGTACTCCCTCGCCTCGGAGCTGGGCCGAGAAGACAACGACCTGCTGTGGTGGGCGATTGTTGGAGTCACCTCAATGGAGCTGTACGGGCGGTCCTCGGCCGGCATCGCCGTGCCTGTTCGCAGCTCCGAGCCTCGACCAGCGTCGGGCTGGTTGGGGCTGCGCGGAGCAAGGATACGACAGCTCCTACGGGACGAAGTTCGACGGTTGAACCCCCCCGAGGTAGCCAACGGCCGGGCACTTCCCGAGAACACGGGCATCATCCCGACCACAGCGCGCAGCCCGGAGGATACCAGCATTCGCTTGTCCCCCGAACCAAAGTTCCTGCTTATTAGGCACTGGAGTCTCTACGATAGCATGCTGCACTCACCCTACCTCTTCTCCCGCCTCAAGACGTGGAGCGAAACCGGCCTTAAGCGGCTGCACAAGCTCCTGGCCAAGATGGGTGTCAGCCTGGTACAGTGCAAGCAGAGCTACACCCACATGGATATGATGCTCAAGCGAGAGCTGCGCACCAAGCTGCTCAAATACGCCTCGCTCTACAACCTCGACGAACTGGTCCCGACCATGGACACGGATGGCAAAGACCGCGGCGGTGCCAAAGACGGATGGGGTTTTGTCCGCAGCTGGGGGTGGCGGGCAACGCTAAGCGCGCAGGACGTCGGCGTCGTCATTGGCGCGCTCCTCGAGGTGGGCAAGAACGCGCCCACCAGTCCGGACGGCCCCGGACCCGTTACCCCCTCCCAGCAACAGCCCATCAACCTCGACGGCGACCCGCAGCAGCACGAATCTCCGAGCGATGAGTGGCTCCCCCGGTTCTGGGAAGCCTACGACGCCCTCGAAGACATCGAATCCCTCAAGGCAGGCCTACCCACGGCGCAGTTCCTCCACAAAGCCATCTTCACCACGGGCACCACCCTCCTGAAGAAGAAACAAATATCACACCTTCGCGCTTTCCGCATGTGTGTCGTCAAAGACTCTCCGCACTCAGCGCTCTTTAACCATCCGGGGGCGCTGACCAAGCTTGCGCTATGGATCGGGGAAGCGCTCGCCGAACAGGAGAAGGACGCCACGGGCGGCAAACTAGCGCAGGGCGGCAGGGGCACTCCGCTCGTCGTGGCCAGTCTGGACGAGAAGAGGGGCGTGTATGTGGTGGTGGGCACGGGAGGCGGCGGCGGGCCGGATACGGCCTTTTTGAATCGCGAGGCGGCCAAGAAGAAGGCCAAAGAAAAGGAGCAGAGGGAGGAGAGGCGGCGGGCAAGGGAAAAGATCAGGGAGGAGAAGAGGGCCGCACGGAGGGAGCGGAAAGCGGAGCGGGGTGATGCGGATGACGATGAGGGTGAGGAAGAGGAAGAGGATGACGAAGAGGAGTCCTCTGACGAGAGCGAAGACGGGGAGGGCGACGGGAGTGATGACGAGGACGACGATGAAGCCCACGAGCGAGGGTTTGGGCTCAACAGATTCGGCACAGCATTCCAAGAAGTGGTGGCCGAGACCAACGCAAGGGTGCGGATCGACAGCTTTGAGCATTGCGTGGTTGAGGTCAAGAAGGAGGATTTAGGAGGTTTCCTGGAGAGCCTGAGTATGAAGGCTGTTGTTGGGTGAGCTAGAGTTTGGGGACTTCCCTTGTTGCATGGGTCGCGAGTGGGTGGGTGGCTGGTGGACTGCAGGGTATATCGGGCGTGTGGGAAGCGTGTTTCTGTCTACCCCTGTTGGACTTATATCCCTTTCTTCTTTTCCTGCACCGCTAAAGAGGCATGATGATGATACGAGGCAGGCCGGCATGGGAAGTGTAGAGTTTACTTTGATGTTAGTGTATATATGGTACAGCACGCATTGCTAAGTAGGTATTTTTGCTGTTTGGTCTTATGGAGTGGAACAGGCATTGCTAGGGCTATTCACATCGTCTATCTTATCCATCCGAGCCATCTTGAACATCGTGATTACCCTTTCTCTGCACCGACCTTCTTTGCGAACGGGTAACGGTCCGCTAGTTAATGTTAAAATCGGTTTTACCCGACAGCGCCGATACAGTGGACCCAACATCGCACGGCATTGAACGATCGACAGGGGTCCTAAGTGTTTAAGCAGGGCCTTCGATTCAGTCTTGGCGCATTTGCACAGCCCCCTTATGTCATCGATCGGCGAAGCAGGATCCTCTCTTCTGGTGGATGAGCTTTGCTGGAGTGCCCCGCGCACCAGCAGGTCGCCTTGTCCTTTTGGCACAGCCTGCCTGCTCTCACGGGACTCGTCAGAATGCCATTGTGGGCGCAGCAACTTGGAAGATGCGTGTCACTGAAATCGGGCGGGCACCCCTAGTTATGGCCATGCTTCTTTGATACGCCGCTGCCGTAAGTATTATTCCCTACCTCGAGCCTACTACGGAGTAATCTCTACGGATTGTTTCACCGCTAGGTAACTTACACCACCGATACAGTACGTGTATTCTACAGTACAATACGATACACTACACTTATTCGGCCCCGCTTCATTATCAACCGTTGCCTCAAACAATGTCGAAACTCCGTTCTTCCTGTCCATAACGTCTCCTTACCCTACGGACCAAAGGGAAGCCAGCCTTGCGCACTTGCACGCTAACTTCGAAGTTGAACATGAACGGCGCGGATGCGATATCCTTTCCAGTGGTCCTGCCACAGCAGCTCAACTACGTGCCACATGAACATATATCATCAGAAGTCCAGTTATATCCCATGTCGTAGCTCTACTACGTAAATTGTACATGCCTACCTTATCAGGCCCTTGTCCTGAACCAAAACAAAAGGGGCTTCACTGTGATTATTGTCTGTTATGTATGTAAGATACGTTACCAGTCTGAAGAGCCTCAAGTATCCGTATTCCAATCAATTACAGGTAGCACTGTGCATTCTGTGCCGTTCTTCAATGGGACTGTGTAAATATGTATCAGGTTACCAAGCTACCTGCCGTACCCAGCATAGTCGTCCTGTGCCCGCCAGCCGTTACTGTCATCCACCTTCAAAACTCCAGTGAACCACGAGTTTCTAAAACATCGTCCCGCTGTTCCCGACTTTAGCATTTGACCCACCTAGTTCTGCTGTTCTGTATACCCTCCTCAACAGATACATTACCTACTGACGACCACAAACCCAATTCGGCAAGAGTCATACAGCGAGAGATCTTTGGTCTTTACCTACCTAACTGAATAGAGCGCCCAACCCTTGTCGCAAAGCCCCTCGCATCTCAACCCCGCCAGCGGCAACACCATCCAGCCACGGCTGCTACAATAACATATCTTTCCGGCCGATATGGGCAATTTGTGAGTACGCGGCTCATTCTCTGGCGACTTCTATGCGCTAGGCAAGGAATCTACCGAGACAATCGTTGCGGGATCACGGTCTTAAGAGTGTCGCGCTTTCCTTGCCTTCGGTGATGGGATCGGCGATCGGATCTGCGCGCTTGACTCTCAAGGACTTTTGAGCCACGACTGGACAGTCGACCGAGTTAGATATTTTCGCTAACACCTCGCTCGCTGGCAGGCAGTCCAAGAAGCTCCCGGATGACCAGCTGAAGGAGCTACAAAAGTCAACCAACTTTGACAAGAAGGAGCTGCAGCAATGGTATAGAGGTGCGTGACCGCGTTCCCTCTCTTGCACCGGCCCCGCCTCTTCCTCCTGTTTCTCCATTCCTTCTCGCTCCTCTCCTCCCCCGGCGCCGCCACTGCTGCCTCCCGACATTGCCCGCACAAGCGGAAAACCCGCGCAATCAATGGATCGAATGTAGAAACTGGATCAATATCAACATCCCCGCCTGACAGTCTGGCTAGGTTTCTTGAAAGACTGCCCCTCGGGCATGCTCACCAAGGGCGAGTTCCAAAAGATCTACGCCCAGTTCTTCCCTTTTGGCGACCCTTCGACCTTCGCCGACTATGTCTTCAACGTCTTCGACACGGACAAGTCGGGCACCATCGACTTCAAGGAGTTCATCTGCGCCCTGAGCGTCACGAGCCGCGGCAAGATGGAGGACAAGCTCGACTGGGCGTTCCAGTTGTACGACATTGACGGCGACGGCAAAATCAGCTACGACGAGATGCTCAAGATCGTCGAGGCGATTTACAAGATGGTAAATTCCCGCCTTTCAGGGTCGAAAATGGAGAGATACAACTAGTTCATCTTGCCCCCGGGGCCATGCTGACTTTTGTTTTTCATCCCGCTAGGTCGGCTCAATGGTCAAGCTCCCCGAGGACGAGGACACGCCTGAGAAGCGAGTCAAGAAGATCTTTCGGATGATGGACAAAGACGAGAACGGCAGTCTTGACATGAAGGAGTTCAAGGAAGGCAGCCAGCGCGACGCGACAATCGTGTCGGCGCTGTCTCTGTACGACGGTCTAGTGTGAAAATGGAGGCCGAGGCCTCCCGGGGGGCGGGCATTCTTGTTTTTGTCTTTTGGTTTCTAACTAGTGTAAGGTGGGCTCTCTGGAGAGGGATGGAAATATGGGCGGCGTGTCGTGTGTTGTGTGTCGGGCGATTCGGGTTACAAAGGGACCTGTATGCGATTGGTTTCGCCGCTTCACCTGTTATCCGCTGCAGATGAGGCTGAAGCCTCATCATGCAAGGCCCTCAGGGTTTTAGGTTAGATGGGACAAGCAAACTTTGCAATGAGATACCTCAAATTTAACTCTTCTGGGTTGTTTGCAGCTGCCACAGAACAACGATTCAGAAACCCGAAGAGAGCGGAGAGGCAGTATGCGATGGCCTCAGCCTTCCCCAACACATAAGGAGAGGCCTCCCCGCACGAGGCTTGCCAGCCAATCATGAAAGTGGCGAAAGTGTGTGCTCAACAAAATGTAGGCAACCGCTGGGACATGTGGTTGTGGTTTGAGGCTTAGTAACCCGTCAGATTTGAAATCTCTAATCTGACTTCGGAACTGAATCGTCCCAGTAACTATGCATCAAGGGGATGGAACCGAGTTTGACCAGGAGAAGCATAAGCATTAGTCTCTTGCCCAACCGAGCTCGTAGGACGGGGAGCGGCCAGGAAGTCCTTCAGACTATTCGAAGTATGGATTATCAGATATAAGAGAGCCTCAACAAAGAGCAGAGGCCTAGCAAGACAGAGCCAGCATAGGAAAGAAAAGGCCAGGGGATATATCACACCATAATAGTCACAAAGAGTTCCGATCCCATTCACCGTTAACCCGACATACGACACACCACAACCTCCCCCTAAAGCAGAACCATACCTAGTTGGCAGCAACGTTCATCAAGAGCACTTGGCGCCTTGCTCCTAGCTCGACGAGCCATATGCCTCGGCGACCTCCTTCTTGTACTTTTCGAGAATACCCTTGCGGTTGAGCTTTTGCGCAGCCGTAACCAGGCCCTGTAAACCATCACCGATTAGCACTGCCTCTATGGTATCTGCCCCAAGGCTAGATGCCAGCAAATCAGGGGATGGGAGCTTACATTCTGCGGCGTCCATTCATCCTCCACCACCACGACGCCCTCGATAATTTCAATCCCTGACAAGCCACCGGCACGGCCCGCGGCCTGGAGCTCCCTCAGAACAGCGGCCTGCAGCTTCTTATCATGCACCATCTGCTCGAGGACCTCGCCCTGGACGCCGATCGTCGCCGCCAGCTTCTTAAGCGCTGGCTCGGCGGGGACAATGATGGCGATGGGCTTGGAGCGTTGAACATCGGCATACACGCAAATATTCGCGACGACAGGAGCGGACCGGTAGATGGACTCGAGCTTCTCGAGGGCAATGTACTCGCCGTTGAGCGTCTTGACCAGGTTCTTCTTACGGTCAATGATCTTGAGGTGGCCGTTCTTGTCCCACTCGCAAATGTCGCCAGTCTTGAACCAGCCGTCCTCCGTCAGCGCCTCGGCCGTCTCCTTGTCGTTTTGGTAGTAGCCCGTCAGCACGGAGGGGCCGCGCAGCCAGAGCTCGCCTTGGGGACATGGTTTGTTGGTGGCGAAATAGCCGGCATCCGGGAAGTCGACTAGCTTGGCCTCGATTGCGGGAGTTACAGGGCCGATTGTTTCGAGAGCCCACTCGTAAGGATGCTGCACCGTGCCCATGGCTGTCGTTTCGGTCAACCCGTAGCCAATGATCATGGGGCAGATGGCCATGCTGATGAACTTTTGTGTGTCTCTGGAGACGGGGCCGCCGGCGGAGAGGCACAGTTTCAAGCGGCCACCCGTCGCCTCCTTGATCTTCTTGAAGACGACGGCGTCCAGAACACCACTGCCAGGCAGGCCATTGGCCATTAGCCTTTCCTTGAGCGCGAGGGCGCCCCAGAAAAGAGTCCGCACGACGGGGCTGCCGGCGTTTACCTTGCCGATGATGCCCTTCTTGACCGTCTCCCACACAGCGGGCACGCCAATCAGGACGCTAGGCTTGAATTCCCGAATATCACCGTTGCAACTGCGCACCGACGTGTCCGACAGTGTCTTGGGATTGCCGTAGCCCAGGGTACAGCCCCAAGTGATGGCAGCGTGCTCAAAGACGAACTCGAGAATGTGGGCCAAAGGCAGGTACGCCAAGAGGCCGTCGCCGGGCCCAATGAAAGGGTTCATGATGACGTTGGCGCCGGCAACTACAGGTTTACACAAGTTAGTCGCGTTTGCAGTGGCAGTTGAGTTTCTACGGCAGAGGACTAATGCTTACCAGCTGCGACAACAGCTGCGTGCGTGACGGGAACGCCCTTGGGGGTGCCCGTAGAGCCAGATGTATACATGATGCAGCAGAGGTCGTGAGGGGAAGGCGGAACCGGGTCAGCGGGATTCTCCTCGCCCAATTTTCGCAGCTCCTCAATGCTCAGGATGTTGATGTGAGGGTACGAGGCTTTGAGCTTGTCAATGTGGTCCTGGTTAACTTGGTGTTGACTGTTCCAGATGACAGTGCGAATCTCTTTGGCAACGGCAAGGACATTGGTCAGGGTTGGAAGAAGATGGGGGTCCAAGAAGATGGCCTTGGCTCCGGTGGCCACCATTGAGTAGCGCAGACCCTCCTCGCCGAGCGTGTCGTAGGCCGTCACGATGGGCATGCTCTGCGAGCAGGCACTGTGAGCCATGGCTAGCCAGTTCTGACTTGTGGCGGCGTAGATGTGCACGCGGTCGTCCTTAACCAGACCAATCTTGCGCAGGGCGGAGCCGAGTTGCAGAATCAGGCGCTCGTACTCGGTGTAGGTGATGTACTCGTACGGGCTCATCTCAAAGAAGGTCCATGACTTCTCTACCTCGGTCTCTTGGCCGTTGACCACCTTTTTGATCGTTTTCTTCTCCTGATGGGTCCGCACGAGCTTGCGGGAGCCCATGCACTTAGCGTTGCCAAACTTGGCCGCGCTCTGAATGACTAGTTCATAGACGGTCGAGACGTCGTCCGAGGGCTTAGTAACGAGCCCGTCCACGGCAGCCGGGTGTCTGCGGACTGGTGTCTCGCCCTCGACGGGTTGTTGGCCGGGCACCTCAACCGTGAAGGGCGGCCTGGCCGACATCCGCGGAAGCAATTGGACATGTTGGAGATTCGGTGCCATTGTGATCGGTCTGAGATGGGAAACAGTTAAGAAATTCGAGTCTCCCGTTCGCCGAGGAGCTGAAAACGACGGTTATCTGGGGCCTAGAGGTGCAAACCGGAGCTATGGAACCGAGGAACCCCCGCTGTCTCTCGGTCACTTGGCCACGGAATGTCGAGCGGCAGAAAAGAATCCGCTATGGGATTTCGTGCTTGTCGAATGATGCGACAGATTGAATTTATTATTAGAATGCTGCCAGCCTGCGTACGAGCGGAGATGGGGGGGAAAGATGGGAGAGTTGGGCAGACAGGGAGATCACAAAAGCGAGAGGCAAAGGGGCTTTTTGGGTCAAAGACGCCAGTGGAGGCGCGTCCGTCAGAGACCCTTCACCCCAACAAATAGGACAAGCTTGGCCCGGGATGCTGTTGGCCCCTGCTCAACTTCAGCCCGCTCCAGCCTAGCCTCAGGGAGCTTTAGACGCGTCCTGGCAGGCTCGGCGACCCACCCCCAAGCATTTTCCAAGAAATGTGGCACTGGTCACACTGCCAGCAAGACAAACTGAGGAAAGTGAACACTGGCCAGTTTTGGAGAGGCCATGATGCCTACAGCATCTCTAGTGTGCAGACTGCAGAGTGTTCATGACTGCTTATCCGTACCTCGGCTCTAACCATGTAACTGTCCATAGATGCTGTCTGGTATGTTTCTCTGCTGTGCCCCGTCATCCCATGGTTCACAGGGCCAGACAAAGACAGATGATTACCTTACACCGTCCGACTGGAACGGGGCTAACGTACCTTGGTGCTCTTGGGGAAAGATACAAGAGTCGTCCCAGGTTTCCCAGTCCCAACTACTGATCTACAAAGTTCGGATAGTTAATGAAGCGGGTGTTTCCGGCAGGGAAATGGCTGGATGATTTATGATTCATGCCAGGGCAATATCTTGGCCGTGCAGTTGGTCCCCTGATTCACAGTCAACGCGTGTGACGAACAAAGCCACATTCTGCAGCGATACAACCGCTTGGCCTCAATCACCATTATGGCAAGCGAACCATGGGTGTAACTTTATCCGCGTCCTGTGTGACTCTGTAATCACTCGTAATTTCGGTGCGCCGTTACTGTAACTCCAGCAATCTAACCACCGTTACCTTTGCAAAAGCCGACATTTCAGAGACTTCCAATTTGATGAAATGAGAATTCCGGCTTCAGCTCCGGTCACTTGCGGCCGACGGTAGGTCTTGGCGGGCAGCAAGCTTGGAGCTTTCCCCGCATTTGCCTCCCCGAGCCTTCCCCAGTCTCTCCACCGTCGGAGAGCTTTTGCACTTCCGATTCGGAAATGTTGCTATAACTGCCGGACCGACGTTGAACATGGTCGAACTGCGTGTCGTCAAGAATCAAGATGGAGGCTGCAACGCTCACAGGTCTCAATGTCTCGTATTAAGGGACATACATACCACCATTCTTACAATGTTGAAGCATGTTGAAAACTGAATTCTTATCCGCCTCCCCCTTTTTGCGGGAGACCAGTGCAGATTTACAGTCAAAGCTCTACTCCAGTGACTCGGACACGCGCTTGGCTGGTACTTTAACGTTACCTCGGTATTTTTTGATATTGATGCCGGAGCACATGGACGTTCCTGGCATCTGACTCGCGAACACAACATGACGTTGGAGACCTTCTGGAAAGCACTGGGCGCTCCAGTACAATCTGCTGAAGAAGGTAGGGAAAGATGACTGAAAGGATACAATGCAAAAGGATACAATGCAATGTTCTTTGATTTCCTACGCAGCGAGCCAGTCTGGACATGGTCAACGGTCTGACTGGCTCCAGAAACGTTCGAGCTGTTTGCCCAAGACCTGCCTTCGCAGAGTTTAGGATTCGTCAATCCCAAAGCGACAACTCTCGATATAACAATTGGCGGCCGGGACTTGACAATCCACCAGTCACCAGCCGTCCTCTCGTCTAACCGTGCCGGGGGAACCACGGGAGCCGGTGCGTGCCTTATCCTTCTTCGCCATCGTCCCGCACTAAAGCACATCCACGGACTTCATTTGCCGTCACCTTTTGCTGACCCTCCCTACCGACAAAAGTCGTCTGGAAGATTACACCTCTCTTTGCAGAGTGGATTAGCTCACCCGGCACCAGCAATCCCTTCTTCCAGCACGGCATCCTCTCTCCGGAATCCGTTGTCCTCGAACTAGGTTGCGGAATCTCCGCTCTAGTCGGCCTCCTCCTGGCGCCGCGCATCTCGCGCTACATCCTAACGGACCAGGCCTACGTTTCCAAGCTGGTGGAGCAGAACGTCGCCGAAAACCATGACAGTCCCAACCAAGCAAAGCCAGGCCGGTCCTTGAGGTCCACCGGCCCAGCAAAGCAGCGCGCCACCACGGCCACGAATCCGACCGCCTCACGGAAGGGGGGAGGAGGAGGAAGGAGGGCCGGGGCAGGAGAGGACGGCATGATCCACTTCACCCCGCTGGACTGGGAGACGGACAAGGTAACCCCGGCGCTTCTTGCCAGTGTCGGTGAGACGGCCAGAAAGAGCTTTGATGCCGTCATAGCGTGCGACTGCGTGTACAACGAGGCGCTGATCGAGCCCTTCGTCTCGACGTGCGTGGACGTGTGCGGGCTGAGGACGGGCGAAGCTGATGGCGACGGCCAAGGTAGTGCAGAGCCTTGCGTGTGCGTGGTCGCGCAGCAGCTGCGAGATCCTCTAGTCTTCGAGGCTTGGCTGACACGCTTTGCCGGGTCATTTCATACTTGGCGAGTCCCAGATGAGTGGCTGCTTGAGGGCTTGCGGTCGAAGTCGGGATTTGTGGTACATGTTGGGATGCTGAAAGACGCGGTTGATCTGCAAGCGATCTGAGGCCTTGCTTCTCGAACATATTCTATAAAGGTATATATCTAATCATTCAATGTAGGGAGCCTGGGGTATAGAACCCGCTGCACTCCTCGCTCCTCATACCAAATCCCACCTAACCAGAATCGCATAGCTAAACCCGACACGCCCCTTCTTCCTGAACCACTCGTCCTTGGTCAAGCCCCTTGCACTCCGCCCATCCATCTCGGTGAAGCCAACCAACGACACCGTCTGGCCCGGCGCACCCAGCTCCCGCGCGTTGACATCGATGTAATACCAGAACCCGTCGTACTCCAGAGGGAGCAGATCATCCTTCCTTCCATCCACGCCCCCAATCTTGAGCACGAACAACATCTGCTTCCCCCTCCCGTTCCGTTCAGGATCCCAATGCGGACAAATCTTTGCAAACCTGAACCCAACCACCTTCTGGCCGCCGTACACGGCGATGCTCTTTTGCGCCGGCGCAAAATTGAACTGATCCAGCCCCTCATTCGTCGCGTCGCCCAGCCACATCGCCGGCTCGTCGCCGCCAAGGGGACCGACCATGTACTCCTCCCACGAGGGGCAGCGGCCGTCGGCGCGGTACCAGTGGCGGTCGTCGGCCGGGTAGTGGCGGCTGCCAAAGTGCTCGTTGGACATGGTAAAGAACTCCGGGGAGAAGTGCTGGTCGTAGCTGCGCTGGTCCTGGGCGATGGACCCCGCGCCCCAGCAGGCGTCGATGAGCTTCCACTCGCCGCCGTCGATGCGCACCGCGTTCCACGCGTGGCCCGTCGCGTTGCGCGGTGGGCAAAGCTGGCCCTTGCGCAGCGGCGAGAAGCCGAACCCTTTCCCGTGGCCCGTCACCACGGCGCACGCCAGCCCGGCCCGCGACGCCACGGCCTCGTACACGCGCGCGTACCCCTCGCACACGGCCTTGCCGCTGAAGATGGTGTCGGCGGGCGTCTGGCCCCGCGGGATGCAGTTGTTGAAGAAGCCGTCCACGTCGTACAGGATGTTGTGGTGGCACCACGTGAAGATGGCGCGCGCCTTGTCTGTGGCCGAGGCGAACGGCCCGCACAGCACCCGCGCGAGGTGGCCGATCGGGTCGCTGCGCGGGAGGGACGAGATGGGGTGCTGCGCGGCGACCCTGTCGGGGGCGGAGAAATCGCGGCAGGTGAGGCAGGAGCCGCCGCCGACGCTTATGTCGCTGGATGGTTTGGGTGGGAGAGGGGGAGGAGGTGGAGTCGAGACGACGCGGGATGCTACCGCGTCGATCTGGGCCAGGGTGGGACGTGAGTTCAAGGGGACGGGGGGGGGAGCATCAAAGCCGAAGCCGTTTTCCAAAGTAGACTTGGTACGGAAGCTCGACGGTGGAGGCGGTAGCCTCCGTGGTGGGATAGCTGGGGATGACTCTTGGGGCTGGACAGGCTCGGGTGCATTAGGTGGCCTGGATGGGAGTCGAGGGAGCACAGAAGGCCTTGGAGGATCGGCTATGCGCCGCGGAGGAATTGAGGGAGCGGTTTCGGCGGTCTCTTTCGCCTTTGCGTCGAGCTCACGCCGGGTGGGCGGCAGTGGCGGGAGCTTGGCCTGTTCGAGCGGCGGCGGTAATCTCCTTAGCGTTTGCGTCTCTGAAGGAGCACCGGAGGCAGAGGATTTGAGGTTCAGTGGCGGGGCGGACACGGTTGATATAGAGGAAATGTCTGATGAGTTTGAATTTCTCCGGACGGGAAGGGTCTGGGCGGAAGGACGGCGGGAGGGCAACTGGGGCGGAGTTGACTGTTGAGAGGTCCGGGACGGCAGCGGAGGAGGCACGGGCCGGCCCGGTAAGGGAGCCGAAGGTTGCTCCCCATTCCCAGGATCTGTAGGAGTGCGACGCGGAAGCGGGGGTGGAGCTCTTCCTGTTGTACTACTCCCTGTCGGCCGTGGGGGGATAGCAGGCCTCGTTTCGACAGCGCTGCTGGCAGATGTCGTCTTGTTCGAGACCTCAGTGCTAGCAGCGCGCAAGGGAGGCGGCGGCGGGGGAGCCCGTTTGCCAGCACTTGGCGGCGGGGCTTCGAAGTTCTTTTGCTGATTGAGAGCCGCAATGCGCTCGGCCAGCGTGGTGAACCGGGGCTCCTCTATTTCAGCCATTGCGATGGGGTTGCCCTGAAGTGTTGCTGTCAGGACTCAGGAGTTGTAGCCTCTGGGTTGTCCCAACCAACAACAGCCTGGTGGATTGCCTCCACATTCCTGCCAAGGCGGCGTGAGATGGGTCCAGAAGGATGGATCGACGTGAGGGCCCGAGCGGCAGGCCTAGGCACGGGCAGTTGTTAGTGGACTTCGTAGCAGACGATGTAACATGTGCAACCCCAGTGCTAGAGATAGTTTAAAGAAGTCGTATCGCTTTGTTGTCCATTGTGTTGGAGACCACAATTCGTTAGCGAGGAGTATATAGCTAACGGGGGGCTGTTCTTAGCTTGCGGGGGGCTTTATACAAGAGTTGGGACGCAAAAACAGGGGTCATAGCCCCCCCGTCAACTAGGTAGGTGTTACGTGAGCACTAGGTCACGTGACCAGCTCACTCCATCCTATAGATAGTCAGCTCGGCTCTCCTCTAGAGCATCCTAGAATTCATTACATCTTAGTTCTTCATTCTGTCTTGGTTGCTCCGCAACAG